GCAAGCGTGAATACCTATTATAAGCTGAAGCTTTTTTTTTTGGAAAAGCGTCTTTAGTTTTCGGGCGGACAGTATTTTGAAATCATATGGGAAATCTATATCAAACTGAAAGTTTCCTGACTGCGTGCATTTCTTTGGTGCATGACCCCGACAAGCCGTGCAATAGCCGTCGTGTACGAACACACGAAAAGAACTCAGGAGATGTGCTCACCGATTGGGCACAATAATACAAAGCAGGAGCCGGCATCGGCTTGAACTTTTGGAAATGGTCCGGTGAGAGTCGGTACCCAGGGGCTCTTCCGCCCTTACTTGAAAACTTTCGTCGCGCCTTTTCTCCCGACCCGACTGACTGCCCCTGGGTCTCCGAGGATGGATAAACAGATGTGTGTCTTGATTTCTCAGCTTAGCTTAAAAGAATAGCACCTTTGTTTGCATTTCAAAGGTTGCGTATCAAGTCTACCAAGCCATATTTTTCCTGTTACAAACCAGACTCCTTCTCAGAGTGGTAGTGGAATTTAAATGAAATTCTTTTCTTTTCTTTTTGCAAATTCATAGATCCGATGCTTCTTAGAGAAATGCCTCTATGGTTCTTTACTACTTACAAAAACTTACCGGAAAATCTGACTGGAAAGTAAATGGAACAATACTTTTCGAGTCGTTTCAGTGGGAAATTTCCGGGAGCAAAGGAATGTCTGAAACAGGTAGTCATGTTTTTCCGGTCGGAACCTTCCAAACGGAAATTCATGTTTCATTTCTTCAAAGCCAACTTTGATACCAGTTTTGTATATGCTTTGGCGGCCGTTTTTCGGCAAATGGAGCTGATTTGTGCAAATGATACACGCGATTCCGGGACGAAATTTACCAATCCTAAATTTTGCTTATCGTTTGCATTCACAAACCGTGAGCCAACTGGTAAATGCTAAACATGTTTTCCACTGTTCGGTCCCAGAACCCCATAACTCGAACTCGGATGACTCGAACTCCCCGCGAACTGGAACTAAGTCCAATTTTCCCTGGATTTCACCCCAAATCGAATTCCCCAATAACTCGAACTAAATTTCCTTTCCCTTGATCAACAAGTCGCTGAACTTTACCCCAATAACTCGAATTCTGGTTCTTTTAACTCCACTCTCGCGAACACCATCCCGTTAGCTCTTCATGTTGTAAAAAGGCATAAGACTACCCTGGTCCCAGAGGTTTTTCTGGATTTTTCTTCGCGAAAGAGATCAAGAGCAAGCCGCGAAGCGGCGACAACGAGTAGCGAAAGCGACGAGGAGAGAGAGAAAAACCTGTGGTTACCTTGGCCTCGAATCTCACTTTCATGTAAACGACAGGGTCAGGATCTGACCCTCGGGCGTTGATTAGTTGACAGTTTTTCAAACACGCAAACCAGTTTGATTGGCTCTTTTAATTGTAACTACCGAGGGGACGCTGAGGATTTTCACACCTCATTTTTCCTCTCTCTACTAGGGAAAAAAATTGTTTGTATGCTGCACTCGCAATAACATTTGCACGGGACCAAGGCACGTAAAGGCACGCCATGGATGTTTGTTGTTCGTGACGGAATATTCGAAGAAATTTTGACCTCGGTACTTAATAAGCGCTTTCCTGAGTCTCACTGAACAAGAAAAGAAAGCTTTGTTCTCTGCGTTGAGTCGAAAGGATGTGTTCGCCATTTTATCAACCAGACATGGAAAGTATATTTTCTGTTACAATACTGTCATTCCATTAAATAAACTAACTTGTTTAGGGCAGCAAGATAATATATCTCCGAATACGGAATGAAAGTTTCCTTGTAGGAAAAAAAAAACATACAACTTTGTACAAGTACGTAATCATTTTCGGTGCAGCTTGATTTTCCTGCGACGCCCAAAAAAGATCTAACCAACGTTATTTTTGGCATAGACCTATTCGGCTAACTCAATGTTGTACCCAATTCAAATCTCCCGGCGATAAGATTCTTTGTGTATTGCATTTGCATTATAATGTGGCATTCACATTTAAATGATATGGAAATTCCTGAAACAAAACGTTTTATTCCCAAAGGGTTTGAAATGGGTACAACATTGAGTTAGCCGAATAGGTCTATTGGGTCAACAAAAATCTCTGAAAATACATTCCGAACCTTAAGGGTTTGCTGTGCTGCATGACTCTTCCAAGCGTCGTTGTTCCACAAAAAAAGGAAATCGACGCGAACGGCGCGCCCCGCAGAAGTAAACAATGTAATAAGCGCGATTGATAGACTCTTGCAAACTTTACAACTTCCCGCTGGCACACTACCGACAGAACAGATGACAATGTTTGTGAAAAATCCTTCTTATTATATTCAAAAAAGTTGCTTTTAGATCGGCCACTTACTTTTACATAGATTCTGCAAATCCTGCAGCAGTCGTTTGGAACAATGTCGGTTTCTTTAATTATAAAGTGGTCTTCTTATTCCTGGACTCTTGTCGCCTATCGTTAACACATGCTTTAGCTTGACCCCGACTTAAATAAATAGCGGCTGATAAGCACGTGTTTGCTAAGTTGCCATTGGTCACTCTTTTTATTAAAAATTTGACGCGTTTGACAGCTGTCGTCTGCATAAAAGTGAGATTCGAGGCCGAGGTAACCAGAGGTTTTTCTCTCTCTCCTCGTCGCTTAGGCGACTCGTTGTCGCCGCTTCGCGGCTTGCTGTTGATCTCTTTCGCGAAGAAAAATCATGAAAAACCTCTGGGACCAGGGTAGCATAAGAATAAAACTAACACTGATCAATAGAGCAGTTTGATTTAAAATGTTCAAACGAACAGATCGTGTTTTACCATGAAAAATGCCTTATCATGTTACCGTTTCTGATGAAATAAGTTCAATTTGCTCTGCACCATACACTAAAGTGCTGAAAAATCAGTGACTATCCGAATTTTTATCAAGGCAAATTAAATTCAATCAACCCCGAAAACTCGACTCCCTGCTAACTAGAACTGTTTTTCGGTTCGCTTCAGAGTCCCAGTTACCGGCGTTATACTGAACAGTATTTATTTATTTACTTTTCCATACGTAAGGACGTACAAATCGACAACTGTTAGTGATTATCAACAGCACATCATACGTTTTCCTGCCTCATGTTTATTTTAATTTTTTGCAAAGTTTTTACACCACTAGACAACTGCTAGTATAATCGAAAAGACCGGAGTGGTTACGTTTCTCCTTCAAAACTAGTACCCAGTTTCTTCTTTTTTCCCTCTGCCTCTGCTATCTCTGCAGTGAAGTTTGCCGTCTAGAAATAATAATAATAATAATAAATGGTAAAAAATTTAAAGAAAGTTGAAGTTCTAGAAAAAGAAGCAATCACACGTTTTTAAAACGTAAGAAGTTTGCAAGAGCCAGACTGACATTTTTTTGTGCTGAAGAGCTAACTACAGAGTCCTTGAATTACTGTATAACAGATTTCCCACTGGAATGGCAGTATGCCCAAACAGCCTCGTTTGCCGGTAACGCAAACTCGTATAGCCGACCTCAGCTGTCTCTACCAAACACTTTTCGCTTTTCCCTTCGAAGACATCACAAAAACAAACAGACAGATCCAACGAAACGCTTCGCTTACATTCTAAATGTCCTCCAAGCAGAGATTGGTCAGATGCTTTAAGTGAAACTTTGAAAAACGAAAGTTTTTTAATAGTCATCCACACTTCCTTGGCTCACACACACACAACCTTATTCCACGGGGATGGGGGTATTCGCTTATATAGCTAATTCAATAAAGGTTGCTTTGGGCATTGGGAATTGCGCATTGGGAAGCTATTGTTTGATGGTCACTCAAGTAAATCATTGCAAACCCCATTTATTTAATACAACGAAATTACAACTTGTGAATACAGCCTTCTCTTCTCGCTCGTGACTTCACTGCTAAAAAATGTCTCGCAGGAGAAACGTGTGCGCATAAACGACATAAATTCCATGATGATGACCTAGAATCTCTCCGGAATCCGGTGATACAGTAATTCTGATATGATTTTATTGTTTTCGCTATTGTTTTCGAATGAAAGACAAAGGGAATGAAAATGCGATGAATCTAATATGAACACAGACATTATTCGTGGAACATTTTCTTCTTTAGAAAAAAAAAACGAATTTCAGCTGGAATTTGATTTTGCTGAAGCTCGTTGGCAAAAGAACTCAAAAAATTACAACAATAAACCAGGAGAACAAAAACTCGAGCACATTTTACATTGGGAACCCAAAGACTACCACACTGATTACGTCATTAGTATGGAGTTACCCTGTCGTTGAGGCACAGACGTCCCTTCTGCGAACCTTCCATGGCGCCAGAAAGGAGCGGGAAGAGACGGCTTTTTTTGAAAGTGCAGATTGCAAAAGAAATAGGCCATTTCTGAATTGTTTCAAGCCTCTGTTTCAAGGCGAGACCAAGTGCAAAGGCCATTAATACGAAAATTATTCTTTTATTCTCATGCAAGTAATATTCATTTTCACAAGAGAGATTTGCACTTAGCCTCATTTTGAAAATGACAGTTTTTGGAACTCGGATGTGGTATATTCAGTTAAAATAAAAAGGGTGTACCTTGCTTATATCCTCAGACGGTCGGAGTTGGAGGCGGCTTGGTAGCTGGACCTACAGAAGAAGCATTTATACAGGGAGGACAAGAATTTTCACATGACCAGTTGGAATATGCACCTACAGGTGAGTGTACTGCTCTGTGGTTAAACTAAACTGTTGTTGTTCTTGAACTGTTGCTGACAATGACTGGTGTTTCGACAGCCTGTGTATCTCGTCAGTTGATGGTGTTGTGGCTCAATTTTATCCTTGGTTAAAAACACATTTCCCATTGTTTTAAACTCATCATCATACATTACCATACCTCAAAACAAAGGGAAATAAAGTTTAAACCAAAAATAAAGTGCTTATTGACCTGATTGGTCAATTAACTCTTGTTGTTCTTCTGTCAGACGACCTATAACAAACCGAGTTAATTGGCCAGGTGACTTCAGGTTTATCAATCAGGTTAGGTGTACTTACATAATGGCGTATTTCTTGTCTCTTCCTGGATTTCATCTCCAGGACATTCCAGGGGAAGTCCTTCACAGCTTGGCAGCCAGACCTCAATCTCTTTTATCAACTGTGTGCGGCGCCGATATGCGTTACCGCATGTCGCTGACCAGGCGCTCCAGGGATTGTAACTGCATTCTACTGTGTAACACTCTTCACCTGGTAACAAAAGGAAAGTGAATATAAATTTTCAGTATGGCTTGGGGATCATTAATGGTGAGTAATTATCGTTCTAAAAGCATGGAAGAATAAAAAAATTTCCCACTCTTTTGACTTCAGCTGTACTACATCGTGGCTACAACTCTTGCCAAAAATCATGTGACACGAACGCGATAGCTCGTCAAAATGACGCACCCCTACCCACATCGCGCCGGTGCAGTGTTGACTGTATGGATTCAAGTTTCTTTTTTCTTTTCAGCACAATCAAAATTGCTTAGCAGAGAGGGAGACATCAGAGATAGGCTCTTACAAAAACATTCGCAAGCTTTAAGAAGAAGTAGAATACGAATTCATTTTGCAAAGTGTGTCTCCGCACCTATTTTCCTCAAGGGTACCAAAGGTGTTTTCAACAGTTGTAGCCTTGTGATATCTATATACAGCTGCAAATTCGTTATTCTTATTAATTATTTGTTAATATTAACAAATTGGTGTAATAAACGTTTTTCCATGCCGCGTGGCGTCTTTTAATATTTCGTTACTATGCTCAAATTATGTCAAAATATATGCCAGAACATAACATTTTTCAAACAAAATCAAACTTAATGATGAGAGACAAGACTTCTGCTGGAAGTGAAACTCAGAAACAACGCTTACGTTACACACATTTTTAAGTGCCTACCAAAATTTTAGTTGACTTTTTTTTCATCAATGGACTTCTTTTTAATATATTTTTTTTTTTCGCAGAATTTTTCTTCAGCGCCGCTATTTTGATAGGCGCGGTGAGGGAAACGCGGTGAAAAGCTAAGGAAGTTTATTCTCGCTTACAATCTGGAAGTTTGTTATTCTCAGTTTCCGGCTGTTGAGTACACTTCTTTTTCACTCCATCACAGTTTTCAGCTTGAACGGTTGTCTGAGCCTCCACAATGTGACGTGTTCTATTTACCAATCCACATTTACCCGACCAATCGCTCCAGTTTCCCCACGTGCAGGATACAGACTGACAAGTGCACACGGAGGTTCGAGTCTCAGTCTCAGGCCCCGCTGGGCAGGATTGAGGTAAGCCTTTGCAACTATTCTGCTGAACAGTGACCTAAAAAAAATAATAACAAGGTTGATTGCTGTCTTTTTTGTCACGTATTTATTTTGCTAAATAAGGCGACCTGGCAAGTAAAATTGATTGATGACCATTATCAATGACAGGGCTAATTAAAAAGAAAAACGAAGAAACAAAGAATGGAGGAATAAATGTATGGATGGAGGGATGGATGAAAGGAAAGGGGAGAAAGGAGAGCGTTACCAGTGTACCTTTTCAGTAGTTATTGTTCTCTGTCTTGTCGCTGGTCCACAAGTGGCTGACCAATCGCTCCATTTGCTACGTTTACAATTTACCGTCGGGCAGCTGCATTTAATTTCACGCGCCTCAGACTCCGGTGGCTGAGGGCATGTTTGAGGAAGTCCGCTGCAGTCTGGTTTGAATACTTCCACAGAAGTTTCTAGTTTAAGTTAAAATTATAGCAAGGTAAATGCAAATATGACCAAATGAGTTACTCCTTAGAGGAAACATCACTGTTTACAAACATTGTTTTTGTTATTACAGTTTTTGACGAGTAAAACAAAAGAATCTTTACAAGAACCAATTCGATTCTGATTGCACATAAATATCAAAAGGTGACGTAAGCGTGAGTATCGCTATTGGTAGATTCATCATGACGTCATTTTTGTTCGTTAGCATAGAAGGTAACCCATTGGGTATGTACAAATTGAATTAAAAAAATCGAAAGAGCTGGTTACTTTGAGCAGTTTGTGCAATTTTCAGCTCTTTGCAATCAATAACAAAGGAAACATAGGCAATCAAAAACTGCGAAATTACTAGGTGGCAAAAGCGTTAATGAGCTCACACATGGGATTTTTCAAAGAGAATTTTTCCGAAACCGTTTTGGTATGTCTGTCTCAAATGTTAGGAAATAACTGAAATTGTAACGCTTTTTCAATATTTAGAGGTGTTATCTTATTAGCGTCATCAAATAATGGTAAGTCTATGCTAATGAGGCAAAAAAATATAAGCAAGGATTTGCCTTTGCGCATATTCCCTCCCCAGCCAGCAGCTATGCTAATTTACTAACATACATTAGCACAATATAATTAACATAAGGAAAAGGTTTAATTAACTCCCAAAGGATAGACCAATTCGGCTAACTCAATGTTGTACCCAATTCAAACCCGTAGGGAATAAAACGTTTTGTTTCAGGAATTTCCATATCATTTAAATGTGAATGCCACCTTATAATGCAAATACAGTGCACAAAGAATCTTAACCTCGAGAGATCTGAATTGGGTACAACATTGCGTTAGCTGAATAGGTCTATTGGTTTGGTACACTTGGCCACCGCTTGGACGTTTCGGTACATAAGGCCATGGTAACGTGTTGAGTGAAAGTGCTCAACACACGACGGAAACTCTCAATAAAAAAGCTCTTTAAGATATGAAAAAATTGTTTTCCTCTCGTATTTCACCTTCGATGTGTCTTGTTCGAATTCCCACTCCACATGTCGTAGACCAGGAAGACCAGTTCGCCCATTCACAATTCACAGTTTTACATTTACAGTTTGTTGTCTGTTGTTCTCTCTGTGGAGGCTGAGGACATGACTGAGGCAGTCCCTCGCACTTCACTTGCTGAACTGTAGTCTGTAGATGTATATCCAAATATAACTTTAAAACGACGTTAAACTGAATGAGAGAACTGTTAAACTCTCAACGACTCTGAGATGAAAAACTGTTTTAATTGTGTCCAAGCCTGTGAAATAGCCCAGATAAGGTAATAATAAACGATTGTTCGATCAGGTTTTTGTGATATCCGGAATAATCAAAGTGGAGGTAAGTGTTATCGGCCGGGCCGAAGGCCGGGGCTACTGAGACCTTGATTATAGGATACCACAAAAACCGAATCTAATAATTGCTTTAATTATTATACATTGTTTTGAAGAAAACAGCGACAAACACACCGTCGAAAGGAAACGGAATTTATATATAATTATTATTATCATGCATTGCGCGTGCAACCTACAGATTAGTTAGTTATCTGTTAGCAGATAACTAACTTATCTGTAGGTTGCGCTGTTTTCCAAAATTAGCTGTAGGCTCTTAACCTATGAGAAGACAGAAAATGAGTACAATGTATAATAATGATAGAAATAATGATAGTATTAATGATAATCATAATCATAATCATAATCGTAATAAAATCCCTACTGCTATTGCTACTGCCGCCGCCGCCACCGCCGCTGCCTCTGCCACCGCCACCGCCGCCGCCACCACCACTACCACCACCACTACCACTACTACTTGTTGAACGATAGACAGAAACATCCTTTACAAACTCCAATGGCAATAACTATTTAACCCGTCCGACGTACCGAGAAAAGCGTGCCTGTATACTTATATAATTTAAAGATATAACTGACCTTAATCGTCTCAATGCTTCTTGTTCTGGTCGCCGCACCACAAGTCGCTGACCAAGCACTCCATTCTTTCCACCTACAGTTCACAGTTGGGCAGCTACATTTTATTTCACGAGCATCGGACTCTGGTGGCTGAGGACAGCTCTGTGGAAGTCCGCTGCAGTCTGGTTTGAACACTTCAACGGCAGTTTCTGGTTGGGGAAGAACGCTTTTGATTAACGAAAATGACGGGTCAAATTATTATGCTCTTTTCTAGGAAACTAACCGTTGATCAACGTTTTTAGCGGGGAAAAGTACAAGAAGGTAAATACAAAGATATTTTAGAGTGATTTTACGTTGCCTGTGAAATAGGTAGTAGAATACTACGCACAATTATGCACTAATTCTATTGTCTTCGTTTGTTAACCAGTTGTTGTTGTTGTTGTTGTTTTGTTTTGTTTTGTTTTTTTGCACTAGTTGTCATTATCTGTTTCAGGGGTCAAGTAAAAAAAACCTCTATGGCAGATTGCTAAATAGACCACATTCAAATACCGAGTCGTATCATATGACTGCATTTACACGAAATGACAGGTGCCATGCAACGCTACTGTCAGCTGATGTGTCATACTTCATAATAAATAGTCTGTTATATTGATAACCTGATTATGTGCAACGTTAAGAAAAAGAACAAGCAAACAAACAAACAAACAACCAGAAATAAGAAAACCCGTTCTACATATCAACGAACGTTGGCTTCTAAGTGGATGCCGTTAGGTTTTTTTGCCACATTATCCACGACAAAATCACACTATTTGTTTCGTTTCAAAGTAACCTTCAACAGGCTCTAGGTCAGTGTAGACAAGCAAAAAAGCGAACAAGAAGAGAAAAAGCGAGGGAGTAAAAACCGGCGGGAGGAGAGCTCAGCTCCTCCGCGATATTCGCGCAACTTTTCTCGATGCGCTTTCCCTATTATGTTGGAGCCTTGAGTCACCTTCAATGTGTCTTGTTCGAGTTCCCACTCCACAAGTCGCTGACCATGATGACCAACCCGCCCATTCACAGTTCACAGTTTTACATTTACAGTTTGTTGTCTGTTGTTCTCTCTGTGGAGGCTGAGGACATGACTGAGCTAGTCCCTCGCACTTCACTTGCTGAACTGTGGTCTGTAGATAAAAACCGCAGACTGAGGTTTATAATTGTGCTCATATAAAACTTAACTTTTTGAAAGGTAGTCTTCAAGATTATGACAGTCCAAAGACTGGCCCTTATAACTGATTCACGTAAATTTCACGTATTGGAGAAGAAAAAGGGAGCGGTGGAAGGACTATCAGCTTGGTGTCTACGTGTTTTAGGTTATTTCAGTATCGATGTAAATCACGGTTCTAACGAAAAAAGAACTAACCTTGATGGTCTCAATACTCCTCGTCCTAGTCGCTACTCCGCAAGTTGCTGACCAAGCGCTCCACTTCTTCCACTTGCAGTTGACAGTTGGGCAACTGCATTTTATTTCACGAGCGTCAGACTCCGGTGGCTGAGGGCAGCTCTGCGGAAGAGTGCTGCAGTCTGGCTTAAACACTTCCACCGCGGTTTCTGCGAACAGCAATTTTTATTAACTATTATTAATATTATTATTATTATTATTATTATTATTATTATTGCTATCATCATCATCATCCTCATCATCATCATCATCATCATCATCATCATCATCATCATCATCACTTAGTAGAATTTTAGTCACCTCTTTCAATTTTCTTAGTAAAAATAAATTTTATTCATCTAGTATTGTTATCCCAATTGCTTCCATTTGAGCTTCCTGCAATTGTTTAGCATCTTTTTTCCATCATAAAATAATCAAAGCATTTCAATTAATTCCGCGGCAATCCATATTGCAAGACGGCTTAGCTTTGTTGCAAAACCACTTGGATCTATGCTTTATACAGGCACGGTCCATAGTTTTTAGCCGTATCTCGTAGCAAATCGCCTTAAACATTCTGGGCAATGCAGGTTAAGAAAGGTTACATCCCCTCTGACAAGGATAAAGCTACCATATAATACACTAACGATAATCCAATTTTACTGCAAAAAGGCTGCTAGCTACCTTCGATGTGTCTTGTTCGAGTTCCCACTCCACATGTCGTTGACCATGACGACCAGTTCGCCCATTCACAGTTCACAGTTTTACATTTACAGTTTGTTGTTTGTTTTTGGGTCTCTGGAGGCTGAGGACATGACTGAGGCAGGCCTTCGCACTTCAACTTTTGAACTGTGGTCTACATTGGAAACGATAAAATTTCTCTTGATAACTTTCAAGAAATGCCCGGCTTTTGGGTATACTTCGTTAATATTACGTATGGAAACAGGTAGAAAATCACTCAAAGCGTCTCAAAAACTAGAGGACGATTGCTTTGCATGACTGTACATCTATCATACGTTATTATCATTATTTTTTAATTTTTTATTGTTTTATTGTTTTATTGTTTTAACTATCCTTTTTAGAACTGTCTCTCCATCAAACTAAGCGCATGCCTGGATCCAGGGTTTTCCATTTCTCGTCCAACTTGGCACATAATTAGCATTACATATAAATGTTTCACACAAAAGAGGTCTGTGTTACTCTAAACAAAATGTAAGTATGAACAAATACTGTTGTGGCTAAAAACTAGGTTAATTTTGCAATTATGATGGGTCATAAACTCATTGATTACGATATTCTCCTCAGTAATGAGGCTATCTATAGCCTTACCGAGATGTAAGCCAATTTAGACAATATATACTTTAACTCAATCTAACCTTAATAGTTTTGATTGTCCTTTGACGAGTTGCCAAACCACACGTAGCTGACCATTTGGTCCATTCATTCCAGCGGCATTCCACTGTAGGGCATGTGCATTTTACTTCACGTGACTCAGACTGCGGCTGCTCAGTGCATTTCTGAGGCAAGCCAACACAGCTGGGTTTATTCACTGTGATCACGGTTTCTTTTTTAAAAAGAAAAAAAAGGCCAAAAATATCAGATATTCGTGCAAATGCATACGAGGGAATGCTAGACGTAAGATTTGTATAGAGCTCTCTACTAGCAGGAAACTTGATGGCAAGAAATTTGCTGCAACAGCTTATTTTTTAGAACTTTAAAGAAGAGTAGTAAGTGAATATTAATAGACGAATTTCAAATAGAATAACATTAATTTTTAGTAGGAGTGTTAAAATCTTAAAGTAGTGTACGAGCCAGATTGCTTTGCTCATGTTGTGCAAATTATAGATCGTTCGATAATGTGTTATTTGAAGTATTCAATAACTCGTTTTAGCTTCTGTATGTAAGCTCCTTTAAAGAAATTCTGGTAATTATTCTTCTAATTATTGTTGCTGCTGTTGTAGTTATTTTTCGCCTACAGTACCTTTAATATCACGCGTGCGTGTTCCCACTCCGCAGGAAGTGGACCATGACGACCATTCTTTCCACGTGCAGCTAACAGTTCGGCATGCGCAGTCGGTTGTTCTGTGTTGAGTTTCAGGAGGTTGAGGACACGTTTGGGGCAATCCATCACAGTTTTCTTTTTGAACAGTAAGTTTTGTTGATCTAGGAAAAAATACATGGACACAGCAAAACGCTGAAGCATTTTTCTGAGGGCACTGAATAGTACAGACGTCACGTTAAAAAGAGCGCGGTCAAAAGAAGAAAGTTTCCATTTTCCCTGTTTGAAGTTTGATACATCGCTACTATGTTGCTAATTGTACTGAAATTTTTGAAATCTCACTTAAAATTGAATCTGCGAGGGCTTAGAGTAGAAGGCTGATGACTTTTCCTTTTCTGTGTAATCCACGAAACAATTAATTTGGGAAAATAACCGCAGCCAGCACTCACAACCGCAAAGGGAGTAAATTTAAAAAGTGCAAAGGCGTTTCATTCGCTTCAGTTATACGTGATTAGCAAATTCCAACTAGTGGTCTATTATCAATGCTGCGTTCTGATTGCCTGAGCTACTTTTAGGCTATATGTTATAGCACACTAGTAGCGAAAAGCGCCGGCTTTAAAAACCAAAACAATGGCGGCTGAATGGCGTTTTGCTTGCTAAAGTAACAGTAATTTGTCTTGATATTTTTTACCAACTAGTTGGATTTTACTAAAACAATGATTCCTCTCGCCCTCATGGCCTCTGAGTCAATAGCCCATTTGGTCTTCAACCTCATGGGCTATTGGTTCAGAGCTCATTCGGGCTAGAGGAATAATTATTAAATATTGCTGCCTGTGATAATACACTCACTTTATTGTTCGTGTCCGGGAGGCTTTTCCACAGGTAGCTGACCAATCGCTCCACTGATTCCAGGTACACTTCACTGTCTGACAAGTGCACATTGTCTTCTTGGTTTCCTTCTGTGGTAGTTGAGTGCATTTCTGAAGAAGGCCAGAACAGTCTGGCTGCTGAACTGTAATTTGTGTAGATTGAATTGACCTTGTTCTCTGTGCCAGACCGCATGTGGCAGACCAATCCGTCCAAGCCTTCCAAGTGCATTTAACTGTCTTGCAAGGGCCTTGCATATAGAAAGGTAGAATATGTTTTCTTTACAGTGTATGGCAGGTACAGTAATTATCAACTTATTTCAATTTTATAGGTTCAAAAGACTGCAAATTCGAGTCTTGGAGGGATCAAAACCAGTTAAGACCTAAATGGGCGTAATACACGACAAGTTCTGTCATGTAAAAAATCTAGAAGATTTTCCCATTCAATTATTTTGTTGTACTTACAGTTGGTTGTTCTTCTTTCAACTCGAGGTTGCGGACATGTAGTTTGCAGTCCACTGCAGGACGGTTTATTTATCACATGATTTGTAACTTTGCTGGTTCTTTGTCTGGTGCTGGCACCACACGAGGCGGACCACTTGCTCCAGTCATTCCATAAGCACGTGACGTACTTACATTGACCTAAGAAGGCATTTATCAACAAAGTCACCATTCATTCAGTAACGCACCTGAAATAATGTTTTAGCTTGAACCATCTTAACAAAAATTAGGACAGAATGCTTGTTTTTTACCAGGAGTTCTTCGCAAGGAGTTTTTTTTGTTTATTACTTCATTGACCTATTTATTTTTGCTTGGCTAAATGGATGCTCCACATTGGTGTTCACTCTCTTATTATGAAAATGTCATAGACTGAGAAAAAAGCCGACATTTCCACCACTGTTTTTCCAGTGAAATGACGTCTGAGAAACGAGCGAAGAAATTTCATACTGATGTAGTACTAAGTAGTGCTTCTGATTGGTCGTAAGGCGTGGGAAATTTGCTTCAACCAATCAGAGGCATTACCCAGATCTGGTTAGTGACACGTAATCAGTATGGAATATCTGTGCTCCGTTTCTCAGACGTCATTTCGCAAAATGTTGGCTACTATGTCAGCCTAAAAATGTGCATGTTTGGCTTTGCAATAGGCGCCCAATGACTACCAACTGGATTGCACAGGTAGTTATCTACACCTACCAGCCGGCTATCTAATAAGGAGGGGACGACAGGTAGCTGCTTATTAGTGCTGCAAATATACCAGAAAAAAAATCATGTGGAGAATAGTACTTGCGAAGTTTAGATATGAAATATCTTTATACAGTAATTCAACTTTTGTCATCAGCGAGAAGCGGACTGAATCTGAGACAGTGATCAATTGAAAACCAATAACTGATCAGCGTCGAACGTTTAAAAAGACATCACCTCAATGGGTGGTGCAAATGAGCCTGTGATACAGTCAGGTGACACTGGTCAGCGGATACCTTTCGCGCGAGAGAGATCTATTTAAAAGTGCTACTCACAGTCCATGTCCTTAGTTTCAACTTTTTCCTTGTCGCAAATAGTTTGTAATCCTGAACACCCTCCTTGCTGCTCTGTGATGTGGTCATTCTGTTTTGTAAGTGTTTTCTTTCTTTTCATGCCACGGCCACAAGAGATCGACCACGAGGACCACAAACTGTAGTCGCAAGTCACGGACTTGCACTTGAAAACTATACCAAACAGAAAACTTTCATCAAGTTTTTATTACTTTTTGAAAAATGAAAGTGCTTAAAACTCGGACAAAATTCCATTTAGTTTCTAAAACCAACTTGTATAAAGTTTGTGTTATCCTAAACTACCATAGTTAAGGGTACGGGGGAAACGGTCACTCATTAGGCAACGATTTCCATTTTAAATTGCCTTAAATTATAACCTGCTTCAGTTGCATAAACAAGTAACTGTTAACGATATAATGTCCCGGCCTTTCTTTCGACGAAAGAAAAAAAAAAGAGTTTAAAATCTGTTTGCAGGTTCAAGGCATCTATGTTTTAGGGTGGATTTCTGTTTTAGCGTATTTTTACTCCAGTAAATAAAATAGAAAAAAGGAATGAAGTGTTGCCCTTAAGAGATGACACTATTGCTTTTACGCGCGATCTTTCATACCTTGCCTCTCCTCTATTTTCAAGAGTAAATTTTACGCACGACTTAAACGTCTTAGACTTTAAGTGCGTCTAAACGACTTTTAGGTCTCTAGCTAAAAACGGCCAATAACAGGGGCGATCCTAAGACTAATAATAACCTTTCCACATTAGTATTTCAGTGAGAATAACGAAGCGGCTAAAGCATTACTGATAGAGGCGTTCAGTTCTTACTTTGACATGACGACTCTGCCAAGGTGTTCAGCAGATTAGGTAACTCTGCCATATTACGAACAAAGAATAAATGGGAGGCTTTTGGGTCGGAGGCCATGAACTCCAGTTCATTACGGTTGAGGCTTTGTCCAACCCCTACGGAAAATATATTTACTTTACTGGATCGCAGCTCCTCAACTGGAGAGCGGAGAGACTTAATCCCACCATTGCTGGCTCCATCTGTTACGACTAGCAGTATCTGCAAATTATAATAACTGTTACAACCAGTGACATTTGAAAATGACGCTGGATTGTGCGAATAAAAGCACTTTTAATTATCATGAAAAAGTACTCCTTACTTTTGGCGCAAAATTTCAGCATTAATTCATAATTTCACATGTGAAATTACAAAATTGCCTTGTCAACGTTTCCAAGAGTGCGTCGAGGTTTTGAAATGTTATATAAATGAAGAATTTAGGGCTTTAAAAGACGCTTCAGAAAAACTAAATATACTAAAGAGCACATAAGGATTGTATTTGTAACAGAATTTTTGTCGAACAATTCATAAGCTTTTCACCTTAACCCAAACTTTAATGCTCTAAACATTTCAGCGCGTGCAGTTCTCAATACGATAAAAAAAAAAAAACGATTTTGAGCTAATTTTTCACGCGTGATAATAGTGGCTAATCAAATGGTAAGCTCGTGAAATTAGGGTATAATTTTACTTGCGTTTTTAGAAGGCCAATTAATTGAGGTTCGCTGTGTCTCCTACATTGCATGAGCTTACCTTTGTAACACCTTTCCTAGCACCGTTTGAGGGTTGAAAAAGTTCTGTCTTTGCCAATGTCAGTGCCCGATCAGTGTACGTCCATCCACCTGTTAGATTGACAGGAAAACAAGCACACATAATGTAGATGTTGCAGTTAATTTTTTTCTTTCAGTTAATTTTTGTTTTTCTTTTGTATTTGGGTATGGTAATGTATGCTAATAAACTTGAAACAAAGGAAAAACAAAAATTTCCTGCAACATGCACACGAAATGTTTAGGCATACATTTTCTTACATGAAAAAAAAGGCTATCTAACGTTTATCACAAGAGACACCACTTTTCTCTTTCCATCCAGGATGATAAATGGGCACGGGTGAAATACTCAAAGGAAAAACAAAAATTAACTGAAATTAAGAAGAAATAACCGCAACATACACACAAGCACAAGAGACACCACTTTTTCTCAGGTGAAAAACTAAATGGCAGTAGCCCTGCCACTGAAAAGCATAACATTCCCCAAAGAAAAAGTATTGATACTCTCCATATGGGTGCTTTAGTGTACTTGCACCAGGCGCGCATTGTCCTCATTTGAGCAAACATAAAAGAGCTTGTAGGAGACAAGTGTGAATCAATTATGCGCTGTCTCAGTAGTTCATTACACATTGCAAGAATGTTCAAGCTGAGCGGTTAGATATCTATAGGAATTTTGGACACCTATTTTAACAGATACTTAATCTTGCACATTATTGAAATTTTATTGACATACCTTAGACTTTCTCATTTTTTAATGGACAGCTACATGAACGATGATTTTTAACTTATGAACATCTGTATTTTATAATAGGCCATTTTACAGTTATGGATGGAAGCGAGGCTGAGGGTGACCTTAAATCAAGTTATTCTTATGCTAAATAGTATTTTTCAAGAACAATTTCCATAACAAAGCAAAGAAGGTTTGTATCAAAACAAGGTCACCCTCACCCTCGCTTCCATCCATAACTGTAAAATGGCCTATTAAGACGTCCATAAAGCTTGTAGGATTTTTTTATTGTTTTATTTTTTATGACACTTTTATCATATCATTTTTACCCAATTTTTTTTTCTTTTTTGCGCATATTGTTGTGTAATTGTTACTACAAATTTTAGTCGATACTGCTGCTGATTACGGTTTTCCGCCCAGCCAAAGCTTTTAGTTTTTACTCTGGGCATCCAGACTTTTGTACTGCCATAATAAAAAAAAAACCTTGAAAAGTTTAAAGAAGGTTTGATAAACACAGCAAACACAAAGGAAGGAACAGATGGACAAATTTAAAGAAGATCGAAACGGATTGTAATTGAGGTTTTTTAAACTTGTCAGCCTATCAGTTTTTAAAAGTTCATTTTTGTTGTTTGTAACCGGTTTGACGATATAGTGCTTGGGAAACATATTTGTTGGAAACAAAGCAGTGACTTTGTCATTTACTGGTAATTTCTCCAGTTACATAGCAAATAAGGAGGCGTAACTGACAGGCAAAAGCGACTTTAAGATCCAACGACAGGACAGGAACGAGGACATCGCTTAAAAAGTAAATTTGCTTTCTTTCAGCCTTCATCGCGATTATTCCTTTGTCAAATATACACGAACCCTCCTGAATTTGAATTACAAGGGACCAGATTCAAATTCAGAAAGCGAAATAAAATTTCGTCGTTGCCTAAAATTAGGAATTTTTACGTCTTAGTATTGCAAAAAAGGCAAAGAAATGTACAAGAAAGCGTGATGCACGTGCAAAGTTGTTGTTTTGCTTATTAAAACTATTTTTTGACACGTTCTCGTTGCCGTCGGTTCGTTGATTCTTAAAGTCTGTAAAATGAACTAGACATCCGTGACACAGCCCCTTAACGTGATGTTACACGGGACGACTCGCAACAACGATTTTTAGCGCAACTCCGCATTACAGCATTGTTGCGACATTGTTTCGAATGGTTGCAACATTGTTCCAACATCGCAACGCTGTGTTGCGCTAAAAATCGTCGTTGCAAATCGTCTCGTGTAACATCACCTTTAAAGGTGATGTTAAACGAGACGATTCGCAACGACGATTTTTAGCGAAACACAGAGCTGCAACATTGTTGCGACGTTGTTTCAAATGGCTCCAACATTGTTCCAACATTGCAACGCTGAGTTGCGCTAAAATCGTCGTTGCGAATCGTCCTGTGTAACATCACCTTTAAGTTTAGCACCATTTAAGGTAATATCTATATTTAGATACAATGTTATTACGGTGCAGCAACTCAGTCTGACCTCTATGCTTTATTCTATCCACAGCTTTCATGAAATCAGCCTTGTTGGAATATGCTTTCAATTTGATGTCTACATTAGCGTAGGTACTGTAGCTGACTACCCCCATCTGAACTCCGTTAGGTCCAAAGTTGCTAAAGCCCTTTGCCAGCTCGGCTACAAAGTTCTTTTCCCGTCGGAAATCATCATCGCTAATACTTCCAGATTCATCCATGAGAACTCCGAGTTCTACTTTACAACCTGTCGTTGAAAAAATGTCATTAGAGAGATTAAGATTCCTGTTTACGCCAAACGGCAAATATCAGATTCAAGTTGAGACTTTCTCAGAATAGGAAATAAGCAGATAAAAACTGTCCAGAACAATTCTTATGTCTAAAACTGGCGTGAAACTACTTTGAAATAAACAATAAGCAGTTAACCACAATTAAAAAAATGCACTTTTTATTTGAGTGTCAATGTATTTAGCACAAAAGTGCTAATTGGGGACACAATTTTTTTTTTCTTACGTCATACGTTTTTTTTACGGACCGCCATTTTACGTGGTCATCCGAGCCACGCTAAAGTCTCGCCGCTAGTGCAAAGGAAGTAGCTTCATTTCTCAGTTATTTTAAGACCCTGAGTAATGGTCGGGCCACGGGAATCGAACCCCCGACCTCCCGCTCTGCAGTCAAACGCTCTACCGACTGAGCTAATCCTGCCACGGTTAAAAACTTAGTCACGTGGTACAAATTCACGTTTGCCGTTTGGAGTAAACGTCAATCTTAATTTCTCTATTGGTTATTTCGTAGTTGCGTGGGTGGTCTTTGAATCTAAGTGTAGGATTAACCTTCTGAGAATCTTCTCTAAACAGGCTTCTGATCACTCGACAACTGTATGAACACTAGACTAGTTAAGGGAGATAAAGGATTTTAAATTAACAATTAATTATGAATGAATCAAAGCAAATCACGACCGAAAATTGGCAGTTCTCCGCTGTTGATTCTATTCAAGAATTTTATCTATTTATTTTTTTATTATTATCATGTTTTTTTTTTGGGGGGTAATCCCTTACATGGCATCTACAGAGTGGTACTCCAGAAACCTCGGTTTAAACACTATGCAAGCTGCTGCATTGTATTTTGAGCCCTCTCAGCAGTGTGTAGCGTGTGCAGCTTAACAAAATGGCAGGATGGTAGTGGTAATCTCTTCTATTCGCAATACTCATTATTCATAATAAGCGGCTACGGAACGTTTTCATCCACGTGAGCAGCAGCTAGACAAATTTCTTGGGACAAGAGAAAAGTTTCACATGAGAAAAAAGTTCAATCCACACAGGATGGGTTTGGGACGCCAACTTGGCCGCCGTTTAATTGATGTGGGGCACCAATATGGCTGACCTGACTTCATGTAAAACACTCTCTAAGAAAATCAACGTGTGTAAGCAAATAGTGCAACATACATGACACAAAGGTTGATTCCGTCTGCGGCGCTGGACATGAGGTTTGAAGACCATTACAATTTGGTCTGTTCACCACGTGTTGGGTAACTTTGCTGCTCCTCTGTCGAGTCATACGGCCACATGTAGCAGACCAGCGTGTCCATGGATTCCACGCGCATGTCACGTACTTACATGGACCTGATTTTCGTTTGGTTAAAAAGAAAAAGCCAGAGAACTGTTAAGGGTGACGTGAGACTCATTTTTGTAAAGATAAGCTGTCTGCCCAAAAATTTGAGAATTTCCTCTCTCCGAGCGTCATTAAAACTTTCCTACAGTTATGCTAAAGAAAAAAAATGAAACAAGTAAAACATTTTGTTATCAAAAAAATTGAATCATCACTCTGAAATAGACGTCACTAAATTAGAGGAGAGAACTAAAGTTATGAGCCCTCCGCTCCGCTCGAGCCTCGTTGACGATGGATTGAACATGTCACGTGACTTTTACCTTGATCAGTCTGAACCAGTTTGTTGAGAGGTTTTATGATCTTCCCTATACAAGGTATTTTGAAGCAAACGCTATTAGATTTGTATTAAATGAAAAAAAGCTTCAACAGTAGACATTGGGGAGCTTAAGCAACGACGACGGCGACGGCAACGAGAGCGGCAAAAAAGCAATAGGTTTAGATTAGCAAAACAACAACTTTACACGCTTTTTTGTACATTTCTTAGCCGTCGTTGCACAACTACAACGTGAAAGTGCCTAACTTGACGTTTTGTTGAGGACGGGAACACAAGACAACAACTTTCTTTTTCGTTTCCTGAACTTTGATACAAATCTTTACAATTAAACTCTAGAAAAAGTTTACCATCATTTGACGAATTATACGAGATGGAATAAGCGCGATAAATTTTGAGGCAGTGTGAATTCACTTTTTAAGTGACGTTTTCGTAACCATCGTCGTCGTTGTTGCTTTAGCTTCCCCCCTTCTTCGGTGCATACTACTCTTTGATCACGCCGCCTTTATACTTTGAATTTCTTCAACGTCTCTGATCGATTTCAAATTACAGTTTTCTTTCTCAGTGTTGATCGTATTCGTGATCAGCGGGTTAAACATCTAATTGGGTTGTTCCAGAAAAAATCCACACCCCCACGACGGAAGGCTTGCTGGAAAATCTCACGGGAGGGGTTGGGGGTGTTAACGGCTCTGGAAATCCAGATGGAAGGGGGCTTGAAAACCTAAGACTACATCGTAACTCAACTTCAATTCACTTTTTGTTTAACAGCGTCATCAGTGTGCAAAGGGGAAATATAAAATATAAACAATATAAACCCCGCTGATACGCTGTTATATTCGATAAGGCAAGCACAGTATAGCTATGATATGCGTTTGAGTTTTTTTTTCCGATACTTGGCGTGCTGGGGAAGCAAAACGAGAATTACTCACATTGGGTGTTTTTAGTTTCCAACTGCTCCTTTTCACATGTTGTAGTTAGGCCTGAACAGCCTCCTTGTTGTTCTTTGATACGCTCGGTCTGCTTACTTAACCTTCGCACCCTTTTCATTCCATTGCCGCAAGAGCTGGACCACTCCGACCAACCGGTGTATTCACATGTCACATAAAAACACTGGTATTCTGTAAAAAACAAATGATCAAAGAAAACAAAAAAGGTTGTAGTTGAAATAATTCAACAACGCCAAGAGTTGAAAAGGAAAATTCGAAAAAAAAAGCAGCGTCTTTTAAAACCTTTTAGTCATAAAGCTACAATGGAAGCATTTTGTCTTGTAATCTGGTTGTGTAATGTTTTTAATTGCGAGGCAGGGATTTTCAACTGCAATCTCTGCTTTTCAATTGGTTGAACTACACTAAATAACAAAGCATTTCTTCTATCATTAAGTCATTAATTTTTGAGTCAAATTTCCACCTATCTACTGGTTTATGCTTTAAGTGACAAATTCGTCGTTATCCTTTGGATAAGGTTCCTCGAAATATTTTCTCAGAAATCTCTTTCTCAAGCTGCACAGTGGCAACCGGCTAAAAGGAAAAATTTCTGATCTGAAGAAAACCAGGAAACGAGATAATTCTGCATGACTGTCTTTTTATATGACACATACCGTAAACTTATAAGCCCCCCCAACTTATCAACCCCCCCCCCCCCTCCCCCCTTGTTATAGGCTCATCTAACTAATTACAAAAAAATGTATCCGATAGTATCAACCTCCGGGAATATACGCTCCAACTCTAGCTAGTTTTCAAATGAATTCGATTTTTTTTGCGACGTTTGGAGCCTCCCCCCCGTTTATATAAGGCCCTCCTACTTCCCTTACAAAGTTGTATAAGTCCAAGCCTTATAAGCGGAAGTTTGTAAATGAAGACAGGGGCAAACAGAATGTCACTGTTTCACTTCATCTTCTTTTACTTACTCTTGCAAGAAGATTCACCGATCCGTTGCAGAAGAGTCTGTAGTTCCTGCATAGTGGCAACATAGAAAACGTGATCCTTAACCGGCGCTGACGCCATCATCTCAAGCTCTTGTCTGTTGATGCTGGAACCAATTCCTATGGTGAATATGTTTACGTAGCTCTTTTCAAGATTTTCGATTGGAACTTTGAGTTTCTCGCTTCCTCCAGTGGTAGCACCGTCAGTCAGGACAATTAGAATCTATAACATGAGAAAATAATGGTGTCAATTTCCACATGTAAATCAGTTTACGTTTTTAGTGGATACCCTAAGAAATAAAAAGCGGTAAAACAGCTACTGCTTTATGTCTAGATTGCATCAAGAAGTTATGGTGTTATTGAGGATTTAAATCCTCACTAAAAAAAAGAGTTTCGTTCTGCTTTTTTCAAATAAACGTTTAGTAAACAGGTTTTATTTGCATTTAAGGGCACCAGTGTAAGTGAAAATGAGTTAGAAATTTCAGGCTACACAAACCTTTGAGACGCCAGGACGGGCACCATTTGCCAACTGAAAAAGCTGATTCTTCGCAACATTTAGAGCTTTGTGTGTGAAGGTCCATCCCTCTGTAGTGGAAAGTGTAGCATTGTCAGTCTGATTCAGAACCACCGATGAAAAACTCTTTCTTCGCTGATGAAACTGGTATTATTTTAATGAGAGTTTGGAGAGATGTGGCTTTCAACTGAAGGTTATTAAAGCACAGCTAGCCCAAGCTCAGAATGAGAGTTTTTAAACTCATTACGACTTGTGCATGGCATTAGTCATATTCGGCATAATCCTCAAAATGGCCGTGAATATAAAGGAGTTTTATCGGAGTTCAGGTAATGGTTCCAAGAAGATAAAAACGCTTTACTTATTTACTTGATGTTTTCCTGCTTCCTGTGTGATTATTTTTGTGATCTGTTGCGATTTAAGCGATTTCTTTTACTCTCGAGCTTCCAATTCTAGGAGTGGAAACCTGAATTCCCATACAAATCCTTTATTTTCACGGCCACTTTGACCATTATGCAATACGATACCACTCGAATTAATGATGAATAGACCTTTTTAGCTTGTAAATTTTGTTTTCCCAATTCAGACCACGTGATGTTCTCCACGGAATTTGCCTTTTGTTTTTTTATTAATTATGCATTCATATGCACGTGGATGCACGTGCATAAGGAGACATTTGGAAGAAACAGTTCTCTGGGGTACCATCACGTGGTCTGAAGTAGGAAAACAAAAAGGTCTATTAAGAAACGGTCCAGATAAGAACGATAGCAACAACGGTAACGAACATGTTGGAATGCAAAAAGGGTGCTAACTTTTCTATTGTCTGTACTTACTTCTGATTGGCTTAAACAGCAAAAGTTAACAAAACTTCATAAAGCGGTACATATATTCATCCTTACTTTCCAACCATCTTCCATATAACAAAATCTAGTCTCAGAGAAAAGAAAGAAGAAATCCTATGTGGGGAACATGTAAAATTGTAAACTTTTCTTGGCTATTGTTTTCAACTCTTGTGATTGGTCACAAGAAAAAAAAACACCCTTTCAAAGTGCTGTGTAAATGCATTTTATTGCGTGAACGACCTTCTTGTAGGTTTATGAATTCTCTGTGTAAAAATGAGAACATTTCTATGTGGGGAAGGCACCGTTGCCGCATAACAAAAGAAATTGCTATCCACCTTACCCGGATCATCACTTAATGACTTAACTCTCCACTGAGCTTGAGCTGCTTGTCATCAAAGGCGTTGGCTCTAATTTGTCCACCTCCATCTTTCTATAATAAGGTAAAACACAAGCCGGGAGAATTTAAAAACTACTTACTATACTGCCTGATGCTATTCACGGCATGGATAAACTCTTTCTTGTTAGAGTACTGATTAAGCTTGATGTCCAGACGCGCATCCGTGCTATATGATATGACCGCCATCTGCATACCATTTGGACCGAAGTTTGTCAGGCTATTTGCCAGATTGGCAACAAAGTTTTTCTCCTTGACGAAATCGTTATCTTGAATGCTTCCAGATTCGTCCATTAAGATTCCCAAATCGCCTTTACAACCTGTAGGGATTAAGGAATGGACATTGTCATAAATTAACTCTAAGCAAGATAACAACAGGCAAGGGCTGTACTCCATGAGAAATCAGGCCAATTCCGAGTTCCAAAAACCCTCGCTTTCAAAATAAGGCGAAGTGCACAACCCTTCCCCCTGGATTTACTTTTAAAAAACCGCAAAATTCAAAGCCATATTTCGCGAACAGGAATCCCTTTGTAAGGTGGATTTAAAATTTACCGAGCCACACACGTCCGTTGTTGGATCATCAAGTTCGTTTAGAAAAAAGCGGAATTTCCCAATAAGACGCACCATTTGCGTAACAAATTTTCATTGCAAGTGAATGTAGTTTTATCTATGTTACATTAACAAAATTCGATAAGATACCATGAATTTATATACAGCTGTACATACAGGAAATATAAGACGATTCCACTTCAGGTTTAGGACAGGAAGTTTGCAGGCCGTTACAGTTCGGGCGGTTAACGATGGATTGAGTGGCTTTGCTGGTGCGCTGACGCGTTATTCGTCCACAAGTTGAGGACCAGCTGCTCCATGGGTACCAAGAACATGTCATGCTGATGCAAGGACCTGTTGATGCGTTAAACATTGAAAATTATTAATCTTCTTTTTTATTATTATTTGGGCTTTCTTTTATTATCAATTTTATTGAACCCACTAAACATTTTAAGAGCCATCAACTGCATCAATTTAACTGCGCACTTCATAAAAAGAAATCGAAAAATCCCTTGATGTCACTACTGACAATTTGACAGCGTAGACTGCCCTATATGTCTTTTACAACCGAAAATATACGATTAGATGCTGAAAAAATTCCTTGATCTTTTTTTTCTTTTGGAAAAGATCAGTAATAATCAATCAAAAAGTTAACGATCCACATCCAATCTCATCCTCAACCCTGTGTTGATTTGGATTCTCTTTCAGATTTGTAAGGTTCGAACCCAAAGTAGGAAATTGAAATGGGAAGGTTTGAGACCAGTAGGGGTACTCTCAAGTACAGAAGGGAAAAGCAAAGATCTGAATCCAAGTCTGTCTTGCCTTCATTTTTACTCGCTTGGTTAAGAATGTCAAATAGAGAAAAAATAGATAAATCAATAAACACTCCGAACGTTCCTAATCAGAATATTACTAGCACTTATAACTACACGTCTACCCCATTGCATAAATCCTCATTGACTGCCTTAGCACGCCTCAATGGGAATGCCCATACAAATATTGAACTTACAGTTTGTAGTTGTTCTCGTTTCTGTTTCTTGTCTGTCGCAGGTGACTTTAAGCCCTGAGCAGCCACCCTGCTTTTTGATATAATGCTCATTGACCTTTACCAGGTTCCGTGCGCGTCTCATTCCTGTACCACATGTGGCAGACCAAGCACTCCATTGACTATAGTCACACGTCACAAAGCGACAATTGTATGCTATGAAGGCATCAACATGATTTGACTTAGGCACGGGTATTTCAGATTGTATCTTGTTTAAGAGAGCTATTAATAAAATGCGACATGCTAATTATCGTCTGATTTTTTCTGCTGCTGTCTGTACTTTACACAAAGAAAATGGGAGCAATCGGGTATTTGAACGAGCGGGACATCAGGAATAAGAACATCGACAAAATTAGTGATAAAAATTGTAAGGGCGATATTACACAGGAAAAATTCACAACGGTGATTTTCAAGGGCAACAGACATTTTGAGAAATGTTTTGAATTGTTATTACATTGTTCCACCATTGTTGCCCTATACAAACAAACAGAAAAGTAAGAAAATATAATGTATGGACTTGACTTCAAAGTTTCAGGTATACATCGCCAGGTATATAGCATATCACGCGTTGGAAAGAGTAAGTAAGAGTCCACTTCCTTTCTTTTACTTGTAACTCCACTGATGAAGGGCCAGGCCCGAAACGGCTGAAGGGGAACCCAAACCACAAGACGCACTTTTGTTTATTATTTTTTGTTGAACATTCTCTTACTTACTTTCTTTTACACTGTATTTCTTAGTTTACTGGCATGGCGGTGGACCCAAAGTATTTGATGTTACCGGTGAAATTCGGTTATTAATAGGTTGCATTTTTTAGGGCAGGGCACTTCGAATCAGCAAACCAACCATCCATCTTATACTAACAAGAAAGGGCATTTGAAGTCTGAGCTGTGCTAAAAACGCATTTTTGTAGGTAATAACAAGTTATTTTCTGATACTGCCTATGTACTACGTTTATGGGGTCATGTGCGTTATCCCACAACCAGCTTACTTGTGCAGGACGAAGCCGTAATCGAGCTAATCAGAGTCTGCAACTGATTCATATTTTGGACTGAGAACACATGGGTGTTGCTAGGCGACGAGGCCATGAATTTTAGCTCATTCTGATTTGCTTTGCTTCCGACACCAATGGAGATGATATTCACCGAAGAATCCTTTAGCAGCTTTATTGGTGTTTTTAGAGTTTGCATTCCGCCAGTGCTCTGTCCATCTGTGATAATGATCAAAACCTATTAGATAAACAAATACGGTTCTGTTAGTAAATTTTTCTTTAAGTATTCTGTTGACGTCTGTTGATGTTAAAATACCTTTAAACGCGATTGGGCTTCAATTAAAACTCGGTGAGTTGAGGAATGGCTCAAGTGATACAATTGTCAGACAATACAAGTGATGAGGTGGTCATGCGATATAAGTGGTGCATTGGTCAGACCACACATACGGTGCGGTGGTCAGACCATAAAAGTGGTGCAATGGTCAGGCCATGCAAGTGGTACAACGGTGAGATCATAGATGCGGTGCAGTGGTCAGACTATACAAGCGGTGCAGTGATCAGACCATACATAAGAGGTGCAGTTGTCAGATCATACAAGTGATGCAATGGTCAGATCATACAAGTGGTGCAATGACAGATCATCAACACAGTGCTGTGATCAGACCAGGCATTAGAGGTGCAGTGGTCAGACTACAAAAGTGGTGCAATGTTCAGACCATGCCAGCGGTGCAATGATCTGACCATACAAGTGTGGTGATTTACCTTGGCTACCTTTGCACGTGCACCCTTAGCCGCCGTTAACAGCTGTTTGTAGGCTAGATTTAAGGCTTTGCCAGTGTATGTCCAACCACCTGCAAAAAAAATGTTTAATTAGACTTGTTTTGTCCAGCGTAATCAACCAAAAAACTTGTAACCGGGAAATGAAGTTTATTTGTTATTCTTAAATGGACAAGGGAACCTGTAGTTTACACTTCCACTGAAGGGCAGGCTTAGCTCATAACACTGGACTGCAAAACGAGATGTTACAGGTTCCATTCCGAGAACCACACAAGTTCTCAGGGCCTTAACATGACTAAGAAAAAAGGGAACCTTTGCCTTAATGCGCACAATGATAATCTCTCCAGATACATATTTTTAAGACAATGATAACCAACGCTTATCTCGTCTCATTTGCCTTCTTCTTAAACTTGATGGCTGTGGATTTTGGTTCAACTTTGTAAATCTTTACGCTTGAGACAGAGCTAAATTTGAAATGAATGAGAAGTGGCAGTATATACAAGTAATTTGATATAATATACCTTCATGAGAGATGGCATTTACCCCTCTTTGAAAGGAAGCAGCGTCTCCGTATCTGTTAAGTGTAATATCCAGCTTTGCGTTTGTGCTGAAAGTAATAACACCAAATTGAGAAGCGCCGGGACCAAATTGAAAGTGACCAGCCAAGGCTTTTACGAAGTTCTTCTGTTGTTCAAAATCAGCCTTGCTCACACTGCCAGACTCGTCCATCAGAATACCAACGTCTACCTTGCAAGCTGAAAAAGTGTCACATTTGCATTAACAGTTTTGTAGGTTGCAGAGAAGAACTCTTTTAAAGCTAAAATAAAACTTTTCGCTCCAATAAAAGGTATTCCGGATTCCGGAATCCGAGAATTGTTTCTTGTGGAATCGAAAATCCTGGACTTTGGAAAACGCAATTCGGATCCAGGTGATGCAGAATCCGGCTAACGGTTGGAGTCCGGAGTCTAGTACCTGCAATCCGGAATCCAAGACTGTCATCGGATTACCTTGCATGGAGCGACTCTTTACCTAGAAAACAGTTTCAATCCACATGAGTTTGAACAGGACCATCCGGTTGAGCCTTGCAAGATAGCTCATAGTCAATAACGTTTGTAACAGAATGTTCCACAGGTTTTTGGAAACGTATGTGTCACTCATTTTAAAATAATCTGTGTCTTACGTATCCTCGTTCCCAGTGCAGACGAGTAGCTACTTCTTCCCTGCCGTAAATCAAAATTAGGCCAAGGCAAAGCGTCGAATTAACGTTTTGATGCAACGAACCAAACTGAGTGAGTGAAGTTCTTGATAGGTTCAACGACTGTCTCAGATTACGTTTGTATGACTGAGTTTGGATAGACAAACACTTTTTTCCGTCCACTCCAAACGAACAGACGGTGTAGAGCTATCGCAGTTTAATTAATAGAAAAAAAAAGTATTTCTTCGGGAGAACCAAACTAACGAACGAAAACTGTTGTTTTAAACGGGTTTCACAGTTTGTTTTTTCCTCAAATTAGCTCGAAGCTTAGGGAATAAGTTCGACGTCTAATCCAGTAGTCGAACTCAGTGGCGGATCCAGGGGAGGGGCCCGTGGGGCCCGCCCCATCCCCCCTTATTTTTAGACCAAACTGAGACACGAAGGGCTGGAAAAAAGTTTTTCAAAATAAGGTCGACCCAAATGCCAATTTTGTTCATCTCATTATAAAACGTTAGGCCTACCTGATATTATTAGCTTTATGTTATCATGTATTTCCAAAACTATTGTATACTTCTTACCCTTTAAACAGCCGTAAAGCTCCATTCTCATTGAAATTCCTGCCTGCCAGGTTTTTGGATGAAGTCGCAAAAATCGAGCTTCAATATTTGGTGTTATACCGTGTTTAACTACTGAATTTCTGTCCCTGTTTGCACTGAAAACCTAAAAATTAAATGTCTAGATGTTAGCACAAAAATCATGTTTATAAATCTCGTTTAATATCATAGTGCATTCAAAGTTACTGGGCTCGTTTTTGTAGACAAAACTCGCCCACCTTTCGTTGACCAAATTTAAAAGAAAGAATGTTCCCCAGTTTCAACACATTTGACACCTATTGTGCTGATATTGGCAGAAAAAAAGAAAAGAGTGCACAATGGCTCAACGGTTGGGGCGGTTGGAGAGAATGGCGACCGATTGCACCTGCACGTTAGGGGATGATGAAATAGCAAGTCAAACTACAGAAACAAAATTATAGCAAGGAAAGACAAAAATAGAACTCTACGAATGACGACGGCTTAAAAATATAAGCTTGGACTCCGTTCATAATTCATATCCTGAACATGCCGATGAAAGGGCAAATGTTTTGAAGACGGGACATTTGAATAAAGGTAAACACGTTTTTAGACTTGGATAAATTTAAAATGTATTTTAAAAAATTAATTTAATGCAGATCTCGGAGGGTTTTATGTATCCGTCATCGGCTGAAATATTCTGCCTTATTCGATTATTGCTAAATAAAATAAATCATAAGATTAAAGTCAGCTAACAAAAACGAATGAAGGTTAGGGCAACCAGTAGATCAATCATAGAATTACAGTTAGTTAAAAATGCTGTTTCACACCCAACTTAGTAATGCGACTCTTTTCGTTCCAGCTGGCATTATTAAATTTCTCAGGGGTTGACTTTACATGTAAAGAAAAGCAGTCGTTTTATTGAGCTGGTGTAACTTACTTTACTAAGTATGGATGACTTGCGGTGAATTCGTGAAAGGCGGGGCTAGCAGCCCATATATTTAAATTGTCATACAAACCTTTTGATGTCCACCAACACTGTAAATTGTGTATTTTGTGCCATCTTCGCTGTAGGACAAGCTATAGCTAGTAACCCATTGAGAAAAGTCTTGACGCCCTTGTGTGGCAATGGCTGTGAACTTCATTGGGCGATAAAAAGACACCTAGGAAAAATGAAAGTTTTCGTGTTGTAATAGTGCTATCAGTGGTGCTTTAACAGTAGGCGAACACCTACAGTAAATTTAGTGATTGATCCATGCCTCAGTATTAGAGTAATAGGGGGCTTAAGCAACGACGAAGGTAACGGCAACGAAAACGTCACCCAAAAAGTGCATTCATGCTGTATCAAAATTCATCGCTCTTGTTCCAACTCTTTTAATTTGTCAAATGCTGGCGACTTTTTTAGGAGTTGAATTCTAAAGAACTAAGATCACAAAAACAAAGAGAAAATCTTAGTCTTGCGCTCACTCCTCCATAAAACGTAAAATTAGAACGTTTCACGTCGTAGTTGTGCAGTGACGGCAAAGAAATGTACAAAAAAGTGTTATGCACGTGCAAAGTTGTTGTTTTGCTAATCTGAACCTACATATGTATTGCTTTTCTGCCGTTCTCGAGGCCGTCTCCGTCGTCGTTGCTTAAGCTCTCTAGTATGGACATTTCACAAACCTGAAGCCATTGGTCTTGATTGTTGTACTTTGCTGACCACGATCCCCGGAAAGTCCCCTGTTTTGGCATGTTCAGTCTTCCTCTCCAAGCTGCGTGTTTCCAATCCCACACAGTTGACGCTGTCATTTGACTATTTTCCACCCATCCACTCTGTAGTCCAAGTGGCTTATCGCACGCTACATTGGTCATGAGAAAATCATGAAAAGGACGCTTTATTCTACTGCACTGTCAATCAAAAAGATCTGTTTCAGCCCTAAAGTGCCAATTTAAGAAGCCCTGCATCTCATCTTCGAAATCAGATTCAGCCTCTCTCGATTCCATTTAAGCATAATAAGCTAAAACAGCCCCATCAAATGCCTATCCAGACCACGATGGGACTCATTTCAGCCTGTGGGACTAAATCAGCCTTTAGTCTAGCTAATTGGACTGTATCGGCCCTGTTCAGGGGAGCTAAACTAGACCCCCCAAAAATAGGACTGTATTTTATTGACCGAAACTACCCCCTGTTATGGGTAAACAGATCTTTTTTTACTTACAGTTTATAGCAGATTTCAGGACTGTACCTTGATAAAAAAATTTACATTACAGTCAGGTGGTAGATCGTGGCGTACAGTTTCGAAAGCAGCTCATTCATTTTCTTTCTAGAATGACCTATGCAGTGGGCCATGCCAGTTCTTCATTTTTTGTAAGCATCCTAAAAATTATAAAATGTGATTTGCAATGGGCAAAACTCAACGTTTAAAGCTTTTTCTCAACCAAGAAATCTTGGTAATACTTTTTGCACTATTTACTCACAACCCTCAATGTTATGTTCTATTTGCATCATTTGTTTCAGGATTACTTGACTGGAGTGTCTGCAAACTAGCTTGATAAGCTAAGTGCACTTTCCACTATAAACAAAAAAACAAAAAATGGCTACAAATGACTTACGTCCCTCAACGGCGGGTTTCTGCCCCGGGGAGATACTCATACGGCGCCTGCAGTAAATGTTAGCGGCGTTTAGCAGGCTCGGACCAATCCACTTTGCTTCGTTTGCGATTCCGTACACTCTTCTATTACCACTGTTACCGCTATGTACTTTGGCCGCCGGCCAATTGTTGTCGTCAAATCCGACTTTTTCCCAGTTTCTTATGCCTTGAGTAGTACATTTCCATGTGCTGTCAGTAACGACCCCGTTCCCAAAAGACGCAATAAGACCGCCTGAACCACCAACGTTTTTTACGTAGACAGCAACAACTTGAATGTCGGCAGAGAAGTAGAAGCTGTGGTGGAATTATATTTTCAAAGCTGACACAATTTTACATGTTTTAAACTTACACTTGGTTATCTTAAAGAAAAAAAAAACTTTACATAGAAAACTTTGAAATATTGAAAGTTTCGAGTTAAAAAGAGACGGGGTTGTCTTTCTTTGCCAGAAAACGAAACTGGTCCTTATAGATCCTTATCATGAGCGCAATGGGAAGAGGGCACTTCGAAGAAAGTAAGGCAGCGACGGGGAAGCCTGTTACAGGAAGGATTGTGTCGACATGAAATTAAAGGAAAGGACGAGAGTTTGACTTCTCTTAGCCGTGTACGCGATAATGAGTCTTGGGCCTAGGAAAAACGTCGAACTTTTCATGAGACGTACCAAACTCTAATTTGAGTCGACCTAAATTAAGTAAAGACAATCTGTTGGGTCAGACATCGAACTTACGACGCGTCGAACCAATCAACTAAATCAGACCAAACATGCGTTTTTAATGAATTTTCTCCTGCACTGGGCTAAACATAAATTATCATACAGATTTATAATTTATTAGACTAAGGTTAGTTCGTGGCATGTGAAGATCGACAGGGTTTGTCCCGGAGACGATCTTCCGACGTCCAGTCCTTCTGAAACAGACGGATGAAACGTGTTGGACGATCCAAACTTATTCAGACGAACTAAACTGATGAGCCAGACGTCAAACTTTTCATGAACTTGACTCGATAAGTTTGGTTTGTCTCATGAAAAGTTCGACGTTTGGCCTATATAAACCTTGGAGTCCTTAATGGCGGCGATTTTTCACATAGGAGTTTAAAGCAGCGTTTTACTTTGTTACCTTGTGGGAACATTCCACCTCCCGTTATCTTTTCCCATGTATCTTCCGTTGGCATATACCCAAGTGTGGTCGTCTCCACTAATCTTTCCTTCCATTCCTGTAATTATTCAACAGTCCTCCTGTTATATCCCTTCGATAACACCGTTTGCAATTAATATTGTTATATTTACACGCACATAGGGTTATCATGACCTTCTGGATATAAACAGATAAAGTGAGCCAATTTTAAAAAAAATGATGCTCTGAATGCTTCGAGGCAAAAATGAAAGAATAGAATGGTAACAAAAGATCGCTGTTTATTGCTAGTTTTCTCGCAATTATTAAACGTAGCATAAAAGGAGAACTTATAACTCACAATTATTATTCATTTAAAACATTCCTCAGTTTTTGATGATTAGCTTCGATCTAAAATGGTGAAGAAGTTCACCGCTAAATAAATCGAAATAACACAAAATGATAGCAAGAATACGAAAACGTATGACTGGAGAAATATCAGCTACCTTTGGATGAATATCTTCAAATAAAATCTGTATAAATAATGATGAGGTGATGATGGGGAGGATGGCGATGATGACAACGACAACGACGACGATAATGATGATAATCGATTTTACTGCAGGTAATTTTTCTTTTCTTTTTATTTTTTTTTTACAGCAATCGCCTTAGTTTGAAGTATGAGCAAACACTAAAATTACTTGTCACGAAATTTCGAATTGGAGGCTCGTTTTACCTCACAGTGATTCGTGTTCGATTCCAAAACAATTTCACAGGTCTATTTTCATGGACTTTCTAGTTAAGGACTGTTGCTCCGAATATTTTTCTGAGACTAATTTAGCATACTTTAGCAATAAAAGCTGATGCCAGAAATGTCCGTCATAAATACATTCGAAATGTCAGTAATACATTGTCCAGTTTTCACTGTATTTCTAGTCGTAATAACTTCATCCAAAAATATCTTTATAACGCTTTTACTGATTTCGCTTAAACTTCCCGAAGATCGAGGCCGCGGCTGTTGGAGGAAAAAGTTCCCGCTAACGATTTTATAAGAAGAGTTCCCAGTGCCGAGAAAAACGGCTGTAACTAAAATCGAAAAAGCGTCATTTCGTTATCACAACAAATTTTCATCTTTATCTATTATACAGCTGTGATCGTAATTTTTTCAAATCTTTGTTAATGGCGACGTACTTTATGCTCAAATTTGGGAGGTGTTCGCCCTGAAAAACCCTATCGAGCCACCTTAACTGTCAAACACGACCAGACTGCATATAGAATGACCCACCTCTACACCATCCATATTTTCTATCCTCGTCGTAACTAGGGGAGAGGCTGCACCAAAGTCGGCTTGCTCTGGAGGATGTACACGCATTGAAAGTTTGTCCTCTATAGACAAAAGGAAAAACGCAGCACTTGCCGTCCGATGTTTTCATGTTGCACATAGCTGCCAAAAAACAAACAAACAATTAGACAAATTAGGTGAATATTAGAAGGGTTATAATTTTGAAAGCTTGGTCAGATAATCCAGGGATAATTCTTATTGGCCTGCGTGGTTGGCGGCTTTCGATCATTGGCAGCATGAGCGCTTTAAAGCTTGTTCATATCAACGCAACTTGTGTTTCTGTCCTTTTATCTTTTATTTGGAAGGCATTTGCGACAGAGCGAAGGCGGTTTCTCGGAAATGAGGTAACTGCATGTCCATGAAAAGCACATGATCGTCTGGTATCAACATCCCTCGAGACGAGTTACATTATATTAGTCGAAACGATAATTGTTTGAAAGCGAATGGAGAGGAGAAACCACCTTGACTCTGATACAATCCTTTCCAAAAAAACTGTACCAACAGAAGACTCAGATGCAGAGGTAAATAATTTGGAAATCGATGTATTGAAATAAGTTACAAAGCGCGAACATAAAATGTTCTCTGTGGCGCGGCAAAAAAGGAAAGAAAACTTCACTTTCGACCATTTTTCTCAACTTTTTTTCGGCCCGGTGTTGCAGCATTTTTATTTCCTCCCTTAACTATCGTAGTTTTGTCTAAATTGCGGGGCAATAATGGCCATTTTTCTACGCTGGCTATCCCCACAAGACATCCAATTCTCAGTTCTAAGAGGCCTTGGGATTAGAGGTTAGCCAATTCCTTTCCTTTCAATTGGTATACACATCGTCATTGTCAGGAGCCCTTAAGGGCTCCTGTTATCGTACCTAATTTCATAATTTTGAAATATTTCTATCAATAGCACTTTTTTTTTAGAAACATTGCTACATTTGGTTCTTTTACTCGCCCGTCAAAAGGCCAAGCAATGTATGGTAACAAACTACCTTGTGTTCCTCTTACCGAACTGAATCGGCTTTGGAAAGTGAGGAGATGGAATGTATCACTGGGAAGTTCTCGAAGCTCTGGTCAGTTAAGAAACATTTTTGGCCGATCAGAAGCATCTATCGATCTGATCAAGTCATTTCGCCCCAGTTACTTAGCCCCCTTTTCTAGAACGATAGAACGAGGAATATTGTATTTGACTCGTGGTTGTTTTGGTTTATGGCTTAAAGAACGAGGAATATTACATTTGAAGCGCGCTAAATGACTCGAAAATAGGGGGCGAAGTAACCGGGGCGAAATGACCGGTTACCCTCTTTTCAGTTCCCGAAGGTACTTTAACGGACTGATCGAACTTAAAATAGACTTGTACATCAAATCGCGGACAAGAGCCTGCTGGTTGGCAAGGAAAAAAAATTAGGTAATGTGTTGAGCTGATTTCGAAAACGTCTTGTAGCTGTTTACTTTACTGAGCTCCCTGGTTTTGAATTTTTTTTCTTTTCTGTCGTTTGTTTTCTATCATCTTCGTCTTCAAGGTCGTAGTGGTGATATGAGTGAATCGACTATTATTAATCTCAGGGAACTTGGGCGGTCGTTAAGTTTTGCAGCTGAGATTAATAATAGTCGATTCACGCATATCACTACTATGACCTTGAAGACTAAGATGATAGAAAACAAAAGACAGAAAAGACAAGGTCGAATACAACTATCAGGTTTTGCGACAACACCAATACACCAATCCTTTTATTTAGTGATTTAAATTAACTTGCGCAACAAAGTTTGATAGCCATTGTCTACACAGACTTATTTAAGCCGGAGAAAACAAAAGATCAAGGTTATAATAATAGAGCGTATTTTTTAGTACTTTACTTTAATCAAAGATGAATGATTAGAAATGCATAGGGACACGAAAACAACTGTGTTTTTTTGTGGCACTAGGCAAAAAACATAACCGTAGCATAGGAAAAGTGCCGGTCAAAATGCACTTCTTTATTCATATTATTATTTTAATAAACTCCAAGAATGCTTTTTTATTTCTGTTTTGTCACGTTTCCCGATTGGCTAGGTACAGTCTTAAAAGGACAAACGTTTTTGACCGTGGAAAATGTACGGAAAGCTAGAACGTAAAACTGAACCGAATAATAATGATATCAATGGTTTTCATTGTACTGCTGCCGATTCTTTTATTTATTATGTCAATTTGAATTGATTAAAAACTGATTTACACAGAAAAATTTGAAGAGAGAGTAAGCAAATTTAAAAGGTATTCCATCAAAAATCATGTATTTAAAATCTTACCTCCATTACCAGCTACGGACAAACTGTTGGGAAGAAGGAAAAAGACTGAGATGATAAATTTGAACTAGTGTATGACAAATGCAAAAGAAAAGAAGTCAAGAACAGTTGGCAAATAAGATACCAAGTTATTTCCATGAAATATCATCCGCGATTCACCGCAACTAGTAAAAGAAAATTACTCACCAAAGGGTATAACATTATCTTTAGCCGAGCAATGTGTAAAAATGAAAAACCGAATCGCATAATTGAAATGCAGATGTTTTACGGGGACATCGGACGTAACATTAATAATTATAGAAACCCCCAATAAAAGATCATATAGGGCTTTTAAGAAGACTTTTTTTTAAACTCGTACTATACCGATTAAGAAACCAAGTAAGTAACATTAGAAAGTTCTTAAATTCCGAGACTGCGATGTTAATTGCGTAGTCTACTCCTCTTGGTTAGACGAATATGTTAGAAACAACCAATCAATTTGTTTAAGGAAGTCGGTCACATCCTAAAACAAATACCGTCAAATTGCCACGTAAAAAAGCTTTATGGTAAAGAAAAATCTCTGTCCGTATCGATATTACTTGTCTTCTCAAAACAACGGTCTGGTTTTCCTTTCTTTTTTGGCTATACCTAAAACACAATTTTAAAGTTGCGATTTACCTGAACTATAAAAGAAGTAATTTCCACATTAAAAAGAAGGAAGGAAACCACAGAGCAGAATCTACTCACCGACAACAGCAAGCGCTCAAAAGAACCAATAAAAAAATTGTTCTGTTCATCATGTTTGTCGCATTACAAAGAAAAGAAAGATTTCCGCTGTTAAAAAGGCTGACTTTTAAGGGCGTTGTGTCCCGAAGAACGCAGAGTTAATCGTGGAAGTTAATTTTGGACCAACTTGCACACACAAGCGAGCCAATTACATAGATTTAAATCTCATAAAATGACTTGTTTGTTTAGTTTACGTGGTAACAAAGGCGTTAAGTTTCTATTCATCCCATATTGAAATTAAGCGTGGAAATTTGTTCATGTTGGCTTTACGCAATGTCAAATCCCGGTGTTTGTTTAAACTGGTGAAAGGAAGTTAAGCTCTTTTAGTCGGCTTGTAATGGATAAAGCAGCTAAATAAATCCGTCGACTTGAATTGTCAATAAAAAAGAAAGGCTCTTTGTTTAATAGTTGTTCCGATCCTGTAACATTCGGTTATGTCCTTTTGGGAACATTTTGAGATAAACTCATTCTAAGCGCCAACTGAGCCCATTATGATTTCTTTCCTGTCTTCGGTTTTTCTATTTTTTATTTATTTATTTATTTTTTTTTGACCATGCTTTAAATAGAGCAAATAACCAAAAAAAAAAAAGAAAGAAAGAAAGAAAGAAAGAAAGAATGAAAGAAAGAAAAAAGAAACACACACACAGAAAAGAAAAGGAGCCTCTATGAATTTGTGAAAAAAGTGACTTAAACTGACAAAATAAAACAATGAAATTAGAGAGTAACAAAAAGACCAATAATATCAATAATTTCATAAAGAGGCGTATAATTCAGTCAGTAAGCATAAAAAGATCAAAAAGGTTTTGATCTTTTAAAAGTTATAAAGTGTACAGCTGAGCGGTGAATTAAGGATTGGCTGTCTGTTTCACAAAACTAAGTGTTTTATTGCTAATTTCCAAATAGATCAACACCGTTGCTTAGAAATATTCCTCTCTAATAAAAAATTTACATTACCATTTATATGTTGTAATTGAAGCGCGAAAGACAAACCACAACAATTTGCCAATGATTGTTAGGAACCTTTGTTTCGAGAGACTCACGAAAACGTTCGGGAATTAGGAGTGTATCAGTTTAAGAGGTAGAATATAACCACCCTACCAAACGAGATTTACAGGACCTTTTACAGTTATTACTACAAAAATGACTAACCAGGACGACAGTACCACTTGTTATATTGCTGTTTCCGCAAGCGGACGAGATAAAGCGATTTCTGTGTTCTAACTGGCTGCCTGAGTTGGCAAGATGGAGATATTTTGTCCCCTCGGGACCCCGGGTGAAAAGATTTTTGTTTTGCCAAATAAATAAAAAATAAAATAATCCTTTATCGACCAAGCTTTTTCGGTGAGGACGGCTACATGCAAGCATCGTGTGGCCTTCTTGGAACATTTGGCCATCCAGACTTCACGCTTGGGTTTCCAACAGATCAATTTTAAAAAGGAAAGAAGAATGGTTTCATAGTAACGGTTTTGGAACTATATAGTGAATGAAAAGTGAAAATTGAAATAAATAAAATAGAATTTTAAAAAAATGAAAATTTATAAGTATAGATTAAACGTACTATTGCGAAAGTAGTTGCCATGGGAACATTAATTATTATAGAGAAATGATTGATGAAGCAAATTATTGCCAAATGAAGTTTAGGAAAAGAACTTTTACCTTCATCTTGATGGATTCCCATTAAGTTGTTTCAAAGTTATGGATAATTAAAATCGCACTTTTGAAAAAATGCCATAAACCTGACAATTGACATGACCGAGGAACCTTATTTAGGGAGTGGTTTCTAAACGTAAAATAACCAATCTTGAATATCAGTGAGGTATTTTTCCCGCACTGAAATTGGCAAAAAATCTATATTTTAGAGCCCGATTCAATAGTAGTTATCCAAGTCCCAAGGAAGTGAAAATGGCCTTAACTGATTCCTCGACACCTCTTCTGAAAAAGCCAGGGTCAACCTAACCGCCAAAGCACTTAGTTTTTTATAATATAGTAAAACGTACACCTTGGTACGCCGCCATTTCTTACCCCCATTTTTCTCTTGTTTTTTCTATTTTGGCTCCTTTGTCAGAAGTAAGCTTTTCAAATTTTGGCGCTCTGGACCGTGAGATTAGGTCCTGCATGTCTCGTAGAATTCTCAGCGATGGGACTTGGTGCAACGATTAGGGAGACAGAAAAGTGCAAGGCAAGCACAGCAAGTTACAAACTGTTACGCACCTTTGTCTGTCCATTTTAGTTAGTGAACATTTATATAATCTTGACTGCAAAATGAGAAAGAATCAGAAAAACTTGGAAAGCAACCACACTATGTCAAAATAAAAGGATACATTTCGGATCGAAATAAGTAGATTTGAGGATTTACTGCTTTGGATTGGTTTTAAGTTAGTTCTTTTTTTTTTTTTTTAATGTTTAACAGGAGTTCCGCTTTAGGCTTATCTAAATCTAAGTATTGTTACGTCGCATTATGTTATTTTATTAACTTTTGCCACTTGTTCCAAGGTCGATCACCAAACAGAAGTAGTTTAGGTCCAGTCAGGCTTCGGGTCCGATTAGATATCGAACACGAACTTGAAGCCATTCCTCCGTTTCAAAATTTAGTATCTATAATTTCTTCTTTAGATGTTCCAAGCTGCAATGCATGCGCTGAAAGGTCACGTCTGTCATCTCTTTGTTTCCCTCTTTCCTCGCCTCTCACTACAACGGGGCGTCTTAAGCACAACAACAGCAGAGATGACCTGAACTCAGAGATTCTTAATACGTACAGAACTGGATTGACAATGGAGTTGGTATAATTCATTAGAATTACGTATAACCAATAATTATGTGGTGGTAAATGGACCTCATGATCGGCCACTAAACAGTTACAATGAGTAGGGGAAGCCAGGAAAGTATGGCAGTCATAGATGCAAACAACAGCGTTTTTGTCAGTCGTTTCATATTCTGCCCAGATCTGTTTTGCTGCTGTAAGGTGGCACTTCCCAGACTTCGCCCATGGAACTTCATCAAAATGCCAATGTTTAAGACACAAACAGCAGATAGAAATACCAGTGGGAAAAGAATCCATCCGTAAAAGGAAAGTCCTAGATGAAAGTAGTGTTCTGCGTTGTGGACAGCGCAAACAATGATGGCCAAAAACCATGTCTTTAAAATGATTATGAATATTCTCGCACTGACAGTCTTCGGTGTTTCAATGGCCAATAGATGGCATAGAATCTTTCAAAGGATGTGAGCACTGCAGAAATTAAAGATGAGTGCGTGAAAATGGTATGCAGCATATGGACAAAAATATCTAACCTCATCTGCAGCTCGTATGCATTTTCCCATAGCTGAAATGCAGGTCCGACTATCAAGTAAACATACAGCGGCAGACACACAGCTCCTAACATGGCGTCAGAAAATGCCATGTTTATAATAAGAAACAAGCTTTTCCTGCGAAGCTTTCTATTAAATGCGAATAGAACCACTGTTAACAAATTCCAAAAGGCAATCAGTACGGCTTCCACTACAAAAGCACTGCATAGTACGATTCCTTCTGCCAAAGTGTGATGATAGCCTTGGCTCGCACTGTTCGAGGCATTGGTAGCTGAAAATTTTTTCATATTTTTGTTTCAGATAAAACCAACAGTTATCTAAAAAGTCACAGAGTGCGCCTGATTTCAGTCAAATATGAACGGAAGAACTTAACAGAATGAGCGAAGTGAGAAATTTATAAAGTCAATGCAAAGCAGGTGGACAAACGATTTACAATTGGATCAATTACCCCAAAGTTCAGTGCAAATATCAACAAACTTGTTTTGGACCTCCTTCAAGAGGCAGCCCAGGGATGCCAATTCCACACACCCAATAGATAGTGGAATGATACACAGCATAGAGTTAAACCTTGGTTACCTGAAGTTGGCTCTTATAATTAGGAAGCATGATTCGCTGCACGGTGTCCAAATCACCCGTGAGTCAAGGAGGTTTCGCCATGCTCTTGGCTGGGGAAGCAAACAGCTTGCAGAGTTTTTTTTATTACTTTTTTAAATCTTTCTATTGTTGTTGTTTTTTTTTCTTTGTCTGTAGAGGCCAAGCATTCCTCATTTTTTGAAGACAAGGGGGATCTTCCTAATCACACCTTTTTTATTCAACTTTTTGCCAACAATGCCCATCGTTATCAGTGCAGCTTTCTCTACAACAGCACTGCATAAGATTCCTTCTGTCGTACTGAAGTATATTTTGTCTTCCCCTACGAAGGAACGCTTATAATTTGAGTCTTTGGTTAATTATGCTCAGATTTGATACTTCCAAAAAATATATATCAATAGCCCCTCTTAACTTTGAACCTGAAGCGCCCGAATATAATGTGCTGAAGCATAATATTCTAGCTCATATATCATGATAGCTAGGCCGCCACGGACTTAAAACTCCAGAATTGTATTTAATATCACCTTTGCGCTGGTCTTCTGCTTGTTTGTTTCGGCAGGGCACAGGTAATTTGTTTCGCGCAGTTAGTTGAAATAGAACCTGCTATCATAATAAATAATTAAAATAGAAGTTAAAAAAAAAAAAAAAGCAATTGTATGTTTAAATGCAAAGTCACTAATCTTATTCGTCTTCCTTTTTTTTTCGATCCCCGAAATAAAGAATTTTCCTGTTTCTTTTTTCATTCTCATTGTAATATCATATGTGCTGCAAAACAAATACAGGATATTAAGTCTGCCGGGGGAAAATACTTAGAACGACCGAAAAGGTTAAGACATCGTAACACGGCAAAAAACACGCCCATTTGTTGCCAATCAAGGTGGTGGGGGATGGAGGCCCTAAAAACTGATGGGAACGTAACACAAATAATTTAAAATGCAATTGAAGTTTAATGTATTTTCCGCTGTTATTCCAAGTAATTAGACGCAGTTGTTCTCGTTTCACACCTGCCGCACCCACTATTGTGCATTCTGTTTTGCATTGATGTCCTGATTGGCCCGTTATTAGTATTTATACTCTCCGTTGTCTCTTGAGTACCATTCACGCTCGCGGTTCCATACAGTTTATTCATCTTTCTGGTTTACGCCCCCCACGCCCCCCCCCCCTCCCGTTTATTACAGGTTTCGTCATTGCTGTTATCTTTCAGGCCGTAGAGACGCTTCTGGCGACTTCTTTCGCTGTTTCAAATGCGGCAAATTTGGACACTGGGCCAAGGACTGTAGATCCATGTGCTGGCCGGGAAGTTACCAGTCCCCTAGCTACAATTCTTGCCCTGGAATCTCCTACAACAAGCCAACCGCAGGCCATTCAACTCAACCAAAGCAATGAAGATGACTTGGCGCAGGTAGATCAAATTACACAGAATTACGAACTTGAAAGTGGACATTCATTAAGCGTTAAGGGTAATCTGAAGAACAATTTAGGTTTCTGGAGATCTATAGGTGCTCCGGATTTTATTTTGTCTATTATTAAAAACGGCTACAGGCTGCCGTTCATCAGTTTTCCGTTGGCCGTAAAGCTAGGAAATAATAAGTCAGCTCGACTTCATGCTGATTTCGTGGACCAAGCCGTTCTTGAGCTTGTTAACTCTGGTCGGGTGCGTATCGTTAATGAGCAGCCCTTTGTTGTAAATCCCTTGTCAGTTTCTATACAGCCATGCGGTAAAAAGAGGTTAATTCTTGATTTGCGCCATGTCAATAAGTCATTAATTAAGCAAAGTGTTAAGTACGAGGACTGGAAAATTGCTATGGCTTATTTTGCGAAAGACGCGCACATGTTTTCCTTTGATTTAAAAAGTGGTTATCACCATATCGACATTGCGCATGAGCACCAAACTTTTCTGGGGTTTTCATGGCGGTCGTCTGATTCCGTTAATGAAGTATTTTATGTTTTCACTGTGCTCCCGTTCGGTCTTTCCTCTGCCCCTTATGTTTTCACAAAGGTTTTGAAGCCTTTAGAAAAGTATTGGAGAATACAGGGTCTTTGTATAGCCATCTTCTTGGACGATGGTTGGGCGATTGTTCAGGATAGAGAAAGTTGTCGCATTAAGGCCCTAGCTGTAAGGGGGGATTTGTATAACGCGGGTTTTGTCGTTAACGAAGACAAATCGGTATGGGAACCCACCCAAGTATTGGACTGGTTGGGTATAACCTGGAATTCTGCACTGGGTACTTTAAAAATTGTAGAGAGAAGAATTCTTAAGATTATCAGTACAATTGATCATATTATTGAAGCCGATTTCAAAGTGTCTGCGCGAGAGTTGGCCTCCTCCACAGGTCAAATTATTTCTATCGGGCCTGTAGTTGGTAACATTGGCAGGATAATGACCAGACATTGTGTCTTGTCCACCTTGTGCAAAGATAACTGGGATTCTGTATTCCGTCTCGACGATTACTGTAAGGAAGAACTGTATTTTTGGAAGGAAAATGTGGTTAATATCAACTCTAGGTATTGCTTTGTAAGTAAAGACCCTAGTTATTTTGTATATTCGGATGCCAGTGCTACCGGAGGTGGAGCAATTATTGACTTTAACAATGATTTTGTGTGCCACAAAATGTGGTCGGAAAACGAGAGAGTTCAAAGTTCAACGTGGAGGGAGTTGTCTGTTATTGAGTTTTCATTGCAATCATTTGCCTCAGTGTTGAAAGGATCACACGTTAAGTGGTTTACTGATAGCCAAGCAGCTGCTAAGATTGTTGAAGTGGGCAGCATGAAATTAGGTTTGCATAAGATGGCCCGAAGGATTTTTGATATTTGTATTCGATCGGGGATTCATTTAGAAGTGCAATGGATCCCTCGCACTTCGAATCAGCAAGCTGGTTATATAAGTCGTTTAATTGATACTGATGATTGGCAAATTACTGAAGAATTTTTTCTTTTTCTTGATGGTCGGTGGGGCCCGCATAGTGTTGATTGTTTTGCTAATTATTATAATCACAAGCTCCCCAAATATTTTTCGAGGTTTTGGAACCCCAATACTTCGGGTGTTGATTTTTTCTTTCAGTCTCTTCGAGGAGAAAATTGCCTAGAAGTCCCTCCAGTTGGTATCGTCCCACGTGTATTGCATTATTTGAAATCTCAGCGGGCCGTTGGTACGCTCGTTGTACCTCTTTGGCCTTCGGCTCACTTTTGGCCTTTAATTACACACTAGTATAGTAGTTATCTTGTGGCTCACAGTATTCATTTCGGGAATGAGGTTCTAACCCACGGAAGAAACCTTAATTCGCTCTTAGGGTCTGATCTTTTCACAGGAAATATTATTGCCTTTAGATTAAAATTTACTGAGTAATTTATTGGATGGTGTGTCCATTAGCCTAATGATTATTCACATTTGGTGGCGCTGGCCAAAGCAATATGTTGTTTGTCTACGTGGCACTGGCCTAATTTATAGTTTGTCATTTCATGTGGCGCTGTCTTTAACAGCGTATAGTTGATTTATGTGGCGCTGGCCCAATCAATGGTTTTTGATTTACGGGACACTGGTCCATTCAATAGTCTATCGTCTTATGTGGCACTGGCCATGGCCCCAACATTGATCGATTTTTATACGGCTCTTTTTTTGTTCTTTTATTATATATGTTTGTTCTTGTCTTTCCAGGTAATCTTATCAAGTAATTCCTGGAAAGGCTTTCAACAATTTTCTTCAATCAACGTTTATGAGGTTTTAGAAGTTATGTTGAAGTCCAGGGCGGATACAACTACTAAAGCCTACGTTCGCGTTATTAGAAAGTTCTTGGAGTGGTCTAAAAGTAGACATTTCAACATGCAGTTACCTTTTCCCCTTAGTGTCGTTTCCCTATATTTATTTGAAGTTCAGCAGTCTTGCACCTCTAGTTCCTCAGTAATTTTAGCCCATGCTGCCCTTAAATGGTTACATTCTTTTGTCCCTAGTTTGGATCGTAATCCTTTGGATAGTGAATTTTGCAGGAATATTATCGAATCTGCTAAACGCCAGAAATCACAGCCAGTAATGAAAAAGAAGCCTATTATCACAGAAATCATAAGGAGTATTTTAGATATTCATAACAAGAAAGATGCTAATTTGAAGAATCTTCGTATCGCTGCGTTATGCTCTTTAGCTTTTGCAGGATTTTTTCGTTACGACGAATTATGCAATATTGTTCCTAAGCATATCGAATTTCTCAGCGATTATATAAGAATCTTTGTACCTCGTAGTAAGACAGATGTTTATAGGGAAGGGAATTTCGTCTTTATTAGTGCATCCAGGTCTAAGTACTGTCCTGTTGGTGTTTTACAACGGTATTTAGATTTATCTGGTATTGACTTATGTAGCTCTCTCCCTTTATTTAGACCGCTTGTTTTTCACCGTAGTAGTTCTAGCTATACTCTGAGAAGTGGAAAGATTTCTTATACTACTTGTAGAGATATCTTAAGGGATACCTTAAGTCAGCTGGGCCTCAACCCTAATGATTATGGTCTTCGTAGTTTAAGATCCGGTGGTATTACTTCTGCGGTGCGTAATAGTAGTAGCTCGATTCCAGAAAGACTTCTTAAAATACATGGTAGATGGAAATCTGATTCTGCCAAGGATATGTATGTTGAAGAAAGCCTTGAAAACAGGTTACAAGTAACTAAGTATTTAGGTTTGTGATGCATTATCGAGCTTATATTAATTTCTCTAAACAGTAGTGTGTAAAAAAAAAAAAAAAAATTGTAAAACAACAACAACAACAACTTTGTAATTTCTTTTTTCTGCAGTCCGCTCTGTATTAGTAGCTATCTATCTTATAATAAACTGTTTTGGATCTGCTTGCGCATCCTACCATATTTCTCGTGTGATTTGTTTGTATTACGGGAATTTAAGGGTAAAATGATTTACGTTCGTTTGAGCGAAGCGAATTAGAACGTAATTAGCTGATGTTTCGACACGTTACTACATGTTTGAATCAATAGCAACTAAAAACGCTTTTTAAAAGCATTTTGCCTAGCTTCGTAAGAAAACGTTCCACACTATTCCTATCGTAGAGGATCCAAACAAACTGTGTGACAGTTGATGTGTTTGAATCTAGAGGAAATGGGAAATGTATATGACGATTGGATAATTGGATATATTGTATAGCACTTTTTAACCGAGGGTGAGGTCATTACAGGGAAATCTCAGACCGAGGCCAACACATATGTCCGAGGTCTGAGATTTCCCTGTAATGACCGAACCGACGAGGTTAATAAGTTATTTATTATATGGCCTTTATGGCGCTATTCTTAAAATGAATACAGTCAAACCTCCATGTGCGACCAGCTCTCGTAAGCGACCACTTCCCCTAAGCGACCACCTATCCAAAACACCAAAACTTTCCCAGTTTAAATATTAAAGTTGGAGCCCCTCGTAATCGACCACCTTCTGTAAACGACCGCGACCACTATTTGGGGCTGACGGCTTAAAGATTTTCTATTGTTTTTAACCTCTTGTAAGCGACCACTTGACGACTTTTCCGCTCTCTTATGGTCTCTGTGTGCACTATCCTACTTAGAATATACGAAGAGCTTTAGTAACAACATGGAACTGCACATGTCGTAACTTGGAAATTGCATGCAATAAATTCTCTTCCTTAAAGTAGATGTGTCCGGACTTCTTCTCGGAAGAAAACCCCGTTGGTTCGATTCCCGTAAGCGACCACCAAGTCTTCGCATTTTGGGTGGTCGGCTGTACAATATAAAAACACGCCAAATTGATTTTCAACATCCGCGCGGAAGAGGTCATTCGAGGTCGTGTTCCCTGGACGGAAACGTACCTGGTGATGCCATCGAAACCTGAAGACACAGTTTCTTTGACAATGGGGAATTTTAGACCTGAGCCTAGGATCAAGTAACACCAATAACTGGTTAGCGGATAACTTAAAAAACACGTCACCTCACTGAGTTGTGCATTTGAGCCCGCGATACAGTCATGTGGCACTGGCCAGCGAATACCCTTTTTGATAGCTGTCAATTGACCAAAACATGGATGTCCACTGTCAACTTAAACACAGATTGTATATGCCTTGGACGCCTAGCAGCCAATCAGAGGGCGCGTACTTCTGTAGCCATATAATATATGTCCTATACTGCGGCCAATATTTACTAATAAGAACAAAATAAATTACCGGAAATGTTGTGTTGTCGTTACGACCTATGCACGCTGTGTTGACCCAGTTTGAAAGTCAAACTTTTCATGAACTGACACTAATCCCTTAAATAAAGTGCATGAAAAGATGGACGTTTGAATCAGTAAAAGTCCGACATGTATAATTTCGGTCGACCCATTCGTTTCAAACGTCGACCGCTTGACCTTCCGTATCTAATGCATATATTACTAATGATTTATTTTCACTGGTAAGCATTGTAAATCATTGTAAATCGTGAAAAAAATGAGTCCGATTAATAAAATTCGACTTTTGAATAAACCGTCGAACTTATACCATTTGGGTATCAAAGGTTCGGTCAGCATTTTCGTGATCGAAACATGTGAAAAGTTGAACGTTTGAACCGTGCATTAATGCCATTGCAAACAATTTAGCGTAATGATCACTCTTTTCACCTTCCTCGAATGCCTTCAGGCCAGTGTTTCCCCGGATTTCTAGTGCAACAAGACTGACATTTACAACATATGGTTACAAAATAAATTTCCAGTCAGTTCTACTGCATATACGTCCTGGTCTCGCACTTATTAACCCCTTAAGCTCCAATAATATCAACATGCACATTCTCAATATTGTTCTTCATACAATTCTTATAATACCTCTGGAGAGAATTTGTTTAAACATCAAGGCATTTCATCTTGAGTGATCATTGCCTTCATTCTCATGACCTGTATTTTTTATTACACTGTGTTATTGCTAGGAGAAATCATGATGCTGGTCATTATTAGGGCTCTGATGTTGATTTAAGTTTTATTGAGGAAGTTTGCTTGCTGTGTTCTTTATGTCTATAGAAAACAGCACACTGTAAATGTTTAAATATATCATTTTTTGATGATCATTTTGCAAAACGCACGTGAACATAAACCCAAAATTGACACAACCCACTTCATACTTTTGTTTGTTCTTATGACTAATTCATATTTACCGTCGAAACAGATTCTGCAAAGCTCAATACAGAACTAAAATCTTCCAGCGGGCGTGTGTTTGCATAATTACATACAAAAGTAATGTAAAGCTATGGGGCTTTTTTGCGGACTAAATTTCGAACGTGAATACATCAATGTTTTGTTAAATTCATTATTGTTATGCGTAATAAAACAAATTGGAAAATAACATAAATCAATTTTGACCGGGGTACATCAAGTTCGAATGCTATACATCGATGTTGTTTAGCATAAATCGCTTTTCCGAATCATTCGAGCGTGACCGTATACAACTAAAAGATGTTCAATAAAACTAAAAGATGAGGAAGCGGAAATAGAAATGACCGGAAGTCACATAAAAGAAGAGGCCCCTGGAACTAACACTTCCAATATGGCGGAAATAAAGACAGGAGATTAGGTGAACCACACACGTTTGAAAAGCATTATGCAGGGTGCACGTATTTGGTTGCCCAACATCGAAGGATTTTTTACATCTTTGGGTAGGCTACTGGAAAGTGCAGAAGGGCAAAGGAACACTGCGGAATTCCCCGGCGATGCCTCGTTATCTGAAACCTTGCATTAATTTCTTCCTCAGCGGAGGAAAATTCCGCACTGCTACTGTTCTCCGCCCTATTTGGGTTTCCCGATTGCGTCTGTAAATTAGTTACGGCATGTAAGATGGTGCGAACAAAATCTTGGGCAAATCTAGATCTCGTGTTGTTTTCTGAGTTACTATCCCGGTCTGACATGTTGGTTAGAGAGAACAAACATTGGCGAAAGCGCGGGAAAACTAACGTCATTTGGACCGGACTTTATTACTTCCTGTTTCCGGTCATTTCTATTTCCGCTTCCTCATCTTTTAGTTTTATTGAACATCTTTTAGTTGTATACGGTCACGCTCGAATGATTCGGAAAAGCGATTTATGCTAAACAACATCGATGCATAGCATTCGAACTTGATGTACCCCGGTCGAAATTGATTTATGTTATTTTCCAATTTGTATTATTACGCATAACAATAATGAATTTAACAAAACATTGATGTATTCACGTTCGAAATTTTGTCCGCAAAAAAGCCCCATATAAAGCACTAACACAAATAACTTAAGCCTAAGCGAGTGCTACAAGTCTACGAAGACTAGAGACCTACATCGTTTCAAAATTCGAGTCTTCGAGACGGCCTAAACTATAATCCTCCAGGAGCAAGACAGAGAATCAGAGAATTCGCGATTGGGTTGACATTTTACGAATCTTAATTCCTATTTATATTCACGACTAAGAGACGGGAATGGGTGTGCAGCTCGAACTATGGAGCCTGAGTATTTAATGCCGTCCAAATAACATACAAAGTTCAACGTCATAACTAAAGAATGGTACACAAATATTCCTAAATAAAGTCACTCAGGCTAAACTATTCACGTGCGCCGCCTGATACGAAAACCCAAAAACCCAATGGGAAAAAATTGGGAACGTATTCCCCAACCGATACGGTCGCACAACCCCTGGGGGTTAAAGGTAAAAAATCAATCGATAGATGAATAAAGTAAGATATAAAAATAAAATTTGATAGTTCGAGAGATGAATGAGATGAATACATTATAACTGTCAAAACCTTATATACCTTACAACAATAGAGTCAATTAACGCCATAGCGGCTCACGTGCGTTCATACCAACAGGAAAGTATTTACATTCTCTGTCACTGCCACTACGTTTAGCTCCGCCGAATGTAAATACATCACTTTTAGATTGATCATCAAAATAACCATTCAGAATACATCTTGTAATATTTGGTGGTGTCGACGGAAGATTACAAGATGATAGTAGCATTGTGGTTTTGGTACTGCTGGGGAACTGTGGCCTCATTCAAAATCTCTGCCCCTTTGAAATTTTACTGAAAATTCAAATATAAACTACTAAAAAATCATCTTTGTTCTACGGATGTGAAAGAGTGAGAAAGCCAACATATAAAAAACCAACACATAAAAAAGCAAACAAACAACCCTACCATTTTGTTGGAAAATGGCTTGATGCCATGTCACATGTCATATCTCCTAACCACACATACCAACCAACTGTTAGCTCAATTTGCTTATAATGCGTGTACCTAGGCGTCTACCTAGGCGTTGATTTTATAGTTTATGTATTTTTAAATTTGTAATTTAAATTTGATAATCTGTTAAGGTCTACTTTAGCCATTGGTGGTCATTTTATATCATTGAATTTTTTAATTTGAGCAAAGAAAATATATCAAGGTACCTTCCAGAGGACACAAATAACTGAGGAGGCCAAGAGTGTCAGCACGTTTCAGCACGATTTGTGGCATTACGTGAACAGGAAGTTAAAAAAAAAGTAAGTTTGCGGCTGGATCGATCTGAATGAGTGCTAAACTTAGAAGACTCTTACCTGCTATTCGGTCACGTATGTCAACTTCTAAAAGGATTTTTGATTTGAGCCTTCTATTTACGATACTTTTTGGAGCGTAAAAAGTTATTTAGAATGAATGCCGAGTTCAGGCTAAAGTAACTTATTACAGCCAAAGTGCTCTTCATGCCAATGTTGAAGCTCTATCCGATTTTACGTTTATTTCATGAGTTCTAAAGCTGCATTGTTTCATTCTTGGTTTTTTAATCCCTTTTTTAGCTAGCGATACGTGCTCGAGCAAATTTAAAACCGATAAGGTTTAACTGTTTACTTGTACAACGATATTTCTCGCGTGCTTAAGCTTACGCGGAAGATGATTGTGGTAACCTAAAAAAAGGCCTTTTTTGCGGTAAACTGGCACGCACTGTTGGTCCTGGTAACGAATTAAGTCAGTGGCGGATCAGTGGAGGGACCCGGGAGCCCCCGTTAAGACCGCCCCCCCTCCTTATACCAGGGTCAAAGTTGATCTCTGTTGTTTGCAACTTCAAAAATAATGCTCAGGAGACACATTTGCTTGTCTCAAATTTCTGATTTTGTCATTTACATGAAATTTCTCTGAAACAGGCTTTAGTCCTGGGAATTGGCACATCACTTGAGTACAAATGTGCCTAGAAACGAGTTAAAAAATTTAATTCATTTAAGGGACATGTCAAACGAAAAGGCTGAATTGGCAGCAGTTCAAACAGTTCAAAGCAAACTAATATCGAAAATCCGGGGGGTACTCCCTTAAATAGGCTATATAGGTATGTGTGGCACAAAAGGGTATAGTTTTTTAGCCCTTCAATTTTGGCCTGAAATAGGGTATGGTTTGTGCACTCTAGTCTTGATTTAAGGGTCAGGTCTGAAATAGGGTATTGAAAATCACAGATTTGGTCTGAAATAGGGTAAGGGTTTCAGGAAGCGTGCCGCACACCCCCACCTAATTTTTCTGGTATTCCTCCTCCCCGGGGGGTCCAAAACGCGTGCCTACGGACCGATACAGTTTCACTGTTTACTTGTATATTCGATATGTGTATAATTATATAGTTTTATAAATGAAGGGGCATGAAAAAAACGACAGCCACTATTAAATAGGCAGCAGTTCAGACAGTTCAAGGAAAACTGTCAAGATGTCGAAAATCAACCTGGTTTTTGTAGTCTTCGCGGTCCTTGCCTTTGTGTGTATCACAGCTGGCAAGAACTGCGAGACCCTAAACGGCACATGGTATAATCAGCGTGGAGACGAACTTTATCTTGAACGCAAAAGTGACGGCAGACTTGTGGGTGAATACAGGACTGAAGAACAAAGACAGAATCGCTCAGCAGTGGCACACTCTGCTGCGCTGGGTGAGTACGTGAGATTTTTCTTTGATTTTCCTCTCTTTCCTTATGAATACACCACACTGAAAATTAAAAAGATCTGTTTCAGCTAAAAAAGAAGTACCAATTTAGCCCCTCAGGCCTAAAGTCTGATTTAAGCACTCCTTACAAGGTATGTAAAATATCTGTTCGGAGAAGAAAATATTGCCCAGAATTTTCTATCACTAGAGGACGGCTAAAAATTTCTAGATAACCGTTCCATTCATGTACAATTTTCGAAGCTTATCTAATAAATCCCCTACGATTTCCTCAAGTTTAATATTCACATTTTACTTCCCAAGTCAGGCTATTTTTCTGAGAAAAAAGGAAACCTAAGATCTTCGGATTCAAAAATGTGGAGAGTCGGGAATCAGAAAATGTCTCACTTTCGTAATACGTCAAATTCCATCTAAAAATTTCGGGGAAGAAATACTCAAGCCCTTATAATTTCGAAAAGACTCAAGTTCCCCTAGGATGACCGAACAGATACAAATGTTATAGCGCATTCCTACAGCTCTAAAACTACTCTGTATAGCCCAAAAAGTGTTTTCAATGTATTTAGCTGATTTAGGAGGAAACTGTCGTTGGGTACCCCTGACAACAGCCCCATCAAAAGCCTATTCTAGCCCACGCTGATGCCCATTTCAACCCTTGGCAAATCAGTGCTATTAAATGGACCGTGTTAGCCCTGATAAAGGGAGTCACTAAAAATTAGAGCCAAAATCAGGACAGCATTTTACTCACCGAACGACCCCATTTTTAGGGCTAAAACAGATCTATCTGATTTACAGCGTACATACTAATTAGGCCCAGTTAAGCCAAGCTGTGGTTGATTTACCTCGGGCTCTTCACCCATATTACATTTGAGGCCCTGTCAGTTCTGGTGACTTTGATTGCAGTGTTAGAGAGCGGCTTACATCACTGTAAAGAATAACAACAGATTCTATTGTATAGATAGGCGATTGTTTTCACTGTCACGCAACCAAAAAAATACCTGATACTCAGGTTAATTGGAAACCGTCAAGTGGGAGAACGTCTTTGTGGCCCACAGTTTCTGAGTTATTTACCGAAACGTTTCACGCACCTTCGGAGCTTTGTATGGAGACGCTATATTGGTGTACCGTTTTGGTGCACCAATTGATGGTTTTCACGGTGACGTCATCAGATTGCAAAGTCAAAAAAGCGAGGTTTTACGAATTCTTATTTACACTAGGTTGAAGATTAGTAGGAAATACATCTTTGTACAAGTTTCCAGCCCCGAAGCATGTTTCATTTCGAAAATACAGCAGTTTGAAGTTCCGAGTTTTCACAGTGCGTGACACCAAAAGAGGAATGCTATCTCCTTGAAAAAAAGTCTCTCCTCTTGATTTTCAGCAGTTTAACCATTTCAAGTATTAGAAGATATGTTTATGCGCAAGTATGCTAGTTCTCGAGTGAAAAGGAAGAGCTTTTATAGAAAAAGTGAACTCCAGATGTTTTTGTTGATTTCCGGCGGCCATATTGGTGGACAGTTTCTGTCCACCAGTATGGCGGCTCCATACAAAGCTCTACAAAGGTGCGTGAAATATTTCGGTAACTAACTCAGAAACTGTGGGCCACAAAGACCTGAGACTTGGACAAATTGTTTATATATTAGTCTTTTATAACATTTCATTTTCTTGGCTTCTTCCACTGGACGGTTTCAAATGTATTTTTTTGTGCCGTGTTTATTGCGTGACAGTGAAAACGAAGAATATGGCCGCCGGAAATCAACCAAAACATGTGGAGGTCACTTTTTCTATAAAAGCTCTTTCTTTTCAGTCGAGAACTAGCATACGTGCGCATAAACATATCTTCTAATACTTGAAATGGTTATACTGCTGAAAATCAAGAGGAGAGAGTTTTTTTTCAACGAGACAGCATTCCTATTTTGGTGTCACGCACTGTGAAAACTCGGACGTTCAAATTACTATATTTTCGAAATGAAACGTGCTTCGGTACTGGAAACTTGTACAAAGATTTATTTTTTGTTTATCTTCAACCTGGTGTAAATAAGAATTCGTAAAACCTCGCTGAAAATCATCTATAAAAGCTGTAGTCATGCAGTTCAATTTCTCGTGACCTGATTTTCGACCTCCAGATTTTGTTCACATTTAAACCTTACGATACCAAATGAATGCTTTTCGTTTGTACACTCTGTCATTTTAAACTGTAATAAATGACCGAAGATCCTTTAGTACCGAAAATTCCCGGGGGAGGGGGGGTACTTGCTTACGAGAGGCTAATGGAGCTATAAAAGCGTTCAAAAAGGGGGTACTTTACCATGGGGAAGATTGTAATAGAGGGCCAAAAAATGACCCTCCAATACTCGAGCCCGCGTTTTTATTGGTCAATAGGTGACCTTACATGACGTACTTGCTGGGTTGTTTGCCACTCGCTTGGCTTGGTCGATCGCTTGTCAGTTGTCAACCGTCGCGTGGTAGGTGCTGTGCTGCCGTTGTACCATGCCAAAACGTTCTCCCGCAAAGAGAGATTTTAGAGATAACGGGGAGAGAAAAATAAAAAGAGCAAAGAAAGTGCTTCTTCATCAACCAGCAAAGTGGATGAAGATTTGGTAAGATCTTTCTGTTTGTTTTCTGTTATGGCACCCCTTTTCACCTTTTCTCGTATTAGGGGTAAGCTCATATGATTTCTTGTTCAACTTTTTTGGAATGAAAAAAGCGTTTAATTCACGAGGAAGCTAACATATTTTTTATACTACTGAGTTGATCATCGTTAAAAAGGGAACATGTTCTTTTTTCCATGATCGAGGGCAAGCTACCACGACATATGACATGAAGAGCTTTGTTTTTGTACTAGCATGATTTGTAGTGATATTTGGCATAAATACCACGAGTGATATTTCGAAATTGTTATACGTAATTTCAAATTTGAGACAATTTTGAAATATCACCCGTGGTATTTATGCCAAATATCATGTACAAATCATGCTATTATTTGTTTATACTACTACCTGCAAAAGGTTTGTAATTTTCACATGTAGGTATTTCAAATTAAGCTGAAATACCACTGCTCTAAGCCAATCAAATTGCAGTAATTTGTCATGTGGTAGGGTAAGGCGTCTAATCTGTCGATTTCCAGGGTTTACCTCGTTGTAAGAACCTGTGAACTTTTTCTTTGTTTCGCACCTTTTGTTTTTCTGTATTCTATTGCATTGACTTCTTTGTTTCCTCTGTTTACGTCACTTGTGAGTTTAACAGGTTCTTACACCGAGGATGAGCTGATTGCCATTTATGGAAATCAAAAAGCAACCTTGAACTTTAGACCATAACAAATAAATATATGGCAGCACTCCTTCATACTTTATCTATCGATAGTTGGCACTACAGCTGCCCCCGCTCTGTATGTATCGTGGTCGGTCAATAGTCTTCTTGTTTGTGTAGCTCTTTAAAAAACAGATTCATAATGGATATTTTCACACATATTGTTTCATGCAGTGATTCAGTTCGATTTTAAAGCAGCTCAGATCAAACCATTCTCAGTTTCGAGAATATTTTATTCTAAAATATAAGCAAAGATTTGATTAGAAGTTGTAATTCTTCACTATTTCTCTTTTACTTTTAATTTGAAATGTTTGATCACATTGCTCTTGGGTGTTCTAGTCATTTAACTTTTAAGACAATACGCTAATGAGAATTCGATGAAGAGAATTGTTTCATTATGATGGAAAGATATCTGTTGAAGAGCAGTATTCACCATTTTGCATTCCGCAAGAGATACTGAAAGCAAAGTTTATGCAACAATATTGGGAGGGGGCAGACAGACAAGGTGTATTAGGGAATGCAAAAATAACAAATACTTGTGGTTATATAAATGTCACTTAAGATTTGAACAAGTTGAGTAATTCATAAGTTTTTTGGCAAGTCTTAGTTACATGTAGCTGAACCATACATTTATAACAAATATGGAAACCTTGGAAGTTTAGCTCTGTGGATTTGACCTTAAAGTGGAAATCAAAGTTCTATTGTAAGATGATACAAGATATTTTTATTTCCTCAAATACAAGCCATCCCTTTATTAACCACCTCCCTCAAATACACCGAATGCAAATATGGCGGACCTCTCGGCCGGCCCGGGTCTAGTTGCGCGAAAGCGAGGCTAGTGAGGCCTCAAGAGTTTTGTTTTGACTGCGCGGCTTAGCGATTGAGTCGATCGATATGTTTTGCTTCGAGCTGTTGCATGCCTGAGGGCCACAAAAAAGAAGATTTTACTCTAGCTGGAATAGCCTTTATTTCCCCGAGGTCTTTTCACAAAGAAAGTTAAAGATTCATGCGATTCGGCGCGGCGATGGGAAGCACTTCTTAACTGCGAAAGTATGCTCGCTTCACTTGCTTTAGATGAGAGGACTCACGAAAGTATTTGAATGAAATAATTTTCACAAGAGATGGTGCTGTTCCAAGATGTCTGCATGGTCTGTTATTTATCCAAAAGAAGGTAAACATTCTCGAGTACGGGAGCATCCGCTGTGGACTGTAAGATCTTTTAGATTTCACGCTGAAAACAGCTGCATTAAAATATAACAACAACAATAACAATCGCCTGTTAATCCTACAAGCGTGGCCTGTGAAACTATGTAAGAACCAGAAGAAAGCGACATATTTCAAGAACAGTCCTTGACCAAAGTGCACTGAAAAAACTAACAGAGGAACCGTTGCCAACTAAGAAAGTAAGAAGAAGGAAAAAGGTTCTGGCAGAGAAAGAGCGTGCAAGTATTCGAGCATTGTATTTGACCTTGCGCGTGATCACAGTTTAGCAACTTGTCGAATGGTTTCGAGATAAACTAACAGCGATTTTCCAAAAATTGCTTCTTTTATGGCATTGCTCAATCTCTTAAACACAGGGTCGTGAAGACTGTGAAAACATTCGGCCTTGTTGTCTGTCGTTGTGTCGAGCCCTGAGAGCGCCTAAAGATTGGTAAGTCGCGACGGCGGATTCACTCGTTCTCGAGGATATTTACCTTTCCTTGGTAGGAGAACGGACAAAGCAAACTTGAAACAGAACCATGAATCTTTCAGTTATTCACCCATTCTAATAGTTTCGTGAGTCTTCTCTTCTGAATGAAGTGAAGCGAGCTCACTTTCGTTCTTTTAACTCCGTAATAGTAAAGTGCCTCCATTCGCCGCGCCGAATCGCTTGAATCCATTTCTTTCTTCGTAAAGAACCTTGGCAAAGCAAAAATAATCAACTTTCGTCTCTGCTGGACTTACATCTCCTCTTTGATGGCTCTTAAGCACGTAACAACTCGAAGGAAACCATATTGATCGACTGAATCGCTAAGACGCGCTGTCAAAACAAAACTATCGAGGCCTCACTAGCCTCGCTTTCGCGCAACTAGACCCGGGCCGACCGAGAGATCCGCCATATTTGCATTCGGTGTATAAGAAAATCTTTTCTAGTAATAGTTGACAATACAGCTCCACCCCCTCTGTATATCGTCAGTCAATAGTATTCTTGGTCATTGTGTAGCTCTTTGAAATATACCAATTCATGATCAAAGATTTTCACACATATTCTATACAGAAGGTGAGAGTGAAAACAGTAAACAAAAGGTTCCATGCACTGTTTCAGTTCGATTTACACAGCTATGATCTGAAAGCATTCTCTGTTTTGAGAATAGTTTATTTTTAACCATTGCAAAAGATTTAATTATTAGAGGTTAAAGTTTTACAAGAAGTTCATTTTATTTGCCTGAAATTAAGCCTTAGAAATTAAAAGGTTTGATCAATAATTGCTCACAGATGTCCTTCAGGGGATTAAGTATTAGAAATGGCTAGAACATGCCAAAGAGATAGAGAAAGAGATCAAAGATCTGTGAACTTGTGTCTGGCAAACTATCCAAGTGTTTATATACACGGTCATACACACCTTATAACCTCATCTCCGCTTAACGATGTAACATTTCCCAAGCATTCATTATATAGAGGTGTTCGATATAGCAAACCCTCCACTTAACTAACACATTTTCCCAGTCCCTTTGCATGTTAAATCGAGGTTCCACAATGTACTTAAATACTTTGATCACTAAAACTCCTTTTAAACGATATCATACAGCAGAGAAGTTGATAACGGATTTGTTGTTGTTCTTGTTGCAGGAAGACGAAAAGTGATTAATGAAAGAAGATCATTAAGAAAAATAAATATCAATAAAAAATGGTGTATTCATTTGCATTAAAAAAAACTTTTGAACGTCGTTTCTCCTTAGACAACAACCACTCGCACGTCCCAGCTCCTTACAGAGGCGTCTTCTCTATTTTCTAAACAACCATTTTTCGACTAGATTCTGTTTTTTAAGAGCAGGGAATTTTTAGATAAAACTTCATTGACAATCATTATCATGAACCTCTCTCATAATATTGGGAAAGGCTTTTCGTTGTGCGTGGTTTGTAGAATCTCGTTTTTGACTCTCTTTTACTGTTCATTGTAATTATTGTTCTTTGAAAGTTCATATTTCAGTTTATTTGTTGCTTTGGTGCATGTATGTTCTTTTTATCCCCATATAACGGTGACGTGGGATCCTATTCACCACCGGTGTTTAGTTTTCTGTAAGCTAAAAATAAATTTAAGTAAAACCTTCATACACCAAGAAGGGTGGCTTCAGAAAAGAATAAGGCTCGAGGATGATAATAGGTGGTAGAAATGAATAGTCTGTTGAACGCTGTGCTTCCTCTTCGACAACAACTAGTCAAACATTAGAGATCGTTACAAAGCTTTCTTCTCTATTTTTATAAAAACCATTTTTCAATCACTATTGATTTTATTCACATTGAAATGTTGCGAGTTCTTAGGCTCAGTAAACCTTGTAACACATTTCCTAAACTCCTTTTTGTTATTGGAAATGCTTTTCATTGCGCGTGTTGACTAGAATCTCGTTATTGACCCTCTTTTATCATTCATTGTTATTCTTTATTATTAGTTAATTTGTTGTTATAACTTAAGAATCATCTTGTACATTCGTGACCTTGTACTCAAAACCGTGACGTAAAAAGGCTCACACTCAGCCTCTCTCCAACATCAATAGCACAGCATAAAAGGAAATTTAATTCTTCGTTAAGTTTTACGACAAGTGATATTGTATACCGCAAGACCCAACCTAGAGAGAACATTGGGGGATCGAGGGGAGGGGCCTGGGCCATTATTTTTAGACCAGAATGAGGCTCGAAGAGCAGAAAATGTTATTTTAGACTGGGTCCGCCACTACAGTAACATCGAAAAGAATGTGTCAGTTTGAAAGTATCAGAAAAGTTCACGAATTTTATAGACGGTGTTCTCTTGAAAGGAAATTTCTTTCTTCGTAATGACCGAGTATTTAAAAGTCGATGATTACGAAAACTAACGTTTTGGAAACCCATAACCACCGGATTGTAGCTTCCAGTAAGATTTAACTAAAAAGACTAACGACTGCATGGATAAGAAAAGATTAAAAAGACCTTCATGACAACAAAATAGGTCGCTTCGGACGATCAGCCGAAGATGATAACAAGAAAAAAAAGACCAGTCACTTGAATGCTGTTTTTCTAGTCAAACTGTTTCAACGAGTCAAACGTCTGAGCTCCTTACAAAGACATTTCTCCATTTTTTACAAAAACCGAATTTCGAGTAGCTTTTCTCTTTTTTTTACGTTTAATGAATTCTTAGCAAATATTTGAATCAAAATAACCCATATAAATTTGATACTAGTAACGGGAAAGGCTTTTCCATGGACATGGTTAGTAGAACATCGTTTATGATCCTCGTTTACCATTCGTTGAATTATTCTGTGTAAGGCAATCCATGTTTCAGTTTATTTGTTGTTACAAGGTCAACTATTCTCGAACTTGCTTTGGTGCGTGTAATTTTTTAGCCGTATATAACGGTGACGTGGGAGTGTCGACATTCTTTCCAGAATAAGAAACTACAAAAAGACATCTACCGATGAAAAGCAAAACAGACGATTTCGATGCCTAATCACCACCTGTGTTTTTCTTTCTGTATGCTTGAAATAAATTTAAATAAAACCTTCATACACCAAGAAAGATGACTTCAGAAAAGAAAAAGGCCCGAAGATGATTATTGGCGATAGAAAACAATAGTCTCTTGACCGTTATGCTTCCTCTGACAACCACGAGTCAAACGTTTGTGCTCCTTTTTAAGGTATCTTCTAGATTTTCCTAAAAACCATATTTCGACCAGAAACGACCTTACTCACATTCAAATGTAGCAAATTCTTAGGCTAAACCGTGAAAGACCAACTTTCTAAACTCCTTTTTTATTAATGGAAAGGCTTTTCGTTGCGCGTGGTAGGTAGAGTCTCCTTTTTGACCCTCCTTTACCATTCATCATATTATCCTTAAGCTTTTACCATTCATTGTTTTATTCTTTAGAACTTTATTTTTTAGCTTATTTGTTGCTATAACGTAAGAGTTATCTTGTACATGCGTGACCTTGGTATCCGCTCAAAACTGTTAAAAGGGTCCACACTCTTTCCAACATCAATAGCACAGCATAAAGGGAAACCAAAGTGTCTCGGTTAAGTTGTGGACAACCAATATTGTACGCCGCTTTGACTAAAACTAAACCTAACCTAGAGAATACTAGAGACGAATTACAGCATGTCGCAGTTTAAAAGTATCAAAAAATGATGCCTTTAAAAATGGTGTTCTCTTAAAAGAATTTTTTTTTTCGACATGACCGAGTATTTTGAAGTCAATGATTAAGAAAACTAACATTTTGGGAAGTAACCTATTCACCAACAGAGTTGAGCTTTCTGTAATCTTTAACAGGAAGACTAGCTGTTGATTGCATGGATGAGAAAAAAAATTAAAAACCCTTAATACACTAAGACGGTTAGCTTCAATTCGGAGAAGAATACGACCGGTCCAAGATGATAACTAGTGGTAAAAATTTAGAACATGCAGTCAGTTAAATGCTTTTTTTCTAGTCAAACTGTTTCAACGAGTCAAACGTCTGAGTTCCTTACAAAGACATCTTCTAAATTTTCTTAAAAACCGTGTTTCGAGTAGCTTTTCTCTTTTTTATACGTTTGGTGAATTCTTAACGAAATCTTTGAAAATAACTCATTTAATTTGTTACTAATAACGGGAAAGGCTTTTCAACGGACGTGGTTAGTTCATTGAATTATTCTGTGTAGGGCAATCCATGTTTCAGTTTATTTGTTGTTACAAGGTGAACTAATCTTGAACTTGCTTTGATGCGTGTATTTTTTATCAGTACTTACCGGTGGCGTAGGAGTGTCGACATTCTTTCCAGAATAAGAAACTATGAAAAGAAAGATCGATTTAGACGCCTAACAACCGCCGGTGTTTTTCTTTCCGTATGCTTAAAATAAATTTAAGTACAACCTTCATACTCAACATTCAACATTCAACATTCAACAAGAGAGGAATATGTCCTACGACTGGACAAAGATGGCCAATGTAACGTGTCACAACGCTCTTCATAAGACATATCACCTCTTTTTTGCCTAAGAGCTAATCTTGACGCGCGTCTTTGCACGCTCTCTATTGCATGAATATCTTTGACAAGATGTGGGTTCCAGACTGGAGCAGCATACTCTAGAAGTTCTCGATTTTCCTAAAAAACATATTTCGACGCGAGAATTGACCTTATTCACATTCAAATGTAGCAATTTTATAGGCTAAACTGTGAAAGATCAATTTCCTAAACTCCTTTTTTATTAATGGGAAAGGCTTTTCGTTGCGCGCGGTACGTAGAGTCACCTTTTTGACCCTATTTTACCATTCATCAAATTATTCTTAAATTTTTACCGTTGACTGTATTATTCTTTAGAACTTTACTTTTCATCTTATTTGTTGCTTTAACGGAAAAGAGATATCTTGTGCTGCGTGGCCTTGGCATCAGCTGAAAACCGTGGTAAACGGGTCCACACTCTTTCCAACATCCATAGCACAGCATAAAGGAATTAAATCAAAGTGTCTCCGTTAATTTGAGGACAAGCAATATTGTACGCCGCTTTGACTAAAGCGGGATCCAACCTAGAGAGTACTAGCGACGAACTATAGCATGTCGCAGTTTGAAAGCTTATCAAAAAGTGATGCCTTTAAAAATGGTGTTCTCTGGAAAGAATTTCTTTTTTCCACATGACCGAGTATTTTGAAGTCAATGATTAAGAAAACTAACGTTTTGGAAAGTAACCTTTTTACCACCAGTTTTTAGCTTTCTGTTATCTTTAACAGAAAGACTGTTGATTGCATGGTTGAGAATAAACATTAAAAATTCTTAATACACAAAGACGGTTTCCTTCGGAGAAGAATACGAACGGTCAAAGATGATAACTAGTGGTAAAAGAGAACAGTCGGTTGAATGATGTTTTTCTATTCTACTCAAACTGTTTCAACGAGTCAAACGTCTGAACTCCTCCATTTTCTGAAAAACCTGTTGCAAAAAGCATTTCTCTTTTGTATACGTTTGGTCAATTCTTAGCGAAATCTTTGAAAATAACCCATTTAAATTTGTTATTAATAACAGAAAAGGCTTTTCAATGGACGTGGTTAGTAGAACCTCGTTTATGATCCTCCTTCACCATTCATTGAATTATTCTGTGTAAATCAATCCATATTTTAGTTTATTTGTTATTACAAGGTAAAAGAAGTTGAACTTGCTTTGATGCGTGTACTTTTTATCCGCATATAACGGTGACGTGGGTGTGTGGACATTCTTTCCAGGATAAAAAACTGTGAAAAGAAATCTACTGATAAAAAGAAAAACTAACGATTTCGACACCTAATCACCACCGATGTTTACCTTTCTGTAAGCTTGAAGTAAATTTAAATGAAGGCTTTATACACCAAGAAGGGCGGCTTCGGGAAAGAACAAAGCCCGAAGATGAAACTAGGTGGTAGAAAAGAATAGTGACTGTCTGTTGAACGTTGTGCTTCCTTTGACAACAACGATCTAAACGTTCGAGCTGCTTACAAAGCTATCTACCCGATTTTCCTAAAAAACATATTTCAACGAGAATTGAAATTATTCAGGCATTCAAATGTAGCAATTTTTTAGGCTAAACTGTAAAAGATCAATTTCCTTTAAAACTCCTTTTTAATTAATGGGAAAGGCTTTTCGTGGCGCGCGGTACGTAGAGTCACCTTTTTTACCCTATTTTACCATTCATCAAATTATTCTCAAGTTTTCACCATTCATTGTATATATTCTTTAGAACTTTAGTTTTGAGCTTATTTGTTGGTATAACGGAAGAGATATCTTGGGCATGCTTGACCTTGGCATCAGCTGAAAACCGTGGTAAACGGGTCCACACACTTTTCAACATCAATAGCACAGCATAAAGGGAAATCAAAGTGTCTCCGTTAAGTTAAGGACAGCAATATTGTACACCGCTTTGACTAAAGCGGGATCCAACCTAGAGAGTACTAGCGACGAACTATAGCATGTCGCAGTTTGAAAGCTTATCAAAAAATGATTCCTTTAAAAATGGTGTTCTCTGGAAAGAATTTCTTTTTTCCACATGACCGAGTATTTTGAAGTCAATGATTAAGAAAACTAACGTTTTGGAAAGTAACCTTTTTACCACCAGTTTTTAGCTTTCTGTTATCTTTAACAGAAAGACTGTTGATTGCATGGTTGAGAATAAACATTAAAAATTCTTGATACACAGAGACGGTTTCCTTCGGAGAAGAATACGAACGGTCAAAGATGATAACTAGTGGTAAAATAGAACATTCGGCTAAATGCTGTTTTTCTATTCTACTCAAACCGTTTCAAGGAGTCAAACATCTGAACTCTTCCATTTTCTGAAAAACCGTGTTGGGAGAAGCATTTCTCTTTTGTATACGTTTGGTGAATTCTTAGCGAAATCTTTGAAAATAACCCATTTAAATTTGTTACTAATAACGGAAAAGGCTTCTTAATGGGCGTGGTTAATAGAACCTCGTTTATGATCCTCCTTCACCTTCCACTGAATTATTCTGTGTGAATCAATCCATATCTTAGTTTTTTTGTTATTAGAAGGTAAAAGAAGTTGAACTTGCTTTGATGCGTGTACTTTTTATCCGCATATATAACGGTGACTTGGGTGTGTGGACATTCTTTCCAGGACTGGAAACTGTGAAAAGAAATCCACCGATAAAAAGAAAAACTAACGATTTTGACACCTAATCACCACCGATGTTTACCTTTCTGTAAGCTTGAAGTAAATTTAAATGAAACATTTATACACCAAGAAGGGTGGTTTCGGGAAAGAATAAGGCCCGAAGATGATACTCGGTGTTAGAAAAGAATAGTGACTGTCTGTTGAACGTTGTGCTTCCTTTGACAACAACGATTTAAACGTTCGAGCTGCTTACAAAGCTATCTTCTCGATTTTCATAAAAAAACATATTTCGACGAGAATTGACCTTATTTACATTCAAATGTAGCAATTTTTTAGGCTAAACTGTGAAAGATCTATTTCCTTTAAAACTTTTCGTGGCGCGGTACGTAGAGTCACATTTTTGACCCTCTTTTACCATTCATCATACTATTCTCAGGTTAGCATTCATTGTATTATTCTTTAGAATTTTATTTTTTAGCTCGTATTTATTTCTATAACTTAACAGTTATCTTTTACATGCGTGACCTAGGTATCCGCTGAAAGCCGTGGTAAACGGGTCCACACTCTGTCCAACATCATTAGCACAGCATAAAGTTATTAAAGTGTTTCCGTTAGGTTGAGGACAAGCAATATTGTACGCCGCTTTGACTAAAGCGGGATCCACCCTAGAGAGTACTAGCGACGAATTATAGCATGTCGCAGTTTGAAAGTGTCAAAAAATGATTCCTTTAAAAACGGTTTTCTCTTGAAAGAATTTTTTGTTTTGAAATGACCGAGTATTTTGAAGTCAATGATTAAGAAAACTATTATTTTGGAAAGTAACCTTTTTACCACAAGAGTTTTGCTCTATAACCAGAGTATAATACCATCAACTGACGTGATACAACTTACCTTGACTCTGAATTCGAAGATGACCGCACAGGTTGTCGAAACATTAGTCATGCAATGTCAACAACAAAGTTCTATTCAGGACTACGTTTACTCGGACGATGAAACTCAACCTACTTTTGAAATGACTCCTGGATTTAAACCTTTCACATGATAATTAGTGGTAGAAAAGAATACAGTCGAACCTCTCGGTATGGACACCTCTCTAATACGGACTCCTCTCTATTACGGAGAGTTTCCAATGTCCCGAGAAATTCTCATATATTTTAAAAAACCTCCATAATACCGACTCTCTCTAATACGGACAACGGACACGAAATCTCGTCCCCAGAGAGTAATTTCATATAAACTTAACCTCTTTATTACGGATACTACTGTGATCAGGTGCTGACCCCGAATCCCGATCAGGTGAATCTGCACAGGGTGAATCTCGTTTATGACCCTCTTTTACCATTCTTTGTATTATTCTTTAAAACAATGTTTGCCAGCTTTTTTAACTTAAGAATCATCTTGTACAAGTGTGACCTTGGTACCCACTTAAAATCGTGCCGTAAAAAAATAAAGGGTCGACAATCTTTCCAACATCAATCACTAAAAGGAAATTAAATTGTATTTTATCAGTTTGATTACAAGCAATATTGTACGCCAATTCGACTTAAGCAGGACCCATTTTCTTTTCGAAGAATTATAGCATGTCTCATTTTGTTAGTATTAAAAGTTCATGTCTTTAAAAAAAGTGTTTTTTGAAAGAAAATCTATTTTTTGACATGATTTAGTAGGTTTAAGTCAATAATTATAAGCACAACTAACGTTTTGGAAACCTGTTCACCACCGGAGTTTAGCTTTCTAAAGAGCTTTAGCAGAATTGACTATCGATTACATCGGACAAAATTCAAAACACCTTTCATAGAAGAGGGGTGGCTTCAGAGAAGAGTAAGTCCGGTCGAAGATGATAACTGGTAGTAAAAAATATCATAATAAGATTCCAACACCCTTTTATTTTTCATTCTTTGATTAACTTTTACAAATATTTGTGTGAACCTTTTTATCACATAAAACGAGAAGGTAAGACGTCCTTTTTTGGCTTCATAAGCCATTGGAAAAGTTGTTTTGGTCAGTTTGCCAACGGCAAGAAAATCTACATCGACTCAAGTTTGCACCCAAAATCAGATATTCATTATTTGAAAAAGGTTCTTTTGAAGGAAAGACTCCATCCATGACATCTACTAAGTTACTATGGGCATTTCACTTCATTCTGCTGCCTAAGTAGGTGACAGCGCTGTTTTATTTTTATTCCGTCATTGAGATCCGAGCCAACAGGGGTTAATAAGGCGGCGCAGTGAGTAGAAGGAGTCTTTATAACATCAGTGGCTTTCTTACGAGTGACTGCAAATAAAACCGTACAGAGATGGCTAAGACGGCTTAGGACACGTTTTGGTTACCTTTTTCTTAGGCCGAAAGTCGAGACAGCTGACTAAAACAAAGGAAGAGCGTAGCAATTAAAATTAGCCCAGGTAATACTGAAAGCATCAACAGCTGTGGCACCAGGTTCTCGATGCCATGAAACTAAACTATCAGACTTGGCATTAAGCCTTGATGCAATAAAAAGTAGATTACATGAACGAAGGTCAAGCCTGCCTGAGGTCATTAACTTTTGAGACCACTCCAAGTAAGATGGATCAAGTAAGGTCTACGGCCAATGGTCTCAATCATCCATAAACCTGTCCCAAGACCACTTTCTGATAAACAATGGGACCAAGAGGCAATTCTAAAGGATAAATCCAGATTGGTAACGGGAGAATGATTTTAGCCATTGCTGCACCATGGTGGTTCGGTGACAGATTTGCACGTTAACTACACCACGGATACGAAATACTGCAAAATCACCATTCAGAAACTAAAAGAACAGCTCATATCACTAAAAAGTTTAGGTTGTTTCGTGTAATGCGTGATAAAATAGTTTGTGGGTCCTAGAGAGTCGATTATATACGATTTTAAAAGGTGGTATTCCACAGTGCTATGAATTGCCCTCTATTACAACGTTCCCCATGGTATTGTACCCTATTTTTGACTGCTTTCTTAAGTGGCTAATGGGGATGTGCTGCTGAATGGTGTCGCATTTTCACGACTGGATTGTGGTCGCAAATTTTTAGATGTTGGGGTAAGAAAGTTCTTTATATTTACGGTTAGCAAACGTACCAGAATGTTTGTACTGTAGGTGAAAAGTAAAGTGTTCTTCATTCAATCTAAAAAAACGGGCAGTTAATTTTAGGATGACCTATTTAAAGGATTGGTAAGGAAGATACATAAATAGAAAGACTATCTCCGACTTGTTTCAAGCATGATTTTTGAACCCCGTTACTGTTTCTTATGAAAATAAGTTTCATGTACACTCGAACTTTCCTGTCATGAGGATAACAGAATTCTACAAACCCGGAAAATGCCAAATTTAACAAAGATTTGGAATTTTTTCTGAGATATTCCGATGCGAAACAACAAAAAACGAGATCAGTATCCAGATAGATCCAAAAACACCGCATTGATGTTACTTGTAAACACTGGCAAACCTGACGGCGCGAAGCTTGAATGCAAAAGACCGACCCTGTTGTTTGTTTTTTTGTTTCTTTTTTTTGCAGATTGACCCGAAACAGGGTTTTATTCGGTTCAATCAAGAAATACTTAACTTCACTTATTCATTACATAGGTACTGCACCTTTTAATCATGACAACACCGAAAGCGTCTTTGGATTTGCAATAGTCTGGCAAAACGGTACTTCGACAACTGTGTGGACAGCTCAGTGTTTGGTGTGCGTTGATGGGCATGAAAAAATTTTTACCTCCTGGTTAGAGCGATTCACTGTGGGTTCACGGAAAGAAATTTCGAAATCAACCAGAATTGGGAAAGACACTTTCACACGATTTGAGCAACAAAACTCTGCAAACTGGTATGAATCAAGCTCAGTGTCACCTCCGACTGTCCGAACAAACATCAAGATCTGGGACACTGATGTAAAATCTAAACCTTGCAGTATAAGTGGTACCTGGTATAATCAGTTGGGCTCCGAGACGATCTTAAACCAGAAAAATGATGGCATCATTGAGGGAGAGTACCGTACTGGTGTTGAGCGAAAACCAGGCTCAGCTGGGAAGAGCTTCTCGAAGGTGTTGGGGATCGGACAAGTTGGTGGCCCTAGCAGCACTCTGCCATTGATGGTTGTCTGGAAAGGTGGCGAATCTGTGACTGGGTGGCTTGCGCAGTGCTTCATCGACGGAGAAAACAAGACAGAGATCGTGGAAACCGCCTGGTTGCTGAGAGCCAAGGTTGACACATGCTTAGACACCTGGAAGTCGACGATGTTTGGCCAGGATACCTTCACACGCACTGAGCAGAGGGCAGGGCCTAGAAAGAAAGATAACAAGCATGTACCACTAGACAGGAAAACCCAGGGTGAAAAACAGCAAATCACATGCGGAGGAGGAGGTCAGCATTATTTCAACTCTTTCGCATTCTTGAATTTGATTTTGATCAATTCTTTAGCCCAGTGGTTGAAATAAAGGCTTAATCCTTCGAAACAGGACAAAACATTTAACGCAGCATGCAGGGCTTGAATAAGACTAATGTTATTAGTGTAGTCTTAGATTCTATTGTTAAGAGAGCTAAAAAATGTCTCACACCGATTATAAAACTCCCGACCTAGGACGTAGCTTACACCATGCTAAGGCCATAAACTACTTGGAACACTGCCTCATGGTCATTACTTATTGCAACTCAGTCTACGATATTACCGGTGAACTGCATGATTGTGTTGATTTGAGCAGTTCATGCTATATGTTCTAGACTAATTAAAACCTCCTTTAAGCTCCTTTTCTCTTACATTTGGCACGTTTACTGGTGACTTTAAATTCTAATTTTTACCCCTGACTGTACTGGCTAAAGAAATTTGTCTTTCAGTCTTATCTGTGGTTGACGGTTGTAGCCGATCCACAACAACCTCTTTGTTCTTTTCAGAGCTTTAGCTGCTTTTATACTGTCCTTCTGATGTGAAAGACCATGCTAGAGAACGTTTCTACTGCTTTACAACACTAAACCTCTACGATATGGCTGAATGCCTCGGGGATCGAAAGACCTTTTTGCAAGACGTCCCATTCCTTAATGGCTTGGTATTATAGAAGTTTAATAAAGTTTATTAGTTAAGTTCCAGTGGGTTTATCTCGCGTGCACGCACTATTTTCCGCGTGCAACATAGAAATAGGGAGAAGTCTTCACACAGGTATAGTGGCTTACCGCTGGAATTCGTATTCTTTCATTTTCAGTCACTCATGTGTACAGAGTGTCCCTCCCCTCAAACAAATAAGATGGGAAGGGGCGGCTGTACACACCAGCGGTTTCATACGGTTTCGTTTTTCCTGGTCGAACAGCTTTTTTTGACAACCATGACACTTCTTTTATCTCAGGGAAAGAAGTTAAAGGGAGGTTACCGACATATGTGAATGTACTGTCTTTCAGCTACCCAAGGTTAAATTTGGTTCCTTTGCTTTGTTTTCCTACATTTTTTTCTATTTTCGACTACAGGTAGTTGCGCTCCTAGCTATAGCAGCGATTTGTCACTGGCTAGCGAAGCAATTCTATTCGTGTAAGACAACCCGAGATAGTCTTGGATTCTGGGTTTGACGCTGTGGGTTCTGGATTCCGGATGCTTTCTCGGGACTCCGGATTCCATTAGTTAGTGGGATGCTAGATTCCTTCAGCGTGGTTCCAGATTTTGTCAGCGGAATTCCGGATCCCATCGCCCAGGATTCCAGCTTCCACGACCAAAATTTTCAGATTCAAGAAACCGCATTTCTTTACATGGGGCGAAAGGAATATTTTAGTCATCTTGAAATTTTATGGGACTAATTCATTTTTCGTGGCAAAAAGGGAGAACTTGTGCAATGTTTTTAGCTTTCAGTGTAGTTACTGTCTGTGTTGTTAAGAGCATGATAAAGCCAACGGTGTATTTCATGAACACACATAATATTTTATTTTACACGTTTTACTTTAGAATATTGACCGCCATCTAACTCGATAATAATTCAGTATCGTTTCGTTGTAAAGCCTTACCAGCAGATGTAAAACGATTTTAATTGCAAAATACCCCTGGCAGGTAATCATGTAGTTCTTTGAAATCACAGCCGCAACAATTTATATATAACTGAAGCAGCAATGGTCATGCTATGTGGTCAATCAAATCATATAAAGGCAAACTACAGTTGAAACTATTGTGTTGTCTGTACTATGATTTTTCAGTTATCGATTACATTGCGTACGTGAATAACACCTTTTAGATTATGTGTAAAAGAATAAAAGCTGTTGGAACCAAGTTTGCGTTATTTACTGCTGCGTACCAGTTAATATTAAGGTGAATGGATTGATTCCAGTCCTCCGGGGAAATGACGACCCTTCCTGTCGTACGAGCCAGTTGCTATAGGAGATATAACCGTTAACAATTATTATTTTCGTTATTCACATTTGTGACAAGTGAGACAAAATAATCTTTGTTTCAAGAACCAATGCGCTTCTCGTTGGCACATTAATATCAATAGGTGACGTCATCGTGATTATCAGTGTATGGGCTAAGTTTTCCAAAAGGTGCCGAAATCAAGAGGGGAAAGTTCCCATCAAGTCCAGAAGTCGCTTAATTTTAGTGGAAGAGACTTCCGTCACAAAGAATCTGATGGGAACGTAGCACATATAATAAAATTTACTATATTGTGGCGAGTATTTACTTATAAGATCAAAATAAATTACCGGAAGTATTGCGTATTGTCGTTACGGCCTATGCACCCTGTGTTATTGAGACCCAGTTTAAAAGTTAAACTTTTCATGAACCGACTCTAATCCCTTGAATAAGTAAGTGCATAAAAAGATCGACGTTCTAACCCAGACAACGCAGTCAATTTCATCAACCCATATATCACATCAGTGTAGTGTATTTGCTTTTGCATACAAGTCCCCTCTTGTTAATACAGTCGGTGTAAGGTACTGCTAACCAGCAAATTGCTAATTTTAAAAAAAACTTTCGTGCTACAATAACACACAAGAACCAGACACGAATACAAACAATAAGGTACGAGTTGTGTAGGAAATATAATGGAAAACTGAAACTGAAAAACTAAATTTTCTCATATTAGAGTCCCAGGGTACTATTCATGAAAGGGCTTCAGAGTAGAGCACAGGTACAGAATTAGACCTACACATCTCTTAATTAAATTTACCGCTACCTTACAGTACATCAACTGGTCGTACATGTGATAAAATGCTGATTTGACGTTGGCGCCGTTTAGTATAAGTTTTCTAAAGAAATAAACTTTAACATTCTGAAACCCTCAAGTCGTCTGGTGTCGCTGACTCGGCTAAAATTGAAGTTAGCAAATTTAAATTTAAGTGTTATTCATTGGCCATGTGAAACATTTTTAATTAACGTTTTTTTTTTAATTTAACAATGGTTTAGCTGTCAGCCATACAACATCCAGGAGGCACAAAAAAAGTAAATTGAAAAAGGAAACAACTTCAAAATTAACCATCAGCTGACTTGTAAAGTGATTGCGGGGCTCTTTGAATCATGTCGTGTCCACTCTACAACCTGTCCCTGAGTTTTACAGCCACTGTAACGTCAATTTGTTGCCTTTCTGCTATTTTGGCCATTCTAGAAAATACGGCAGTTCTTTCATCCGCGCAAAAGATTACTTCGTTACTTCGTTGTATTTTATGATCTCCCTCGCCGCCGGAGAGCTCTTCTCTACAGTAATTACGGAAACTCATTTTTGTCCGCGTGGCTGATTTTAAATCATTATAGCCACGGAAACGGCACAGCCTTGTGGAAAACGGAAAGTACGATGTGGTGTCTCACAACCATGGTTACGACATATAACTTGGTCAATGTGGCGTTGGATAGATACGTTGCGATAACGTCGCCGTTACACTACTATACCAAAATGAGCTCCAAGAAGTGTTTGACACTTATTGGTTTCGCGTGGCTTTTATCGTTTTTAAGCGGGTTGGTGGTATACCTTATTCCCCAAGAATATTTACCAAAAGTATGGATTTATGGACCGATCGTGGTCGTACTAATTCCCTTGTGTATAATAGCATTTTGCTATTTTCGCAATTACGGGGCATCGAAAGGCACTTTCCCGGCTCGAGTGAACATCGTCGATGCTCAACAAGAATCTGAAAACAAACGACAAAGAAAGAAAGCCTTAACATTTGGAATAATAACAGTATTGTTCTTTGTTCTGTTTGCACCGGTTATTATTTTCAACTTCATCCAATTGCTTACACATGAGACAGAATTATGCGTAAGCCCCACTGTGAGAAAAGTGTGGATTTGCATTTATTGCTGTTGTTTCGTATTGGAGCGCAATTTCTGATCCCTGGGTGTATATGATCAGAATGCCTGAGTTTAGAGCCGCGTTCAAGAAGTCGCTTCCTCCTTTTCGCAAAAATTTATGCAACTTTTCAGAAAAACGGTGCCAAGATGGAAAAAAAGACGACAGCGAAATTTATAAAATGGTTTCCAAGAAACTGGGGTAGCTTACGAAAAGGAAATTTTCGACACAGCTCTGTAATTTCAATTTAAAAGTTAGCCAAAGAGATCGGCAGCTTGACAGCCCAACTAAATGGTCAAACGCTTTATCATTTACATCTTGTATGAAGTGAAAGCTTTCAAGAAGTACCACCTTGAAGATCCTGGAAAACCGTGACGGTGGCTAGGGAAAGAACGATTTATCATAACAATTTACGAAATACAAGAAACTGGTGTATTAAAAAGTATTGGTTGAGATAAAAGGAAACATTTTAAATCGCCCATCTACAAAAAGGGAAAGGAGGCGCATTGTTTTTGGCGTACCGCATGATGAAGCTTGCAATTACGCTGCATTTCAATCATCTGCTAAATTTAATAATTCGATATCAATAATTACACGAAACAAAACTGAACAGAAGCAATTCGCGAAAAATAAAATGAGAGAAAAGGGAATAAGATATGATCAGAAAAAAAAAGATGTTCGATCTATGAAAGAGAAGGGCCAAATTGCTAATTTTTAAATGCAGTCAGATCGTTATAATATTTTTGTGAAAAGAAAAACAGCTTTTTACTTACGTTTATTTTGCGATTTGCAAATTATCAAATATTATTCTTGACGGAAATATCTACCGGTTAGAAACAACCAATAGGAGATGTAAACAATATGGCAAAAGATTGTTTCGCGACTCAGATTTGTCGCAAAAATTGATGAAGATCACATTCAGTGTCAAGTTTAACGTGATACTATTTCAAGTTTATAGTAATATAATTATTTATTTTTTGTTCAACCAACAGCATTGAGGGCAAAGATTATCCGCCTCGGCCTACGACACACCCTCCTCGATCTCCATAGTTCTTCATAAGATACTCAGCATCATTCGTTAATTGTTAAATAAGATCAAAATATATTACCAGAAATATTGCCTATTGGCGTTACGACCTACGCACCCTGTGTTGACCCAGTTTGAAAGTCAAACTTTTCATGAACTGACACTAATCCCTTGAATAAAGTGCATGAAAAGATGGACGTTTGAATCAGTTAAAGTCCGACATGTCTAATTTGGGTCGACCCATTCGTTTCAAACGTCGACCGCTTCACGTTCCGTATCTAATGCATATATTACTAATGATTTATTTTCACTGGTAAGCATTGTAAATCATTGTAAATCGTGAAAAAAAAAATGAGTCCGACTTATAAAATTCGACTTTTGAATAAATCGTCGAGCTTATACCATTTGGGTATTAAGTTCGGTACATTTTCATGATCGAAACATGTGAAAAGTTGAACGTTGCATAAAATTTACCTTAATGATCACTCTTTTCACCTTCCTCGAATGCCTTCAGGCCAGTGTTTCCCCGGATTTCTAGTGCAACAAGACTGACATTTATAACATATGGTTACAAAATAAATTTCCAGTCAGTTCTACTGTATATACGTCCTGGTCTCGCACTTATTAACCTCTTAAGCTCCAATAATATCAACATGCACATTCTCAATATTGTTCTTCATACAATTCTTATAATACTTCTGGAGAGAATTTGTTTAAACATCAAGACATTTCATCTTGAGTGAGCATTGCCTTTATTCTCATGACCTGTATGTTTGATCAGACTCTGTTATTGCTAGGAGAAATCATGATGCCGGTCATTTTTAAGGCTCTAATGTTGATTTAAGTTTTATTGAGGAAGTTTGCTTGCTGTGTTCTTTATGTCTATAGAAAACAGCACACTGTAAATGTTTAAATATATCATTTTTGATGATCATTTTGCAAAACGCACGTGAACATAAACCCAAAATTGACACAACCCACTTCATACTTTTGTTTGTTCTTATGACTAATTCATAGTCGAAACAACAGATTCTACAAAGCTCAATACGGAACTAAAATCTTCCAACGAGCTAAGCACTAACAACGTGAATAACATATATATAGCGAGTGTTACAAGTCTACGAAGAAGTCTTCGAGACGGCCTAAACCAGTAACTCCTGCATGCCCCAACCCTTTACTTGTGGCCAAAATTTTAAATAAGCCTTCAAGGAAGCACGTTACCGATCCTGGCATTATCAGTTATCTGCTATTGGACTTCGTGTCAGTGAAACATTTAAATCATTGGAGGACGGTCTTTTGGATCATGCAAAAAGTACTAAACTGCATTTATTGTCTAACCTATTGCAGGTACTGCACCTTATGACAAGCCCGGTGTAGCCTTTGCTTTCTCAGTTGTTTGGCGGAACGGTACTTCAGCGACTGTGTGGACAGCCCAGTGTATTTTGTGCGATGGCCATGAGAAACTTCTGACTTCCTGGTTGCAACGATACATTGTTGGTACGCGTAAAGATATTTGGGAATCAACCAGAATCGGGCAAGACACTTTCACACGATTTGAGCAATCAAAATCTCCTAAGATGAATGAGTCCACGTCAATCTCGCCTCCCTTTGTCAGAAGAACCATCAAAATTTGGGATCCAGAAGTAAAATCCAAACCTTGCAGCTTAAGTGGTACCTGGTATAACCAGTTGGGCTACGAGACGATCTTAAACCAGAAAAATGATGGCGTTGTTGAAGGAGAGTACCGTACCGCTGTTGAGCGACGACCAGGCTCAGCTGGGAAGAGTTTCTCGAAGGTATTGGGGATTGGACGAGTTGGAGGCCCAAGCAGTGTTTTCCCATTCATGGTTGTTTGGAAAGGGGGCTCATCCGTGACTGGATGGCTAGCGCAGTGCTTCATCCAAGGAGAGAACAAGACAGAGATCGTAGAAACCACGTGGCTGTTGAGAATCAAGGTTGACGCATGCATTGACAACTGGAAGTCGACAATGTTTGGCCAGGACACCTTCACACACGCTGAGCAGAGGGCGGGGCCAAGAAAAAAAGACGACAAGCACGTACCGCTTGATCGTGATGACTAGGCAGAGTAAACAGCAGCAAAAGGCATGCGCAGTAGGTCCTTGTGGACTGTTGAGTAGAGAGAGAGAGAGAGAGAGAGCTTAAACTGAGGTGCTCCCATTAATGCATAATTAAGATTATCAGCAAATTTGACAGTTTTCTGGCTTAAAAAGAGTTCATCGTGTCTACACTACCGGGTGGAAACTGTTCACTTTTGACCGGCTATCTGGGCTATACCAAGGCGTCGTACTACTTTTAAAACACCACTAACAAGAAAAGAAAACAGAGGACGATTGTTATGGTTTTATTCAAACAGTCGCCAGTTTCATTTAAAGCTAGCTTGCTTAGCTACGTGACAGCTATATCATGACCCTTTTGATAAACAGGATTACATCATATTTTCCTAAATACTATGACCTGTTCGGATTCTTTTTTTTTTTCAATTTACAGTCACTTTCTTGTACTTTGTTTGTTTGTTTGGGCTTTTTTCACTCCGAAGCTGTTTCGCATTAAAACCGTCTGAAGAAAACTTGAGGCGCATTTGCCAGGGACTAAAGGGTGTGCATCATTATAACTTCATTAGATTTGTACCGGTGTAGTTAGTAGACGGGGAACAACAACTCTTATGACATTGGACCTACCCTTTTCTTAGAAAAAAAAAAGACAAAAATAAAACCAAAAAAGAGAAAAACGGCAGGCAAAAGTACGATGTGTCTTTCACAACATAGCTGGTCGATAACTCCTGCAACTCGTCCCTCAGTAAACTTTTAGGCCTCTCGTTGAAATATTAGTATTTAGCTATGAATGGCCCGAAGTAATCAAAATGCTAGTTTTATCATATTGCAATTAAGGCCTAAGACGATAATAACAGTAATAATGTTCTTTTCAATTAGAGGGTAATAGGACAGCTTTTGTAACTCTTTTCCAAAGAGAAGCCCATAGAACGATATTACTGTTGAATACAAGCTGGAATGAGCAGCTTTACCAATGCGTTAATTACGTTAGTTACGTGCATGGTGTTTATTGCCATAGATGTCCAAATTTAACGAGATGGTTGGACAGACGAGTGGCCTCGACTGTTTAAAAGCCGTGGCCAATAGTAAAATAGATAAGTGAAAAATAAGTAAATAATAATAATAATAATAATAATAATAATAATAACGATGATGATGACGATGATGCTTATTCAGCTTATTCCATGCATATGCATGATCAATTGAGCTTCACAGAAGTTCCTGCAAACAAAAAAAAACTAAAAAAACTGTGCTCGAAAAAGCTAGTGGAAATAAAAACATATTTTCAGTTAAATTTTAAAACGTGGAATTCTTGTCCCTATGGCCTTCGGTTTTTTGTTCCACAACTCAGGGGCCATGAATGTAAGATCCCCATGGGTCTTTGATGATTTTATACTCGGTTAAGGAAAGCGTTAGGTTCCATTACAAGGCCGCGAATCAAAACAACTGTTTTGTTTAACATGCTTCCCCTGAAATGCTGTAGACTGTATTGCCGACTTGTTTTAATTTGCCGACCTACACATTATATTTTATTATCTTCTAGTATTGATTCGCTTCTAGTTTTCCCCAATTTTTTTTTTGGTTGTGTAGTACGTTTCTTCGTTTTTATGGAGAAGAATGTCCTGCTTCGCAATTATAAAACCGTACGGCGATAATTTGCAGCAATTTTCTATAAAGCAATTGCTGGAATAGGCATTTGCATGATGACGTCTTTTGACTACTTATAATTCTGGCATCGATTTTAAAATACCGCTTTTAGCATTTAAAATATTAAACGATTTAGCTCCTTAATATTTGACTTCACTCCTTCTAAAAAAAAACCAGCCAGCTCGTTTACTCTGCTTATCTAATAGATTGCTTTCACAAGTTCCTTCTGTTGTTACCGTGGCTTATGGACACCGCTCATTTTCATATTATGCACCGATAATCTGGAACAGTATACCTGATCATATCAAAAACTCTGAATCTGTTTCTACTTTTAAGAAACGTTTGAAAACTTTTCTTTTTAGGAATAATTACTACATATAGTTTCATCTACACTTTATTTACTTTTGCAAGCGCATTGAGAATTCTTTAAATGCGCCATAAAAACCTACTACAACTATTATTATTTTTTATTAAAACTACCAGAATTTTTCAGGGTCTTGCTTTCTTGTGCAAATTAGGGCTTTTGTTATTTGAACCTCACTGTGATTAAAAAATCTAAATATGAAAGGAAAATCGAAATGGATTCTGGTAGTAGTTGTCAAATAATGCCACCGTGCCAAACATCGGTTTTGTGGTGGTAATAGGCTTTCTAAGGAAGTTCAGAATAATCCAAGGTAGTAGTCCAATCCTGTGTGTATAGACCAAAGCACTCTACAAAAAAAATTCCATCACAGAAAAATTTACCCAGACAACGCAGTCAATTCAATCAACACATATATCACATTTGTATAGCGTATTTCCTTTTGCATTTTTAAAATTCGTGCTGCAATAACACACAAGAAGATAATTAAAGACACTCAGCAAGAACAATAAACGAATACAAACAATAAGGTGTGAGTTGTGTAGGAAATATAATGGAAAAACTGAAACTGAAATACTAAATTTTCTCATATTGGTGTCCCAGGGTACGATTCATAAAAATGGCTTCAGAGTAGGGCAAAGTTCAAGTTCATTTATTCACACTTATTCAATTACAATACAACAACAAGAAAAAAAAAAAAAAAAAAAAAAAAAAAAAAAAAAGAAGAAGAAGAAGAAGTAAAAACAGAGCTAACTATACATTGAATTAAACATAACAAAGAAAAAAAAGTGTGTAGCAGCCAAAGGAGCCAAGCTTCCGAGTTGGCTACTACCATAGAGCGGTTACAAGTGGGTCGAGGTTATACGAAGCTATAAGGAGGTTATGGCAAAGCTACAGAATTAGACCTACACATCTCCAAATTAAATTTACCGCTACTTTACAGTACATCAATTGATCGTACGTGTGTAAAATGCTGATTTGACGTTGGCACCGTTTAGTATAAGTTTTTTTTGAACTATAAAATTTAACATTCTGAAACCCTCAAGTCGTCCAGCGTCGCTGACTCAGCTAAAATTGAAGTTAGTAATTTGAATTTAAGTGTTATTCATTAACCACATGAAGCATTTTTAATTAATGTTTTTTTTTAAATTTAGTAATGGTTTAGCTGTCAGCCATACAATACTCACGAGGCAAAAAAATGTAAATTGAAAAAGGAAACAACTTCAAAATTGACCAGTAGCTGACTTGTAAGGTGGCTGCGGGGCTCTTTCAATAATGTCGTGTCCACTCTACAACCAGTCCCTGAGTTTTACAGCCACTGTAACGTCAATTTGTTGCCTTTCTGCCCTTTTGGCCATTCTAGAAAATACGGCAGTTCTTTTATCCGTGCAAAAGATTACTTCGTTACGTAAGACGTCGCGGTATTTTATGATCTCCCTCGCCGCCGGAGAGCTCTTCTCTACAGTAATTGGAAACTCATTTTTGTCCGCGTGGCTGATTTTAAATCATTATAGTCACGAAAACGGCACAGCCTTGTGGAAAACGGAAAGTACAATGTGGTGTCTCACAACCATGGTTACGACATATAACTTGGCCAATGTGGCGTTGGATAGATACGTTGCGATAACGTCGCCGTTACACTACTATACCAAAATGAGCTCCAAGAAGTGTTTGACACTTATTGGTTTCGCGTGGCTTTTATCATTTTTTAGCGGGTTGGTGGTGTACCTTATTCCCCAAGAATATTTACCAAAAGTATGGACTTATGGACCGATCGTGGTCGTATTAGTTCCCTTGTGTATAATAGCATTTTGCTATTTTGGCATTTACAGGGCATCGAAAGGCACTTTCCCGGCTCGAGTGAACATCATCGATGCTCAACAAGAACTTGAAAACAAACGACAAAGAAAGACAGCCTTAACATTTGGAATAATAACAGTATTGTTCTTTGTTCTGTTTGCACCGGTTATTATTTTCAATTTCATCCAGTTGCTTACACATGAGATAGAATTATGCGTAAGCCCCACTGAGAGAAAAGTGTGGATTTGCATTGCTGTTGTTTCGTATTGGAGCGCAATTTCTGATCCCTGGGTGTATATGATCAGAATGCCTGAGTTCAGAGCCGCGTTCAAGAAGTCGCTTCCTCCTTTTTGCAAAAATTTATGCAACTTTTCGGAAAAACGGTGCCAAGATGGAAAAAAAGACGAAAGCGAAATTAAGCAAAATGGTTTCCAAGAAACTGGGGTAGCTTACGAAAAGGAAATTTTCGACACAGCTCTGTAATTTCAATTCAGAAGTTAGCCAAAGAAATCGGCAGCTTGAGAGCCCAACTAAATGGTCAAACGCTTTATCAGTTACATCTTGTATGAAGTGAAAGCTTTCAAGAAATACCATCTTTGAGGATCCTGGAAAACCGTGACAGAGGCTAGGGAAAGAACGATAATAATTTACGAAATACAAGAAACTGGCGTATTAAAAAAATATTGGTTGAGCAAAAAGATAAACATTTTAAATCTCCCATCTAAAAAAAGGAAAAGAAGGGGCATTGTTTTTGGCGTACCCCATGATGAAGCTTGCAATTACGCTGTATTTCAATCATCTGCTAAATTTAATAAGTCGATATCAGTGATTATACGAAACAAAACTGAACAGAAGAAATTCGCAAAATATCAAATAAGAGAAAAAGGAATAAGATATGATCAGAAAAAAAGATGTTTGATCTATGAAAGAAAAGGGCCAAATTGCTAATTTTTAAATGCAGTCAGATCGTTAAAATATTTTTTTTTTAAAAAGGAACAGCTTTTTACTTATTATTATAAGTTTATTTCGCGATTTGCAAATTATCAAATCTTATTCTTTCAAGACGGAAATGTCTACCAGTTAGAAACAACCGAGAGGAGATGTAAACAATATGGCAAAAGATTATTTCGCGACTCACATTTGTCGCAAAAATTGATGAAGATCACATCCAGTGTCAAGTTTAACATGATATGATTTCAAGTTTATCGTAATATAATAATTTTTTGTTCAACCAACAGCAAAAAGAAAAGCACTACCAGAATATAATTTCAGGAGAAAGGAAAGGAAAAGAAGACTTACAGGTTCATCCTGAAATTCAACTAGAATTTAAGAATTGTATGTGTAGAAATAATAAATTAAGACCTGTTCAATTTTCCTCGACTCCACCACTTAATGATACCGAATGTTTTTAATAACATACATGTAACCTATATTAGTCAAGAACATTTAATTTGCATGATTATTTGTTTTGTAGTAATAATTATAATCAAATAACATTTATTGAACTACCGCAGTATGAAACACAAGTTTATGAAAAGAGGCCTTGATAAGTTTTCTTTCTTTTTGACTCTTTCTCTCACATTGCCCATAATACATGTACACCTTGTTTACGAAAACAGAGCGCCGTTTAGTCTGGTTTCTTTTACGCTCATTTCCCTCTACGTTCGATTTTGTGTTGTTTTGGAATCGCATCAGAGAGAGGTCAAAACTGAGTTTCCAAAAACATGACTGCGTCATCACTAAATGAAATAAATATAATAAAATCCACGATTTTCACGTTGCCCATATACATGAAAGACACCTTGTATACCTCCCAAAATTTTAGATTTAGCATTGCCTTCAATTCTCTAGGGACAGCTATAATGCCCAGGGCATAAAAAGAAAATGGTGAATTTAGGGAACGGCAATAAGGAAAGGAAAGTACGCAATGTTTAACTTTGACAATTACTTCCCTTGTTTGGGGTGAAAAGGCTCTTAGCGAATGAGAAGACATAGAATAAGATAAAGACTTCCGTTAGAGATAACAACTTTGGGAAAGAAACTGATATTGATTAAAACATTCAGTTTGTGTTTTAATACTTCTGCGGTGATCAACCTTTGATGCAATCGAGGACAGAGATGAATGTCTGTCTAGACAATCTCTGTGTGATCATAGGTGAAGCAATAGCAGTTTACAAGAGGATGCAACATTGCAGACTGCAATCACACAATTCAGTGCTAGATAATTATGATTCAGTTTAACTATTAAATATCACAAGGACGAGATAACAAACGTAGCACAAATGAAAAGGTGGTTCTACATATGGGCCCATACAACTCTCCAGGAAAAGAAAAGGAAGACATGCAAACATTATTTTGTATACAATGTCTGTTTTACATGTAGTTCAATAAATTCAGTGGACAATAATTGACAAGTATAGACTGACCATTGGATAACACGTATTCTTGCACTCTACCTTGATGACAATAACATGTAAGCTATTTCAACAATCAGAACTTGTAAGGCTTGAAATTAATATTCACAAGCTCACAAAATGCGAGGGATTTTGATAATCTGGGAGTGAAAAAAATGTCCACTAGCAAACGTTTGCAAGTTAGAATCATCCATGTCTCCCAAACAAAGGGAAATAATTTGGTAGTGGTCTCACCAGTTTGCTAGTGGAAAAAAAATCTTACTGGCAAAACTTTGCAAGTGCACTTAAAAGTTAACTTGGAGCCCTGAATTGGCCAATGATACTTTGAAATTCACAACTTCGTAAAAACACTTAAGTTTCTAACAAATGATGACACTGTTGAAATGTTTATTGATGTGACTGACTGTTTACTGTCCACATGCTACCATGTTGCAGCCATTGGCTGTGGATTCTGTAGATATGACATTACAACTGCTGACACAGATAATCTGAAATCAAATATGAGACAAAGTTAGCTATTTACATTTTCATCATTATTATTATTACTTTATTAATTTTTAGCACAAAGTACATGTGTACATCTTGGTTTGGGTTGGGGGAACTGGAGGGGATTTCTCTTAGCTATGATAAAGGCCACCCCCAGCTACTTCCATGGGGAAAAAAATTCAACCTAACGAAATCACTAGCTGTTTGATTTCCAACCTACTGTACTGGAAGAATTGGGAAAATTTCCAAGTTTTTTAATTTTAAAATGTTCTTTCAGTTTCTTCTAAAATTATTTTTCTATAATGAATTATTTTCTTGTTTACAGGAAGTAAACAAAAAAAGCAGGGTTTTTTGGTGTGCCTGGTTTTGTTTGTTGTTTAGAAAGTATGGGGCCACTGTATTCAGTACTTTATGAACAAAAAACACTGTAAAAAAGAATCACCTGCTATATGCAGGCTAGAGGGATTATTCAAATTAACCTTCAAAACTAAAATTTGAAATCAATATGGAAGACTAGAGGATGAAGAGAGATTTGCCAACTGCTCATTCTGCCATTGCATTATAAAAGTAACACTTATAATAATAATTATTATTAAATTGAATGGTGATCTTACTACTTACAAAAAACTGCTAAACATCTGTTTGGTATCCTCAGATGAGCGTGAATTCGAAAATGTGATGAAAGAACAAAAGACCGCTGCCCATGCTGCCCACTTGAGCTAATAAAATAATTACATTAATGAAAATAATAACGATAATGATAATTATCATAACTATACCAAATTTCTTAAATCTGATTGGCTATCAACCACCCTGATTTCAGCCTTAATAGGACAATTTAATGGGACAGTAAGTGTCATGCCTAAGTAATTGGACAGTACGCGCCATCACATGTGCGCTTAAATGGCTTTTTTTCACTGCTAGCAAAAAAAAAAAGGAATTTCTTCTGTTTTGATTTACAAAAAGAGCCTTATATATCACAAATTTTGTTAAAGTTATGATTAATTGGTAACAGAACTTTGTGTTGTCCAATTCGGTCTGTAGTCGTACTCGTGATTAAGTTTGTTAATCACTCATATGATTGCAGACCAAATTGGACGACACTCAGTCCTGTTACCATTACTAATAAAAATGGCCAGTGAGAGGTACATGTATCTTCAGTTGTTCCAAGCCTCATTTATACTCAACTAATTGAACAGGAAATGTGCACAGTTTAGGTTATGGTACTAACCCATTGACTCCCAAAAATCAACAACAACAAAAAAATTGCCAGATGGACTTTCTTAAAGAATTAATTGAAAGGGTTTATGGTCAAGTTGCCTGAAAGTCATCTTGCCCAAAGTTGTGTCAACTGAAATCAGGGTTATGTCAGCCAATAGGTTTAGTCAAGTTGCCCGAAATGCTGAGTTATGTGGCTTGAAATTTTATCATGCTCGACAATATCCTACCATCCCTATTACCTCTGTGCACTTATAGAATGAGATACATTATCATATATTGTGCTTGTTTTGTTGTTAATCAAGGGTTAAAGAGCAAGATATATTACACATTTCTACCACTTGATTCGTCTCATTATCGCTAAAAACGTTACGAGGTATGTTACACATTCATTCCACTTTTTTCGTCTCATGATGGTTTAAAGAAAAAGATAAATTAACATACACTCTTTATTTAACAGAAATTAACTTTGTTTCTCTGTGCACTTAACCCGAAAAAAATGGGGTGACATAACTCGGCATTTCAGGGGACTAACAAACTGTAACTCTGGTTTCTATGGACACAACTTTCAGGCCACTTGACCAGTTACTGTCAAAAGATCAAAGCATTTTCCCTTTAATGGGTGATCATACTCGTGATAATGCATTTAATATCCATGCCCCCACCCCCACCGCCCGGTTGAGGACTAACCTTCTCTTCTCACCCGTGAAGATTGACTAAAATTGGGTTCACCACTGAAGACTTCCATAAAATGTGGGCTTACCTCTGAAGAATATGGCTACTAACCATGAAGAATTTCGTGAAAGTTAGAGCTTCACCCCCACAGAAGTCCATATTTTTTTCACTCTACCCCTAAAGAAATCCTCAGTTTTTATAACTTATCCCTGAAGAATTCCATGGTTCCTCAACCGGGCGGTGCGGGCATTAAATGCAGTTGCCCATTGGTGCTAGAAGGCCTGGTATTTATAGAGTGTAGGTACTATACAGGACATGCGTGATCTTTGCATTAACTACATGTATTTCTGTTCACTTTTAACCAAGAAAGGAATCGGACATCACAAGACTGGTATTTACCTTCATGAGAAGACCGCACATGCTAAATATCATCCCTAGAAGGTTCATATATTCTGGTGTCGGATCATCTGTAGGCTTGTTAGGTACTGGCTTGTATCGAAATATTTTGTTTGGTCTTCTGGGATCGTCTTTAGGCGAAGAAATAGAGCTACCAGCCGGCATTTTGATCGAATGTATCGAATGAAACGTCCCAGCGTGCCTTGTGGGATAACTAACATGGCGGACGGACCTTCGTTCCCAGGGTTAGCGCGTCTATAATCCGGAGTCGAGGCTAAGCTGATAAACAATTTCACCTGCACGCAAGATTACGCACGTGGAAAGTTGGAGAGGTGCACGAAGAAAGATCATGGCGTCTTTGCCGTTTATTTATCTCCAATTTGCCTTCTGTTTAGTTCTTACCCTTGGCTCGATCGCAGCTGGCAAGAATTGTGAGACCCTAGACGGCAAATGGTATAATCAGTTGGGATCTGAGATTTACATAGAGCATGATGAAAATGGAAAACTCTGGGGCGAATACAGGACTGCTCAGGAGAGATTCAATGGATCTGCGGGCCCTAGTCACTCTGTCATTTTTGGTAGGTACCTTTATATTTCATTATTCAAGCCACTGCAATCCTGAGTCCTCAATTGAACGGGGTTTTGTCATGCAATTTAATAATCTTTATGTAGTTAACTGAATGTTCTGAAGCTTAAATCTGAATTCTTTAAGAATGTTGAATACCTTAAAAGGCTGGGAAAAATTCAGGGCATGTGCTAGGGACCATGGAATCACGCGCTGCTTTCGTGAAGGTCACAGGTTCAATACATTGTATCCACCAGTAATCTACATTGCAAATCCTGGACTGTGAACAGAGACAAAGTGCTGTTTTTTTTTTAAAGACTAAATAACTACAGTGCATACTAAGTCACATGTAACACGAAAGATCTTGATCATTTCCAACCTATAGGGTATGATTATTGTTTTCCCTATAGTGTGTCTGTTTGTTTAATTGCATACATAAGAGAAGTCTACCTTAAAATCTAAACACTGACCAACATCAATTTTCTCCTAATAAATCAATAGATGGTCAAGAGAAAGGTTTATGAGAATTATTAAAATGATCACCAAAAGAAAACGCCTTGATCTTTTGTCAAATTCTCTCAACGAATTCTTTAAAGAAAATTACTGAGATTAGATTGGAGAATCTTCATCTGGCTTAAGGTTAGATAAAGTACTCACATCACATGTTGCCTACTGAACATAATGTTTATGGTGGCACAGGTGCTAGGACATGTTTTACATGTAAATCACATGCTTCATACAGGAGCTTGCTTGACACTTACATGTATCCTGTACCTGCTGGTCCATGAATAAAAATACCTTAAATCTTCCATTAAGCCCCCTCCCGGGGGGCTTATTTATTTCAAGCCCATTTGAAGGGGTGTTTGGGGGGGGGGGGGGGGGGATAATAGAGACAAGGGGTGGGGTGGCTTACATGTATTTAATCAAGAAAGGAGGATGGTATCAGCTCTCCCTAAAGGACTAGAGTACAAAGTGGAGAAGCTCAAGTGCAAGAAGGTTGGAGGTCATGCACCTGAGGATCAGAATCAAATCCTAACTTCCAGTTGGTAAATAAACCATCCTGGATCAGTCCATACACAGTTTTACAGTCGTGATTGATTAATACAGTCCTTGCTTTGTTAGTGAAGAAGGATTAGGGAAGGGGGAGGAGGGGCATAATAGAGAGGGTGGCTTATTAACTTTTTTAACCCTGAAAAGGGGTGGGGGGGGGGGGAACTCATTAGAGGGAGAAGGCTTATTTGAGAAGGGGGGCTTAATAGAGGATTTACAGCAATGTTCATTTATTTGCTGCATTTGTAGAGTTTTTGTTTACTTTTGCTTTCTTTGGAAAAGCCTTTTAAAGAACTTGTAATTCATCAGTTGATGGTTATGACTTAAATTGGATGAAATATTCTGCTTTGACAGGAGCAACACCTTATGACTACAAAGGGGCATCATTTGCTTTCTCTGTAGTCTGGAGGAATGGTTCATCAACAACCGTGTGGACTGGTCAATGTCTTGTGTGCAGTGATGGGCATGAAAAGCTTCTTACCTCTTGGCTGTTGCGTTCCAAGGTAAATACCTGCATAGACAAGTGGAAGTCAACTATGATTGGTCGAGACACCTTCACTAGATACGAACAGCGTGATGGTCCTCGCAAACCAAATGCATCCATTCCAGAAACCCCGGTAACTATTGAGAAAACAATTAAGACCTCGGACCCTGAAGTCAAAAATAAATCTTGCAGCTTAAACGGTGTTTGGTATAATCATTTGGGCTCTGAGATGATTTTGACCCAAAAAGATGATAATACTATTGAAGGAGAGTATCGCACTGCTGTTGAGCGGGAAACTGGAGCAGCTGGAACAAGCCATTCTAAAGTGTTCGGAATCGGACAGCTAGGAGGCCCGAGCAGCACTTTTTCTTTCTTTGTTGTCTGGAGAAATGGGGCGTCTGTGACTGGATGGGTGGGTCAATGTCACATTTGCGGTGAAAATAAGACTGAGATTATTGAAACTGGCTGGTTGTTGAACAGTAACATAGAAAAGTGCAGTGATGACTGGAAATCAACACTATTTAACCAGGATAGCTTCACTCGCACTGAACAGAACCCTGGGCCAAGGAAGAGAGATAATACTCATGTTCCAGACAGAAGTGGAAACAAAGCACAGCCCAAGGCCTGTGATGGGTGCAAGCATCACCTTACCTACACTCTCTTCAGTTTGAGTGTGATCATTTCTGTTTTACATATGCATATTTACTGGTAACAGGTTCATGTTCATCAGGACCTGGTTTCTGGAAATATGGTAAAGTCGAACTCACTAGCCAAATTGTAAGCAATAATTTCTCTTCATCTACAGTGTAGGAGCATTCAATTGGAGGTTTAAAAAGGCAATTTTGTGCCTAAAAATAGCAAAGAAAACCAGTTTTTCGCAACGCAACATCAAGCTGATCTTCTGAACAGTTCTTAAGGAAGATCAATAGCATTTTTGATTAACGTTTTAATCCTGAATTAGCACTAAAAATCGACCATACAGGAACCAGGCCTTGAGCTCTGATAATAGTATTTATGCACTATATTATGTATGGGTGGTGAAGGGTAGAGTTGTAGGAAATTGTTAATCTCTTAAGAATAAATGTGGATCTGATCCTGAAAGCTCAGAACAACTGTAATGAGTTTCCAAGTCTTTATACATTTTCCTCCTGTTCCAGAGTCTCGAAGGTACATTGTATAATTATTGCAGCAAAGTCTTGAATTTTTGAACAAGTCTTGGTGTCTGAAAAAGTCTTGGGTTTCACAATCCCAATCCCTTCATATGCACACAAAACTGAAGTTTTTTCTGCTGGTAGAATGGGCTGCCCTGGCATAGCATAATGACTGCTGAGTATTCATACTTTTCAGTGGCAGGGTTCCTGTGTGGTTCCATTACTAACAGAAAAAATATTTTCTGTGTCAGCAGTAAATGTGTGGAATAATATAACAGCTGTATAGTACTTAGTACTATTGTAGGGTAACGGTAGCATTAGTAACTTATTTTTAGCCTGGAAGGAACAGTGAATGAGCCATAGTTTATTGTGTCCTCATTCAGAAGTTTCAGAACTTATAGAGATCAGTTATCCACTTGAACAACGCTCGATTTGTATAAGTTATATTAGTTGTAATTTATTAATTACAAGCTTCTATTAATTCTTGGATATTTTTTCGTGCTTTATCAGTTTATTATTTAACAAGGTACAATATTTCTGTTCTGAACGTAGGACACTAACTGTTATTTGGTGTTGTAAACATTTATATTTCTAGGAATAATGCTTGAATAAAAGTTGTTTCTCAAGTTATATATTTGACTGGTTTAAAACCGTTGCTGAAAAATATCGTCCTCAGTGACAGAGATTCGCGCGCTATGATTGGTCCAGGAAAACATCATATCCCTCAGTAATCAGCCTTCGAGGGTAAAGGAAAGAATGGAATTACGGAGTGCCGCGCTGCATGACTTGCGGAGTGGGATAATTTTTGGGTTGAAGCCACAGAGGCAACGATAAGCATTATCTAGGTTGCCATAGACATGACCTTCTGCGGCCCTGTCACCGACTTCCTTGGCAATACTCAGGTGTTGCTTGTGGAACTCTGTTGCTCGTTGAAAGTTACAGAGGCATGAAGCATTGCTGAGATTACCAGAGGCAGTCCCTTCCAAAGTCCTGTCCCTGACATCCTTGGCAAAGCTCTGGGATTCCTTTTGCCAATCTATTGCTTGTTGAAAATTTCCGAGCCAGTGATAAGCATTGCCGAGATTGCCATAGGAACGTTCTTCTAGTGCCCTGTCACCTATTTCCTTTGCAGTACTCTGGTATTCTTTTGCTCATTGGATATATATCGCCGAGGCATTGATAAACATTGCCAAGATTACCATGGGCGCCTTCTTCTCCAGCCCTATCGCCGACTTTCTTTGCAATGCTCATGTGTTGCTTGTGGTACGCTATTGCCCTAGTGCCAGATTGCCATAGGCTCGTCCTTCTCCCTCTCTGTCGCCTACTACCTTAGATATGTTCAGGTGTTGCTTGTGATTCTCTATTGCTCCATGGAAGTCACCGAGAGAGTGATCAGCAATGCCGACAAAGCAGGGGTACCCAACGGTAATTTTGGGGAAAATATCTGTTCGGAAGACGATTTGAGAACTAGAATTTTCGGAACATTTGTTGTAAAATTTCTTGCTTGCCTGCCTCTCCTAGGATTTTCGAACATCTACAAAATGGTATAATTACCCATTTTAAACGGATATTTACCCTAAAAAAGGCCACCTAGAATTTTCGGGAGCCTTTTCCTGGCTGAAATTTTCTAAAAGGTAAGTTTTGATCCCTATAATTTTCGGATCACTAAACTTTCAGCTAGGAAATCCGAACAGATGAAAAGTTTTTAGGAGATAAAAATATGCCTATATCTACCGTTTAAATACTAGAATACGTTCAGCAATGCTATGTTAAGTGGTTTTGAACTATATCCTCGTTGGGTGCCCCTGACAAAGCAATAGCAGTTTCCTTCTTCTGTCTTATCATTATCTTTCAGGGTTTTTGCAATGGATGATATGGTATTAAACTCTGATTACTGAATAGTCAGGGGCAGCCAACGACAATTTTTGGAAAATATCTGATCGGAAGACGATTTGAGATCTAGAATTTTTGGAACATTTGTTGTTAAATTTCTTGCTTGCCTGCTTCTCCTAGGATTTTCGAACCCCCCAAAAAAAAAAAAAAAAACAAAATGGTATAATTGCCCGTTTTTAACGGATTTTTACCCTAAAAAGGTCTTCTAGAATTTTCGGGAGCCTTTTTTCTGGTTGAAATTTTCGAAAAGGTAAGTTTTGATCCCTATAATTTTCGGATCACTAGACTTTCAGCTAGGAAATCCGAACAGATGAAAAATTTTGGGGGAATAAAAATAAGCCTATACCTACGTTTAAATACTAAAATACGTTCAACAATGCAATGTTTAAGTGGTTTTGAACTATATTCTCGTTGGGTGCCCCTGATTGGTCAATTAAGTCGCGATGGTATCGGTCGTCTATCAGTTAAGCCGCGATGTTTGGTTATCGAAGCGCACCAATGACATTACGAGTCTTCATAGCCAATAACATCATGGTTTAACTGACAGACGACCAATAACATCGCGACTTAATTGACCAATCAGGTCAATAACCAGAGTTTAATTGCATCAATTAACGTGATACAACTCACTTTGACTCTGAGGATGACCCGGAGCACAGGTTGTCGAAACGTCAGTCACTGTCAACAACAACAGTCCTATTCAGGACTACGTTCACCCGGACGATCAAACTCAGCTTACTTATGAAATGACCCCTGGGTTCAAATCTTTCACAAAAACTAAATTTGTGAAATTATGGGATAGGTTTGTACATCCAGGAAGAACGACATAAAAAACGTCCACTTGCTTTCTGGATATGGCAACCAATCCCATAATTTCTCAAAATTAATTTTTTTTTCTGACGTCACGCTTCCCTTCTCTATTTAGCAGCCAATGAAAGTGGGCAGTAAAATCAATAGAAATGGAAAGCAGTGTCAGTTCTAGCATAGATTACGAAGCTGATATAGGCAAAAGCAGCCTAGTCCCTAGGCGTTCTCTCTTGCGCCGCGCGAAGTCTGAAGTCCGGGCGGGGGTACTCACTATGATGGCTATACGGGGAGGCTCCGCCCGAAAGGGGTACCTTTTTCAGGCTTCAGGTATATGAAAGGGTAAGGATTTTACTAGTTGAAGTATATTAACAAAGGGTAGGCAAATCTGTCATTTGGGTCTGTGGAAGGGTCCAAAAGGGATAACAGATGAATTTTATGGCTTTATAAAGTCGAGAAAACGTTCTGTTTTTGTGATTGATTCCTATTGAAGAGACAGTGCATTTACAGTAGTTAAAAGGGATGCAATGTTCTAAACAAGGTAGGTGAAAGGGGTACCATTTGTCAATAGAAGGTGTACGAAAGGGGTACTGCTTTTTCGTGAAAAATGGTGAATAAAAGAAAGGTTGTCGGAAGGGTCCCGAAAGGTGGACCTCCCTGTTCTCCAAAAAAATTTGAAAGAATGGCCCTCCCACGGACATATCTGTTGGAAAGTACCCCACAGTCGTGAGGAACTGTATTGATCATATCCCATATTACCTTTCGATACCCGACAACCTTTCTCTTGAATAAAAGGGCACACCTCGGGTTTAAACATCTGTTGAGTACCCCATAATTTTATAATCTAAACCTCTCCAGTAGTTTCAACGATTGTATTGATTTAGGGAGTTCTTCGTTTGGCTCTTTGGTTTAAAAACCCGGCGCAAGCCGAAAGTATTAGAACAACAGCTGGAAACAAACACAATGCACTTTCAAACATTTCGATTATTTGCTTTCACACGAAACGCAAATGAAGGGATTTTCAATCACTAACAACATGTCGAAGTCTGTGATCCCTGGGTGTATGCGAGTAGAATGCTAACTGAGATCAGGCGTTATTTATTTATTTTATTTTTTATTTTGCTTCTATGCTTCTTTGCCTCGAGAGGCAAAAAAAATAACGCCCTCTTTCCGTGAGAGACATAAAGGGATAATAGGGAGAGGGCATGATCTGAGGCTATTAGAATGCCTGAATTCAGAGTGGCGCTAAAAGAGCTGTTTCATTGTTCACGCCGACGTGCGAGGTCGAAAAAATGAGTTAGAATGGCAGAAACTGCCAAAAAAAAAAGAAAGAAAGAAAAAAGGCATGTCGGCGACGTAGAGGCGGAGTTAAGCAAGGAGGATATGTAAAATCGAAGACGTGATTGACAAAGAGAAGGCATCTTAGCCTGAATTTCATCCGATTACTTCGAGTCGTTATTACTCCCTCAGTTGTTGAGAAGAGAAAACGACTCGAAGCAATCGGATGAATTTCAGGCTAAAGGCATCTGACATAGTTTTTTAATTTGCTACAGGTGGATTTCAAGCAGATTGAAGAAATCCATGATTAGGCTGTAGCGCTTCAAACTGTTTCCGTCAAAAAAAGAAATTACAAATCGCAGACAAAAAAACAGAAGTAATTCTAATGAAAGGGGAAAAAGAAAGGCATTTTTAATGCTTTTTGTTAATTAACCTGTCACCAGACAGGAATATAGAGTCAGAAGAAAATATACTCGATTAGAAGCACTGTCTTTTCATTACGTTAAACTACAAAGGTAGTTTTTAACGCGCTATCTACTCAACTTCAACCATGATATGTCCTAATTTTACAGTGCCCGTTGGTTTTAGCACCGTTATAGCATCTGTATGTTTTACTTCTGGCTGCCTAGCCGCAGTAGAAAACACCATTTGCCTGTTTGTGGTGCACAGACTTCATTCGCTCCGAAAAACAGCGCGATTTTTCATGGCCTCGTTAGCCGCATCTGAGCTTTTCTCAGGAGTAGCAGCGAACTTTCACATCTCCCTCAAGTTAATGCTACATTCTTCATTGGACAGTGTAATTCTTTGGAAATCTGAATCGGCTTTGTGGTATTTCACAACATCAGTTGTAACATTTAATTTGGTAAATGTTTCATTAGATAGGTACATTGCAATAACTTCGCCTTTGCACTATCACATCAAAATGAGCTTAAAGCGCTGCGTGGCGTTAATACTTTTTTCCTGGATTTTCTCTATTCTAGCGGCATCGCTTGCGTTCATAGTTCCTTTAATAGACTTACCCAAGCTATGGATTTGTGGGACGGTTACTGCAGTACTAATACCCTTCTGTATTATATCGTTTTGCTACTTTAAAATCTACAACGCAACGAGACGAACTTTCCCTGAACGTGAAAATATCACTGATGCCCAGCAAATCGCCGAAAATAAGCGACAGGCAAAGACTGCCAGAACGTTTGTGATTATAACAGTACTATTTCTGGTTCTTTTTGCACCAAGTTTTATTTTTCACTGCATCCAGTTATTTAGCACATCGCTGTATAGAGGAAAGGGAATGGAACAGTTATGCACGCAGTTGGATTCTAACAGAACGGTTTGGATTTGCATCGCTGTTGCCTCGTATTTCAGCGCGGTCTGTGATCCCTGGGTGTATGCGATTAGAATGCCTGAATTCAGAGTGGCGCTAAAAGAGCTGTTTCATTGTTCACGTCGACGTGCGAGGTCGAAAAAATTAGTTAGAATGGCAGAAACTGCCAAAAAGAAGAAAAAAATGCAAGTCGGTGAAGTACATGCAGGTGGAGTTAAGCAAGGAGGATATGTCAAATCAACGACGTGATTGACAAAGAGGGGGCATCTGACATGTTTTTTTAATTTGCTACAGGTGGATTTCAAGCAGATTGAAGAAACCTATTAGGCTAAAGCACTTCAAACTGGTTCCGTCAAAGAAAGCAATTACAAATCGCAGACAAAAAGAACAGAAGTAATTATAATGAAAGGGGAAAAGAAGGAAAAGGGTAAGAGAAAGGCTTCACGAATAACAAATCATTAATACAGAGCACTTTGAAAGTCCGTTGTATTTGGTTTAGATTCACAAGTAATAATTTAGGCGTTTTAATGCTTCTGCATTGTCCTAACCCAGTTGCATGAAAACGTTTCAAGTAATTCATTAACCAGTGGAGCAGTGGAGCAGCATATACTATTTACACTTGTATCTGTTATATTTATTCATAGTCTATTTGAAAGGAAGTTTCTGTCGCGATCGGTCGACAATTTTTTTTTTCTTCACACATTGGACATCCAATATCCGATTGCTTAGAGGGGCTGTCACACTATTTGCCATCTTTTCAAAAAGCTAAAACTTTTTTCGCATCAATTGAATGAAGCAATTTCGTTATTTAAGACTATATTTTTGCAGCGAATGGCAAGCATTAACACGGATTTGAAACTTACTTAAAAAAGTTGGGTCAACCTTTGAAAGTTTTAATGCTATGCATGCAAAAATCATCAAAACAATATTAGGGCTAGTAATCCCTGATGCAATCTCTTTGATATCTTCTTTACAACTCTACAGGAGCATTTGTTTATGGGCAAAGACACCAAAGTATTGGCAATGACTTAAGCAATTCCTTTTGACATATCGTATTTATTCGAATAAGCGCCCACCCTCGAATTAGCGCCCACCCTAAAGGCAGAAAAAGTTAATAAGCGCCCAGCCTCGAATAAGCGCCCACCCCCTCCTCCTCCCAATCAAACTCAAATAAGCGCTCACCCCCACCCCACCCACTTGAGTGAATAAGTTCTAATAAGAGACTTACCCGAGGATGGAGTTGTCTTCAGAGTATTTTACAGAAACCTTGCTTTGTTACTTCGCGTTTTGTTATTAGCATTTAATGTTTTGTTGGAAAATTTGCATACATGGTGAAAATTGAACAAGCGCCCACCTCGAATAAGCGCTCACTCTCAAGGTCCAAAAATTTAATAAACGCCCAGGGCGGTTAATGGAATAAATACGGTAACCCGTAAAAGGTAGTATGATTGAAAAAATTCCTGAGAGCAGGTTTGATGAGACAAAGGATCGTATGGAGGTGCAATATCAACGCTACGTCAAAGAGGATATCCAAAAAATAAAATAAAATAAAATAAAACAAACTGGGGTACGCGTCCGCTTTCACGCTCTTCCCAACGTGCTTTGCAGGCTTCAAACATTCGCTTCCAAGCTTAACGGAGCCGGATGCAACGCGCTTGGGCAAGAGGCGATTCTGGTGGGTGCATCGCATAAATTAAATCCAAAGCAACCCGGTAAAATGTGAAGAAAACATGCTGATCGTCATGATGCCAAGTAATTTAATAGAGTTCAAATGAAAAGACTAGAGGTTTGGCTGCACGAATTGTATAAAACTAAGTCTACGTTTTTTCATACTCTTACTCAACTCGACTATGATGCAACAAGAGATCAATTGACGCCACCAGCCCACATGACATATTGCAAATAGACTGCGAGAAGAGACCAATTGCTCTACATATTCATTCTGCTATTCACGCCTATTTTTAAATGCGTGAGACGCGAGTTTGAAACGTTTAAAATTGTCTCGCGTGGAGCGACGAGCGCTGAGAAACTCTTCAATACAATAAGTCTGCCCTGTAAGCAATATGCATGGGCACGGTAATCCACTGGTCAAGAAGAACGCGGGCTGCTGGGCCTTCCGACGTCCTGCCTTCATCTCAGATTAAAACAACTGAGCTTTATACTGAAATGTTTTCCCCGACACTTGGGGTTGGCTAGGCATGCTTCTTTGATGGTATTTCTCCTATCCTCATTTGACAAATTTCCTGTCAAGATGCTGATCGAGTTTAACTTAGTTCAAATCCAGCGCCAGATTCCACAGCGTATAACAGCTTCTCCCTCATAATTTCATCATCTAAGTATTCTGGTAATTTTAACAAGTTCATACATGTGCTAGCAGTGGGTAGCCTATCCTCAGGCCCCGCGCTGTGAATACAAAATGGCGGCTCAAGGTCCTGAAGGCAAACAAAAAAGTCCAATTAAGAAACGACCCATTGTCGACAGTGCGTGCCAGCGAGACTCCCTCCTCCAATGAAAGGTTTACTACACTGCCAGGGACTTTGTCTCCTGTTCTTTCCAGATAGTAGTATGGGAATGAGAAGGAGAGAGGAGACAGGGCTAATGGGTTCATGTCAATACCCAAAGACGCGATCACCTAAACTAAAAAGGATCTAACCACAACAAGACAGAAATTTGTGAGGAGAATACGCATGTTGACATGATAAAATTTTACCCTGGTGGCCGAGCAGTCAATTAGCAAACAACATGTAAAACTAATGATGCAAATTGACGAAGGGCCTTTTTAACCGGCGCCAGCTACGCAGGCTAAAATGGGCTATACTTGAAAAGATAGCCGGTAGTTGGGCACAGGATACCCAATCTAGTAAATACATTGAAAGAAGCGGGTAGATTTGAAACCTACACCACCCTTATGCCACCCTTCCTTCCTGTTTTATCTTAGAAGTATTACTATGGCGCTATAATTTCATGGAGAACCAAATCCCGAAATCAGAAATTAAGACTTGAAAAATCAAAGTAGACAATTTTTTTTTGGCAAATGCACATTGGACATCAAAAGAGAAAAAGAAAGGGAAACAAGGAGTAAATCTGAGAATAAACCATACCTTAAAACCAAGTAATGGAGAGCGTGAACAGCTTGTTACAAACTTAAGCAGTTGACGTTTTTGCGTGTCTGTAAATTGATCGACTACACGCCAAAAAGAAAGTACACAGGGGTGATCTCCAGTAAAACCACCTGAAACAAATCAAGAATTGTGCCCGTTAGAAAACAAAGGGTTGCCACTTTTTGAAACGAGACTCACTGGCTATTTTTCCTTCTTGAAGTCTAAGCGACCTTCACTAAGTTAGCTTCTCGCATTTCTACAATTCCTTTTTTATTATTACTAGAAGAAACAGTTTTACCCAAGATAAGTATTAACCAAAGGTTAGGGAGGACAGGCGATCGATCGAAGGTCAAAACCATCTTGCTCCAACGCCGTGCTTTGTGTAACGTCACTTGATAGAAGGTAAAAAAAAAAAAAAAAAAAAACGCGTGTTCATTCAGATTACGAGTGATAGAGGATCCAAACGCACGTTTTCAGACTGCGTTCTAGGCACTCCATTCATTCACAAGTCCAAACAAATGCTGGCTAAATACATGCCGGGCATGCGTAATGGCAACGTGGAGATTAGGACTGCGAGCTCCTCTGGTCACCCGCAATTAAGATGATCGCCTCTCGATCTCTTTGCGCTGTTTACGGAATCTAATTTTTTCTATGAAGCTATAGGTTATCCACCTGGCGGTGGTAATCCTGACAGTAGACTGTCCACAGTTACTTTCACAAAACATTTAAACATGACGGATATTACTTCCCCAAAATCACGCGAGAAAAAATCTGTAAAATACATGTGAAATGATTTAATGCGGTCTGGTCTGCTGCCGTATGTTTAGAACTTGTACCTGAATAATTTGTGTTTCTTCTAAGATCCTCAAGGTCGACTGGAATCAAGGCACCAGATATAAGAACCTGAAATATTTAGCAAAATGTGAGTCTGGCGGACTTTTGAAATGAAGGCCCTTCCCGGAATCGACATGGAGAGCAATTGTAGCAAAAAAAGCAATCAAAATATGAGAGTAAACGAACGAATGGACTGAAAAAATTAACAACCAAAGTCTCTTCGTGAAACCCGTGGTGGCGCCGCGAACCGTCGGCTGTTTTCTAAGGGTAACGAACGCTGAGTTAAGCCTCGCATTTTTACATAGATTTGGTCTATGAAAGGGAGAAAAAAACAAGGGAAAGGAACTGTTGCTCTCCACCCATAATGGTAGCAACAGCAAGTCTAATATATTGAATCAATCAATCAATCAATCAATCCATTAAACAGCCAAACAGTCAGTTCATTAATAATCAATCAATTAAACAAAGAATCAAACATTCTATTAATCACTTTATTAATCAATGAATCAATAAAACAATCAATCAATTAATCACTCAATAAATCAATCAATCTATCAATCACTTAATCAATCAATCAACCTATCAATCAATTAAACAAACAATCTATCAATCAATCAATCAATCAGTTAATCACTGAATCAATCAATCAATTTCAAAGACTACCACGGCCTGATAGATTAAAGATCAGAAAATTCACCTGAAGCTCTTTGTGATCAAACATTCGGAGCCATTCCAAATTAATAACATCTGACAGTCCCGCCCTGAAGGCTTGACAATGCCGGTGAATCTGCAACACATTTAACCCATTAGAACGTTACTTCTTGGCACAACGACCAGAGTCTGACAAATTACAATGGGAGAGGGTGAACTACTTGGTTACTATACAGCGTGAAACGACTAGCCGCTTGGTGTTAACTAGTTAGTCAAAAAAGGATATCTCTCATTCTCAGAAGCATTAATTACATGACAAAGATATAGAGGAAAGCACCACCGTAACATGGAATAGTTGAAATTCGATGATAATACGGACGAACTTTTTCTTCAGATTTATTCAATTCCAATTATTGATCATTCGAACCTATCCAAAACAGTACATACCACTGCCTTGTACGGTAGACAGTACATTTCTCTTACATCACTACACGACTACGAAGTGAAATTTCCTACTTTGCAAACACAAGAGGACGATGAACCTTTATTTTTCCTGAAGTCCATAGAAATTCGCTTACAAGTGGCGAACTTTGCGGCCAGGGCTACTGCCGAGTTGCAATTAAACTGACCTGTTTATTAAGCCTGTAATCAGCAACAAGGTGAATATAACTGATTCTGTTGCTATTAGTAACTGGAATGTCCCTGCCGCCCGGTTTCAACTCCACAACCTGTGAGAAGAAAGTAAAATGCTTGACGAGAAAAGCAACATAACAAAAATACAAAAAGAGTTAAGAAGAGAAAGGGTGTTTCGGGTTTCATATAGCTTATCGGCTATGGTCAGTTCATCAAGAGGAAGAATGGATGGTTGAAAGGGAGAGACAGAAACACAGCTTCCCTTTCAGGTGTGAATAATTCTTTACTCAATTCAATTGGTTATAAAATGGATCGATTGCAGTGTAACTAGCCTATTTTTCGGAGGGAGAGAAGGGACGACCGGAAATGCGTCTGCTGTTCGCAGGCTACAATGTAACGAGCCATAATTGTAAGAGTTACAAGTTCCAGATAAGGTCAACGTTTGGAACGTAACCTAATTGTAATTACATCAAGTTTGCTTTAAAGAACTTTCGATCCAAACGTGAAGTGATCTGTAAAGCGAAGAATTAGAGGAGGGAAGGAAAGCGAAGAGGGACGAATTTAGCGGAGATGGGGGCAGGGAAAGAGTATTTTCAGAGTATTATTCAACCAGTTTTCGGAAAGCTACCCTGCGCATACAGCTGCCATCACTCCTCACTCCTCGGTCCCCGCCGCAAGGGGCGTCCTGAGAAACGTTCATGGCGGCGAGGAATAAAGAGAGACGGGTGTATTTTGTTTTGATACAGATAACAATTTTATGGAGTAATAAATGCAGAGTCCAGTTGTAACTTTTGTTGGCAGTTTCTCAATTACCTGACTCTCTCCTAGGTCATTATTTACCACTGTAAAGTTGAGCGAAAGATCTTCAACGTTTCCTGTATAGTTTTTGAGGAACAGCAAGTTCCTAGACACGTCAAAAAATAAAAAGAAACAAATAGAAAAAACAGACAAACATTATAATGCACACAAAAACAATGTCACGTTAGATAACCTTCTAATTCTCGGCATCTCATGGCTTTCAGCAAGTGAAAACGACGAACATAGCCTTTCTCACCGTTTTCATGAACTGCAACATTTCTGATAGTATTAATATCGGTAGCAAGAAAAAGTACAAAGAAGCAAGCATTAGACGAAAAGAGGCGAGGACGAACGCAGAAAAATGATAAAAAAGAGTCATAGTACCTGTACATTTCGGGATCAAGCGACTCAAGATGATGGATATCAACATCTGTGCCGTGTTTACTGAGAAGTTTACATGAGAAGAAACTGGCGAATGGTAACTCCACCAACATGTTTTCATACAAAGCCTGAAAATCGTAAACAAAAGAAAAGTAACGAGAATAAAGATGAAGAAAATGATGGTAACGCCGAAGTTGTCAGTGTTTAATGGCCTATCAAATCAAAACCGCCCTGGAAATTCTAACAAGCTATGACTTCATTGCATTACTTCTAATATGATTATTACTTCTAATATTACCGACGTTTCTTGTTATCCGAGAATGTAATTTTGTCGAAAAATTTTTCCCTTCTATCATAATAGCTCACTTCGGAAAATAGTGATAGCCTAGGGACCTAAACTAAGCGCGCGTATATTTATGAGATTGTTTGGGGGGGGGGGGAGACAAGTCGAGCAGCAAAACATGCAAGTTGTTGTGAGCCTACGTTACGTTTTGCTATTTTGAGTTATTTTAACCCCGCTGAATCGTTCCTCTTCGCTTTCCGCCATGTTTGATTACATTCGCGTCCCCCCAAAGAATCCCATAAACGCGCGCGCGCCTAGTTTGGGTCCCAGGCTATCGCTCTTTTCCGAAGTGAGCTATTGTCCACTGTTATAAATGATAAATAAATATAAAAATAAATAGATAAATAAATAAAACCCATGAATGAATGCACTGATAAATCATTGTATGAATGAATAAATCATCGAATCAATGAACCAATGTGTAAATGAATCACTCAATAAATGAATGAATAACTAAATGAGAGAAAGAATAAATGAATTTATAAAAAAATGAAGGATACAAACTTTTCCTAACATTCTTCCGAGAAAATGGTAATGTTTCAGATAATCTCTTGCTAATAAAGCCGCCTGGATAATAAAAGGAAATAAACATATTAAAACATGGCGCGAAAAATATAGTTTTGTTGTTTAGAGTAAACCTACAATAGCAAAGTTGACCCATCAGATTGCAGTGAAAGTACAAAATACTCCAACCAATTAGCTGAAACTCATAGGAAGGATTATTACTTCAATTTAAATTGCAAAGTGTCCACTTTATGCAATTTCATAGGTCCATAGCTATCGCACAGCTGTTTAACAATGCTTACACAAAAAAAAACAGAGATATTTTTGGTCTTTTTAAAGAACAAATGAAAGATGATGTCGGCATGAACACACCTGAGGGTTAGGGTAGAGTAGCCTTTCGTGCGTCGACTTGAAAAAGCCAATGTTGGGATCAAATCCTGCTTTAAGCAGCTGGCTTAAAAACTCCCTAAATATTTAACATAATAATCAATCAATAAATTGATAAGAAGTAAAAAGGGAATAAAATATTTGACGCCATTCCGGGGATAAATTTTGTTTAAGAGGCCACGTTCTGGCATATCAAGGGATAAAAGGAAGACCGAAGGATGATCTCACCTCCCGGATACGTTTAGCCTGAGAGCATGTTCTCTTTAATATAACAAATAGAAGTCAAGCGAACGCCAACGAGGCGGAAGGGATTGGGAGAGCTCGCCGGTCACTTCGCCTCCTCCGAGTTTCAAAAAGAGAGCTTGTTTATAATCTGCTACACAACCGTTTTTGTGTCGTCACGCAAGGCTCCTCCCCACAAACGCGGTCTTGACGACACTAAAACGCCTGTGTACCAGACTAGCTTATTTAGGGTTGTAAAATGTTGTACTGTCATTCCTGTTTTAATGAGCAGTTCATAAACGTTTGAAGGTTAACAGTACAATGGCCTTCTGCAGTCATCATAATCCTAACGAGGCTGCCTACCTAAAAATCCCGCCACCATCCACACCGGCCTCCTCCAGACCTTGGGCATTGATCATGCGCACTCGCAACTTTTGTCTTAGGTTAGGAGCTGGAGACAAACATTACAACATAAAATGAATGGCGCATACAATGCAGCTAAGGCCCCGTTCGTATCGAGGAAACTTGTCTCGGGTAAAGGGGTCACTCGAGTACCCGAACTACTTACTTATAATTCCTTGCAAAACGTGGCGAACCGTTTAAGTGAGAAACCAAAAGGTGGCTTGGCTAGAACGTTGACCCATCAGCCGGGTCACTATTTTTCGATGGTAGGGTCACCCTCCAAGCCGGGCCAACTTTTCTCCATATAAACACTGGCTCGCCCAGCTGGGCCAACTTGGTCAAGGCGAGACAATCAGAGCATGCGCAAACGCTGTTGTCAGCTAACTTGTCAACTTTTTGCGCTCGCTCAAGTGGCATTTTCAGTCCCGCCGGAATAACTTTTCTTCATGTAAACTGGTCTTAACCTACTTTAGATAGCACCAAATGGTATCAAGGTTTCAAGGTGAAGAAAAAGAAAAAGAATTGAAAACAAGCCTTTGGCCTAACAGTAAGCCCAGTAGCACGGTGCTCACCAAAAGCAACACCACAACTGGGATAAAAGAGATTGAAATAACTTAACTTTTGCGCAGAAACAGTATTTCAAAACGCGTTGCTACTATCACCATCGTTCACGTGAAGTCAAAGAGACAAACAGTGACATGAAAAAATAACACAGCGTAAACAGCAACAGACAAACAAAGAAACAAAGAAAAAAAGACAGGAAAAACGAAGCAAAAGCGAAAAGAAGGACAAATAAACCCACATCAAGTATTAAAAAAACATTATTTACTACGGCTCAACAAGAAGCAGTGATGGTATTAAAAGGAAACAAAACGTAACGAAACAAATAAAAAAACAAAAAGACAAACATTGTTAACGGCTGAAATGAAGCAGAAAATTTATTGTATTTAACAACGCGGAGTTCTTCTCACCCTTGTCTTCCGTCAGTTGATCGAACGCATCCTGGTAAATATAGTTCCTGTTTACGGTCACATCAATAGCTGGGCCCATCATGAAGTTATGAAGATCCCCCTGAGTGGCTGTGCGATTCTTTGCAATTATCCTCTGGAGTAACTATAGAAAAAATTTTGCGGTGATATAGTCAGCTGTATAAATTTATACTCTAACAAATGAGTTTCTGGGACATCTTAAAGGGAACAATGTCATGACACTTAGGGCGCCTTCCAAAAGTCAGAACTGGCTGCCTGGACCATGGCTGGACCGGTCATTTTGAACATGAAGAGTTTTGAACAGTAATTTTTAGGGAGTTATTTTAACTCCAAAAGTGGAGTAAAAATTTTAGGTACAGGATAACCCCTTTCATGGACTAAAACGTTAACTCCTGATTTAACTCCAACTATGGGGTCATTTTTACTCCTGAAAAAGAGTTCTTCTAACTCCCAGCCTGGAGTTAAAATAACAAAGAAATGGGGTTATTTTTACTCCTTCCATGGGTTGTTTTTACGGCTCTTTTTGGAGTTACTTTAACTCTGAAAGTGGAGTAAAAATTCCTCAATGTCTGGGGTCATTTTTACTCCTGAAAATGAGTTCTTTAAACTCCTTGTTGGAGTTAAAATAACTCCCCCAAAAAATAACTCCACTGTAAGGAGTTAAATTAACCCCACGGCACTAGAGGAGTTATTATAACTCCTTGAAAATTACTGTGTGCTATTTAGGATTTAAAGTGCTGATCTGGCTAGATAGCCCTGGAGAGCTTCTATTCGCAGTTGGGGCCTAACAAAACGTTCACCTTACCTTGACTCTGTCTTTGAAAGGAACAACAAAAGGGATATGTTGCAAGATGGCCATATTACGAGCTGTTGCGGAAGACATCCCTGGTTTCGGGGCACCCTCCACTTCGACTAAATATAAACAAACAAAACAGCAACCTAAATATAAGAATAAAAAGCTTCAGCAAAAACGAGGCAGTACGCAGCTCTCATAAGAACTCACAGGTGGTTGAGAGAATAAGAAGCACACAACAGCAACAACGGACCTATCCCTAACAGAATAGAGCTGCGTACTATCGAAGATCCGATGAAATTAGAGATTCTAGAAATTTTATGCGCTAGCCGGGAGAGGGGGGGAGGGGGGGGGTGAGGTGGAGGAAACCAAGGACAACAAACGACCAGCGAGAAATACCGAGAAATTGCACGTACCTTCCTCGTTTAAAAATCCATCAATCTGCATCTGTGGGAGGTAGACGAAGAAAGAGTTGACCAAATAGACTGAATTAACCACTTGATACACTTACAGTCGTAAGCTCACAGGCACCTTTGCCCGAAGCTACACAACAAATTGGGCGATTCCTCAGTTATTATCCCCGTTAACACTCTTAACACCCCTGGATCCATAGGCTGTTTACAGACCTTCTATTTTCCGTTCAGATATCGTCGAGAGGAGGTATATAAATAAAAAAACCGCGGGTGACGCGCTCGCTTCGCTCGTACGCTCGTCAAAGTCCTCGAAAAAACAAAGAAATTATATCTTGCACAACTCCTGTGTAGGGTAGCAAAAGTTTGCTTTAAAATTGAATAACGCTCTTTGATTATAAAGATATGTACGAAAGGAATGGCCAATCTACCCTGGGTGCCAAAGGGCGCGCTCTGAATAATAGGTAATCACAGCATGTACCCCAGACAGTCTTGAATTCTGGATTTCACGCTGTGGATTCCGTAGCCTGGGAGCTTGCAACTGGGTCTCTAGAATTTGAATTCCACCTCCAATTCCCCTGCGGCTCCCCGTCGACTGACCTGTCAGATTTCCGCCAATCAGCGAGAAGCGGAAACGAGCGCAAAGGTAAACAAACATTGAAAAACATGTGCCAAGGGTAATGATGTCATTACTACAGTCATCTCCGCCAATCAGCATTTCGCATCGACTTTTTCGATGCAGATATTCAAATTTCAAATTTCTAGTTGCCAACTCTCCTTCCTTTTTTGGGCCCCACCGCAAAAGCGCTTCGGAGAGCTTGCTCACAGACTATGGATTCTGTATTCAGGTACTTGATTCCGGATACTTTTTAACTAGAACTCGGATTCCGGATTCCAATCGTTAGCGGGATTCTGGTTTCCCAGAGCCGGATTTCGAATTCCATTACCCAGGGTTCCAGGAATTCCCGGATTCCAGAATCCGAGTTACTTTCAATGAGGCGAAGTTTAAAAGTGGGTTTACCTGTGTTGGGTCTATATGGATCTTACGAGACAGCCAGTGACCGTCAGCGCAGAACTGTCTTCTGGAGTCTCGCGAATGAAGCTGACGAACAAGACTTGTAACATCCTACAAACAGGAAAAAAAAAGGGCTCTTGGTTGGAGGTAAATATGGACGCTAACCTACAAAGTCCTTCATTTGCTTTCTATGGTAACGATGAAGGGAATGAATGTTGTTAATGATCGCGACAATTTCACTTGGTGAGTGCCTCCTTTATTCTGACAATCGTTGTCTTTAGCCCATCGGAGAGCTTGTTTATTTCAAGCAAGTTTGAGGCAATCAGTGCACATGAAGATTAATCAATACAGTCTATCTTTTAAGAATAACGGGGAGGGGAGGGGGCTTAATAACTTTCTTTCCCTAAAAAAGGCGGGGGCTTGTAAGAGAGAAGTGGGGGGGCTTATCCGGCAGAGAATTTTCGGTGAGAGAAGATATTAAAAGAAGAAATTAGATGATTGTCTTATAGGATAGAAGATAAACACAGTGGCGTAAAAAGAGCGCAAGATCACCAGTATATAATGTACGGCTTGGTTTGCCCTTAACTAGAAGGAGATTTTCTGGATTCCTTTTGATGTGACGGTTTGGTCGCGTGCCAGAAATGTAATATATCCAACCTAAGTGTAAAATATCTCGAAATATTTACAAATCCGTTAAAAATTCATATAGCGCTAACCTAGTCTACGAAGTCTTTTTTGAAATCGAGAGCACGCTACAAAGCTATACCCCAGAAGAAATACGGGACGCTCCTATGAACCCACCTCCTTCCAACGCTAATGGGTTTTGGTCTGAATAATTTCTGTACATAGAAGAGGTAAGTAACACACCTTTAAAAGCTTAATCCATTTTTGTTTGGGATAAAATTCGTCACTTTTCAGGAGCGCAGATTTGGCTCCTACGCTTTTCATGGCAGCGAGATATTGCCCGGTAAACGTCGGACTGGTCTCTGGGTAAATAATCTCGATGATTCCTGTCGCCACATTGCACAGTATGGAAGACATGCTCTCCATTTCCTTGAGAGAAAATGGCATGAATGAACTTCTTTGACCTACAAAACAGAGGAAAAAGAATTGTTGGCTTTCACTGCCACGCAAACAAAATTAAAAGCCTTTGATTAAAAGTAAATAATATGTAAAAGGACGGTTGATTTATTAATATCATAGGTGAAAATTTACGCCTTAATTTTGGCGCGAAAGTTCAGCGTTAATTTATACCAAAATCACAACGTTCCGTAAATCTCAAAAATGACGTTAACGTTTAAAATGTTATGAATGAAGTTCCGGGCATTAAAAGTCGCTTTAAAAAACCAAGATGGCGTTAACGTTTAAAATGTTTTTGTCTCAAAATTCTGTTATAAACTTAACTGAATGAATTTAAACTCTAAACTTTTCATTAAAAAACCCACGACGCCATTTTGTCAAAAATACACAGTATGCAAAGAAAGTCACATCAAGAAGGATCCTATCACTGGTATTTTGTCTAAAAATTCAACAAAATTTTATAAACTTAACTGAGCCAAAATTTTAACTAATCGAGGCGGGGGAGCTGAAGAACTTTTCAAAACAAGAATTATATATAGATGGACTAAATAAAAACCCTACAATACAGAAATAGAGTTTAAACTAACATAAAACAAAAAACAAAAACCCATGATTATACTAAATTTTAAATAACGTTAACGTTGAAACTTTAGAAAGATCGTTATTTTCCTCTTTAGGGGCTAATGGATTTTGCTATCAAGAAGATAACAAAACAAATAGAAAAAAGCAGAAGGAACTAAACATCAGAAATTTACGTTTACCTTGCCCTAAACACGATCTTAATCACGTGATTCGTGATTCGGCAAGTGCTGTTTTTTTGGGGAAATTCAAATTACAGAAGGATTGTAATCAATCCTGCTAATGAAAAAGGGTTTTGGGGCTAGTTGAAATGACTTGTGGGCTAGTACATGCTAGCTACAGCTTGCCCGAATGGCAGGCTGTTACACTGACTTTCTTTGCACCCTGTAAAAGGAAATCATAGGCAATAGTCATCACATACAAACACACTCGCAAAGATTAATCTGTCAGGTTTTTCATGTCCCACATAATTGGTGTTCTTCGGATCGCGTGCACTATTATTACACATCACTCCCCTACAAGAAACAAACAAACAAAATGATAACCGCCATCTTACCGTCTTCTCCATAAAACTCGTTATCGTGAACAGAAAAGAGAGCATTGCTCAACAAAGACGACAACAGAGACAGCAATGGGGTAATGGCACCAGCCTCCTGCATCGAAAGATTTGTTCCACGTGATAACAGCTCTAACAAAGAAACTTCTTTTCTGAAATGCAAAAGTAGTTGTTTAAGGGCCTGTTTACATGAAGGTGGGGGACCCCAGGTAGGTGAGGTAACATGTGGCGGGTTACCTCACCTAACATGTAAACGTGATCACATTAAAGTGAGAGATTATATGGACAGGCGGGCTACCCCACCTAAGCGGGTTACCTCCCCTATCTGGGGTACCCCACCTCCATGTAAACAGGCCCTAATTAAATACCTTGATAACGATGCAACAAAGTATGTGACAAGGAACACAAAAGGTATGCCCATGACTTGAGCGCGCTCGTGAGTATTCAGATGAAAGAAAGAATAAAATAAAATAAAAGACCACCTTCAGTATAACTCTATGAAGCACGGGTGTGACGAAGCGCGCGTGAAGTATAGCATAACACACTGAAGTTGTCTGGTCTATCGCAGTGTGCGCACTATATAACAGTTTTGTCAAAAGAAAAAAAAACTCACCCCGTACTTGTAAATACAGTTGCAGACTGTACATTGCGCCAGAGTTCTCTTACGAAGACGGGGTTTAAAGCCAGAGTATAGAGAAGCCTAAAAAGACAAAAGTAGGTCAAACAAAGAAAGAAGGACTACTTGGATCGACAAAAGACGAATCTACGAGAAAATAATGGCCAGAGGCACGAATCTCGAAAGTCCGGATGATTAGCAGGCCTGGAAAACCATTGCTATTTACATTCAAGGTAGAAGTTTCAATAGTTTTGCAGATAATATGATAAAAATATCAGTTCACAAAACAGATTGGACTGACTTGTTACCTAGGACACGTCAGTGCCATTATTCTTTAGATTTTGACTTAAATATTTGACTTCGGGCCTGAAAAGTTACTAGAACCATCGAGAAATGGGCCCCAGAACATACACTAGGAAAGATTCAGTACATACTGTGTGCACTAAATGGCAAACCCTGAAACTCTGAAACATTTAGTTCCCAGTTTATCACGCACAGATTCAAAGCCGTTGAATGCCAGCTTAAATTGTATTTTCAACATGTTGGCCGGTATTATTTCCTGGGCTTAATAACCTACGATGCAATATATTGGGACTAAAAATCGCAAACTGTTTAGCGAGTGTACTGAAGCATTCGCCGCCACGATCCTTGACGACCCAATCGTCCAGGGGAAAAAATAATTCTTCTTGAGTGAGTACGTAAGACCAAAATGACCCGACCACAGTTGCAGAGCTGCAAATAATAATATTTCTTGAAAGAACATATTTCCAGCTCAGTCGCCGTTTTAGTCGGACAAAAAAAATGTGGTCAAACTCAATCACGGACGCATTAGTTGTGTTTCAAGAAAATTATGCATGGTGCCGTAGGAGCAATCGTAGGCGTAGGATTCCTAGGTTGACTGTTGCCTAGTCCCTAGGCTTCATTATACCGCGCGGCCAAAGCGTTCCGGGTCACGTGGTCCAAGTGAAGAAGTGAATTGACCGAGAGGGACTGGGAAAACGCCGGACATGCACTAGGCAAGGTTGACTGATTACTGCCAACCATTCACTACAGATATATTTTTATATTTATTATTTATTTATTATTATTATTATTATTATTATTATTATTATTATTATTATTATTTTTATACGACCATTCATATGACCTCAAGTTACAGTATCATTCTTTTGCGAAATGATACTTTTTGGTATTCATTCCGTCCGAACATCGTGTCCGACCACAGTTAGACATCGTCGAGCATGGGCCAATTTTTGGGCATTGTTCGTTGGTCGACTCTAGTTCGCAGCTTACAGTTGATTATTTTGTTTACATAGCTAACTAACCACTGCACCAGTCAATCATGGACAAGCAGTAAGTAAACGAAACGTTGCAATTTTAACAACTCAGATAACTACATCACGAGACAAACAAGAATTTTCCTCCGTGTGGTCGTTCTGGGAAATGGAGTTACTACAAACCTTGTCTTATGGATGGGTAGCCTGTTCTCTGACATCAAGAAATGGCATATGTTACAAAGTGCAGTTATGACTTCTGATTCATGTACCACTCCGGTGTGCCTAGAAATGATTTTAAAAATTACGTCAACTGCTTTATTCCTAGAGTGAGATATAGTGAGATGGTTTTCCATTATATACTTCTTTTGCATTCTACCTTTTGCATCTTATGGTGTTACCATTCAAACGAAAAAAAGTCAGTATACTAGTTGGTATGTACCTTGTCACAAGAGATTCCAAGGCCTTGACATGCTCCTTTGAATCAAGAACATCCAAACATTTTTCTCGAAGGATTTCAAGTGCAGGCTGTGGGCAAAGAAACGACAACAGTCGTTACCACATGCATCAATAAAGGTAACGAGATACCACGAGACATATGTAAGGATATCACTTATAAGTAAAATCCAACTAGTGGTCTATTATAAATGCTGCGTTCTGATTGGTTGAGCTACTACTTGGCTATATGTTATAGCCTATTAGTAGCGAAAAGCGCGGGCTTTTTGGCGGCAAAAAAGGATTAAAGTCTAGCTTTTAACTAGCTAATTTTTTTATTCTCGATATTTTTGACCAACTAGTTGGATTTTACTAAAACAATAATTCCTCTCGCCCTCATGGCCTCTGAGTCAACAGCCTATTCGGCCTGCGGCCCGGCTATTGACTCGGAGCCCATTCGGGCTCGAGGAAGAATTGTTAATGATCATAACACATTTCTAAATGTCAGATTATATCATTATATCAAGTACGAACATTGCAAAATATATGTGCAGGAGAGTAATATAACCAAGAAAACGTTTAGGAGGTTCGCAGGGTTCAAAGTAAAATCACAGCTTTTAGTCTGAATCTGTGGGCTTTTTTCGTGTGAAGGCCTATTTTTGCCCGGCTGCAATAATGAATCACTTTTTTTTCACTTTCTGCGATTTGCGTGTATGACACTTGACAAAAATCTTAGTGAATCTTCGTTTGGCGTATACGTCAAATGGCAGACGTCAGATTCAAGTTGAGAATTTCTCAAATTGAAAAATGAGCAGACAAAAACTGTCGCAAATAATCGTTACTAATTGACCTGGCACGAAACATGCAAAAAAGTGACGTCAACCGTTTTCCGTAAATCCGGATGTTTTTTAGCACGGAGATCTTATCCCTCCGTTTTCGAGAAAACACGCGTCCACAAGCAGCGTATCCCGTCCACGCGAAAGCGCTAGAACAATTGAAATACGACTGCACGCTTTACAGAGCATGCGAAATACTTCTAGTATATGGTGTATGACATCATCGTATTCGAAAACCACCGTTTTCGTCCGTCCACAAGTAAACGATGAGTCGGCGTTTTCAAAAATCTCCATTCTGGAGAGCGTTTTTGAAAAAGGGCGTTTTCGGTGACCGTTTTCACCGGATAAGTGTGGACGATAGGCCAAACCGGAGGAAAAAATCCCCATTTTTAAACAAAAACTGATACGTAGTCGTCGGGGCCTAAATCTCTCTACTGATTGTAAACCACATGTACTTGTAAGGGCGCCTTCCATTTGTCAGATTTGACCCGCCAGACCATTCCCGTCGAAAAGAGAATTTCACTTTTAATCAAAACTATCCAACCAGTTCAGTCAAATCCCAAATAGTATACACGAAGGAGATGGTTTTTCAGATAAAGCTCTAAAAGTAAAAGGCGATCTTTATTTGCTAACTGACTGGTCCGGTAATGGTCCGGCCGGCCAGTTCTGACAAATGGAAAGCGCCCTAAGGTAGAATGGATTAAAGGTTTGACTTGTTTTGCAAGATTTGCGTACAGATCAGCTTTGCAATGATGCCCGTACCTGAAGAGGATCAATAGCCATTTCTGATTCACTGTCGCTGTCCTCATCATCAGAACTGGCCGTTGCTGGTACAGGAAATTAAAGCAAATTATCAACACAAGGTAGTGAGTTGTTTGTCTTGAGTGTTTGAGGCTGTTTCTTGATAAAGAAGGCATGAGAATCGCACATAAGAATTCAAGCACAACTTAAAGTAAGGAAAAATGTGCAGCAAAAACTAGCGAATTGTTTTGCAACATTGCGGCAAAACGAACGATGTTGCGAATTTTACCACCCACGAACCAAACTTGCAAAAAATAAGGTTGTTGCACGTAGCGAAAGGTTGCTGCAGAGAACACAGTAGTTCTACTTTTTGCAACAAACTCTGTACATGTCGCGCGTTTTACTGGCCCAAGGCAAACTTGTTTTGCAGCAAGTGACGTAACTCCTGTGTATGTCGTGACTCCCGCGTAATTTTATCCAATCAGAAGTCAGTATTAACGCTACTTGCGATGAGCTAGTTTGCTGCACCAGAGGTTTGAGCGTTGGTGGTGAAAAGCGCAACTTTTTGAGTTGAGAAACAAGTTGCACGTTTTCGCTGCCTGTTTTACTGTAGAAATATGTAATTTCTTCCCGATGAGTTAGATGCTTTATAACGACAAAAGCAGCAGCAATACTTACCTGGACGAGGAAGTTGGACTAACAAGACTTGCAGCACTTGAATATATCTTTTAACCATAACAAGATCAGGAGATGATCCTAAAATAAATACAATTAACAATACATGTATCATCACAATATGTCGATTCAAGATGTGTTGTAAATACTAAAGTACATCATATAGACTTGCTATCGGTAAATGATAACGCAGAACGGGCCCCCAACGACGATTTCCTCTTAAATCCATTGAAGACGTTTTTATAGACTATCCAGAGTAGTTTTAGATCTCCATAAATACATTCTACGCAGCTCTATAAAACTTGTATCTGTCTTTTCAAAGGTTGAAGCAAATTGCCAACCAATCAGAAGCACTATCTAGATCTGGGTAGTGACGCGTCATCAGTATGGAATTTCTGCGCTCGTTCCTCTGACGTCATTTCGCGGGGAAACCAGTGGTGGCGTCACAAAATGTTGGCTGTTTCCTCAGGCCAGTGAGATTGATGAGTTTATTTATTCACCCTCGGAAGCTAGTGTTATGAGACACAAGTGATACGCCAGTAGAATATCGCGGGGCTCAAAAACGTTTGAACCGAACAGGAAATCTTGGAAGCGTATTGGAAGACTGGAAGAGGTTGCAAGGTCTCGGTTTAACAAACAAATACTTAGAATCTCGGAGTCTCTCCGACTTTAACATCTACATGTACACCACTCCCATTGGGGATGTGCGCCTATTAAAGAAAGTTCACTATCAAACAAAAAATTTGGACAGTACCACCGCACGACGGCAGTTCGCACAGAATTAAGTCGATTCAAGAGATGTTTATTTGTCGTTCTTTAAGCCCTAAAAAGGAGAATACGCCTGGAAAGACAGCGACTGCACGTGTGGGTCAGCATCTTTGTCTAGTTACTGAAAACTTCACACAGAATATCTCGTGCCGACATGAGAAGCTATCCGGCATAGTACGAACACCTATCCAATACGCGACTCTCCACGGTGAACAGGTCGCGAAGAGATAATTGCCTCTCTTCAAGTGCTCGAAGAGATAATTGACAGGAGAAGTTGGCCAAGGTAAACAAGAACGGAAAGGACGAAGGAGCAGCTGGAGAGGAACACAAGCAGAGCGCTATGGAACGTTTAGGGCAGACCGTGAAAAGACATTTTGAACACTTCGATCATTCGAATTTCCTTTGTTTACATGGGAAACTCGTCGTCCACAGCAAGCGAGCGCTTAACTCTCATATTTTCCCGCCGTGAATCGCGTTCTCGACCCAGTCCTTTCACGGTGCAGTTCGTCGTCGTCGTCTCTTTCGTAGTCGATCCTTAAGGTCCCTAACATTAGATCGCTGGACCTTTTATAGCAACCGCAGCAATAGAATCCAACCTTGTTTGTCTTTGGGCAAATAGACGTACGCCCGGGCAAAACGACGTCGGACGGATCGACTTTCGGATAAAACAAGCACACTCATTCGTACCTAACTGTTTCTCCACAAATGCTAACATTCCAAACAGCAGCCACGGAGTAGGGTTCACTCCTTTGTTACTTTTTCCTGAATCATCTGTCTTGGACAGCATCATCAGAAGCGTCTCTAGTAAGCTCTTAAACGGGAACTGTGCAGACGGATCAGCTAAAGAAGGCAGCAGGAAACATGTTATCTGTTCTGACATCTCAGGACACAGTATATCACTCACAAGGGCTGAAAATACTTCATGTCTGAAAATAAATTCAAAGTGAAGAACCCAATGACACGGTTGTCATTAAGAGGCGCCGGGGATGGGGGATTTCCCCAGCTACTAAGAACGTGCCCCCCGGCTACTTTCATAGGAAAATAGAAGAAAAATAGAACCAAAAGAAATCTCTAGCTGTTTGATTCCCCGCCGACTTGTTGTATTTACCCGGCAACTTAAAATCTTAGTGACAGCCCTGAATGAATTAGGTGCTAGTGCCTCAAATTTATCTGCTTTTGTTTTTGTTTTTGTTGTTGCTATTATTATTGTTCTTGTTGTTTTTTTAAGATCGGGGATGAACTTCTTTATATCTCGATTGCTATAGTTCCCAAACCCCTTATTTCTAAATTGCATCTTTTCACAAAGTGTGGACAAAAATCAGAAAAATCGAAAGAATACGGACGTTGTCCAAACCGATCGGAACAAGTGTGGACACTTTTCTTCATTTTAGCGTTTTCGATGGCTCTGTATGAACGTGAGTCCAGAGTGGCGCTGATAAAGTCATCAAGCGTTTAATACATATAAGCTTAATAAATTACCTATCGCTGGCAGTAAACTCAGTTTCCTCCTGATTACTTGTTTGTTGACTGAGGCGAAGAGGACCCACGACCAGATCCTTGATGGCTGCCGCCAGTGGAGTCGGAGGAACAACAGATGGCTCTAAGCTGGAAGGTACTCTAGCATTCAACAAAGCTCGGAGGTATCGAAAATATCCTGAGAAGGCCATAAAAACCAAATCATAGTGTGTTTAAACAAAAAACTGTAAGGTTAACGCCTTTTGTAGCCTGTAAGTCGCGCGTTAACGAGGCTCGTTTCGCTCGCCACTCGCCCCCCACCCCACTCCCCCTTTTTTAATTTTATAAGAATATCGACGCTGAAATTTGCGAAATTTTAACAATATGTTAAGAATAAAGCCCAAGCTGAGATTTTCAAAGGATGATAATTTTGTGTGTTGAAAATTGTAAATACAATACAATTATATATTATAAAACTTATTCCTTTCTCAAAACGGCAAAACAAGCCAACAAAACGAAAAAACCTGCAATAACTACAATCGATACCCCAATATATTTTAGAACGGAATGTCATAAGCTATAATTCAAGAATAACACATATAATATTTTCAGCCTAAAATCGGCAGAAAAAAGGAATATTTTGAGGAAGAAAATGCTCACCATTTCTGACAAGGTAAACAGTTACTACGGCTGCATCCTTTCTGCTCCCAGCAGGATCAGCTGCATTGTGGAATGAATCACAAGAGGTAAACACTTCTAACATACGCAGTTGAATGGCCACTGGCTTGGACTCTTTCAGCGATGACTCTAGTGAACTGTAATAATAAATTAAAAGTTTAAAAATTTATAACTGTATTCCATTAATTGTTGTTCTGCTTTTTTCGTTATTTGATTTATTTGTGATTTGTTTTGTTTTGTTTTTACCATATCAGCTTCTTTCCCTTTCTTCCTACTCATGACCATTAGCCTCTACTCTACAAGGTTCTGCCATTCACATAATTATTTCTAGTAATTATTAACATGTGAAGATGCTAGTTATCGGCTGAAATGTGGATTTGCAAAAACAGTCCGACAAACATGCACATAAAATCTGATGACTAGAGGACTACTCTTTCATAATAACAATAAATAATAATATAGAATTTCTATCCTCAATGCGCTTTACATTATGAAGGCCAATTGGAGATCATTACATTTCTAGCCTATTGTGACATTATGCATCAAGTATTGTAAAACTTAAAAATCCTAAAATGTTATGTTTGTAAAAACTTTGAAAAACCTACTTGTAAAACTTAAAAATCCTAAAATGTTATGTTTGTAAAAACTTTGAAAAACCTACTTGTAAAACTTAAAAATCCTAAAATGTTATGTTTGTAAAAACTTTGAAAAACCTACTTGTAAAACTTAAAAATCCTAAAATGTAAGGCGTGAAAATCAATAATCAAGTATTGTAAAACTTTAAAAAAGAAAAAAAAAACCTAAAATGTTAAGCATGAGAATCAATTGAAACATTTCCTGAATAGAAACGTTTTAAGTTTTGTTTTGTTTTTGTTTGTCATGACTGCAATAATATTTATTTTTACAAACATCAACAACCTTAAAACTTGTACACTGAATTTAGATATGTGAACCTACATGTATATTTAATATTCATTCACCTTTCAAAACTAAGGGTGCGTTCCTTTGGGATGATCTGGATCAGGATCAGTGATCCGAGTTCACTCGGATCATGGTAGATCAGATGAACCGAAGAATCCTTGTCCAGTACAGCGGATTCATCGGTTCATTTGATCTACCATGATCCGAGTGATCTCGGATCACTGATCCTGATCCAGAACATCCCAAAGGAACGCACCATAAGATTCAATTAAAATAATTAGATCATCTCTTATTTTAAGATGAACGTTTTACAATACATTGTAGTACTTTTTACTTATAAATTATTTTACAGTGTGCAGTTTTACACACATACACTGTACCTGCTACAAGTCAATAGAAGGCATTTGATTTGATGTAACCAACTGGAATGATCTTCAGATTGTAATTGGTTAACAATGTTGCGATTCTTTAGAAGAAACTGGCACATCCAAATCTAAAAAGAAAAGTTCAGATATTATAACAAAAAGATAGAGCAAGGTGATTATTAAGCTAGACCTTGACCAGTCTCATATTTATTTCATAGTCCAAGAAATGAAGGCGAAATCGCAAGAAGGAAGAAAAATAAGGTAACTGTACATGTATATGTCCTATGCTCATTGTGAAATGTGAATATGAACTTGAAGGATCTAACGAGAAAACGTAGACTGCAAGCAGCCCATTATTAAGCTCAAAATAAGATTTAAGAAATGCAAAATAATGATTTTTTGTCCTTGCAAGGTCATGTGTCTAGCCTGGGACCAGGCTCCACAGTGAGGGGGGAAGGCAAAAATGTCTACATGTAAGTAACCATTTTGGTCGGAAAGAACAAATGTAGTTGGACTCAATCAATATTGTGTATGGCACATTTTTAGGTGCAGGATTCACAAGCAAATTAATTATCGCTATTATTTCTTGCAACAAAATAACTACAATTCACATACAAAAGACTCACAATTTTATATCTGCAAAATGATGGTCTCTGGTATAACTTTGTCTATTAATCATGAATTAATGGCCCTTTGATCATCCTTATTTTTTTGTTTTGTTTATTTTTTTAAACTGGATTTTATTGGTCATCAAGGGCTAATTTTGTCCGAGATCACATTGTCTGATGACTTCAGGACTGGAAATACATGTAGCTCCTGTCCACTAGTATGGGAAAAGTAGATTTTCTTGCTGGGCAAGTACATGTACATGTAACTCTTGACACTCACTTGCCAAATGGGCAGGGATTTCTAGACAAGTTATCCTCTCACTAAGAGAGTAAATGTAAATCTAGACAAGTTATCCTCTCGCTACAAGTGTAAAATCATCACCTAACACGAGGAAGAAGTGGCCCTGGGCAAGCAAAGTGTGGGAGCCGTTGGTGTAAAGGATGTGCTGGAATTCAAGTTGGTCTTTTTAGCCATCAACCAATCATTACCTGCAGCTCTACATTACTGTTTACGGTGTACATGTACACATTTATTAGTGATAAAAAACATTGCCTGGCACATTAAATAATGAAACTCCCTTACCAATCGCTGACTGTCTTTTGAGTGAGAGTAAAAGAAGAGAAGCCTTTGTAAAAGAATTTTAACATCAGGTGCAGCTGGGATGACTTTAGATTTTTCCACTGAATTCATTGTCTCATCAAAAGCACTTCTATGAAACTTATACTGAAAAAAGAGTAAAACATGGTAACATTATGATAATGATCATACAAATGTTTTTTCCTATTAAATGCTTGTCGAATGTCCAGAGAAAACAGCCAAAATTTCTCTGGCTACACAACCACTGGTTTTCCCACAAAGTGACATCTAAACCAAATACATAAATTCCATACTGTTGATCCATCAGTACCCAAAACTTGGACATACTGCATCTGCAATAATGCTTCCCTATCAACAATGCACAAATACTGCCTGTACAAGGATATCCGGGATTATTAACAGAGAAGCAAAACGTTCTTACATATAATGCAGGCTCAGAATTTTTTAGGATATATAAAAATGAAATAACAAGTTACACAGTCGGAACTCTTGACGAAACTTGTCTGACAGCATTGTTATTTCACAACTGAGAAAAATACCTGTTGGTGTCGTATCCATTCTCCACGCAGAAAAGACTGAATTTTGAGGGCACTGGCATTTTGCCTGCGCAATTCCTATGTTAAGAAAAACAAGGGAAGGTAATACTGAGAAATTCATGTGCTGCACACATGTACAATGACAGTACATCTTCCATAATTATCAGGGTCAGGTGTCTTCTTCAGGTGTGCACTGTGATAGTGGCAGATTGGGATCGTAAAAGAAAGTACAGCACATTGTAGGGGTGGGGGAGGGGGGGGGGAGCAACAAAGTATCTTGGCACCTTAGCCCCGAAGGCGTTGGTTTAAATGCATGGAACAAGCTGACTGGGACCTCCAACTAGCCTGTAATTATGCTAACGTTCCTAAATAACACTGTATCCAGGTGTGAGTCCCCCAGATACAGCACACTTCATATAGTGTCTTGTTAAAATTTGGGGACAGGGTCATGGGGGTGCTGCAAAAGGAACACATCTTGGCATCTCTGTCAAACAGCACTAGGTCTGATACTGAGCCCCAACAGTCTACAAAGCTCAAGCTCAGACCATGTGAGGCACATCTACAGTAGTTTGTCTTATTTACTACAGACTACTGAATCACCAGATGCATTACATGACAGCCTTTCCACGATTCACTGCTCCTGGGTGAATTTGAGGTTTGGCCAAGGCGACTGCACCCTGCCCCCCCCCCTCCCCCCTCTCCCCACTGCTGCTCCATGACAACATGAAATACAACACATGCACAAGAAAAAAAGTATATGTACGTGGCATTTACTTTTTAATTCCTTTACCAGTAGTTAATAATTATAAAAATAATCAAAATTACCTCTCTTTTTTGCCTTTCTGCCTGAGTTCTTTGAATCAAGGATGTCCGTTGTTCCTAACGGGATTTACAAGGATAATAATGAAAAATAATGATGGGGTGAATGGAATAACTTTCGCTGAGCATCTCTTTGTCTTATATCAATATTTCTTCCCTCATCTCACATTACAGGGTTCGTACAAATTCAAGGACTTTTCAAGGACTTTTCAAGGACTTTCAAGTACCACATTTTTAAATTTCAAGGATCTTATTTAACTTTTAACACAGGTTCCAAATAAACTATACTTTAAATATTCTGATAATAGTGGGCCTTTATTCTTAATGGCAAACATTTTTATGAAAATTCGTTTGTGAGTGCTTATCAAAGAATTACCGGCTTTTGTGTTGAACAAGACAAAAATATTAACCATCAGATGTTCTTTGATTAAAATTCAAGGACTTTCAAGGACCAAAATGAATGAAAGAGAATTTCAAGGACTTTCAAGGCCTTGAAAAACGACTTTTAAAATTCAAGATGCAAACGAACCCTGTCACAAGGAAAAACTGGGCAGTGTAAAGAGAATCTAGCAGTCTAATTTATTAGTTTTCCAAATACTTCTCCCTTATCATACAGCAACTGTAAGTATAATTATGTATAGTATGTAACCTTCTGTAATATGAGAGGCCCTGAGTTTGATTTCCATGAGTGACCTCAAATACTTGTTTTCCCTTCTTTTTTTCTACATAGCTTAAGCTCTAAATGCCCGTAAAAGAAACGGGCACGACTAGATTGTGTTCTACAACACAATCTATTTGTAGTGGAAATCCAAGGAAATGCAGCCATGACTACAGATTTTGTTGATCTATGCACTTCATTCTCAGTGGAAGTCCAAACTAATGCAAGCTACTGTCGTGCTGCTCATGCATAATGGCAACATGGAGATTTGGATTGCAGGCTCCCCTGATTGCTTGCAATAATAAGAACACCTCTTATTATTCGAAGCAAATTTTTCCTTCATTTTATTGGCTGAGAGCCCACCACGTGACCTGGAAATAATTGCGTACACATACATTGTGTAATGTTCTGCTCAGGTGCAATGTCGTCCAATTGAGTTTGGTTACAAATAATATTCTGCTCTTGGGCAAAAGAAACCACGCTTTTCTCCTTTTTGCAATCACTCTTGCAGAAAAAATGGCGGATCGCATTGCTTCTCAAGGATATTCATTAAAAAACAAACTTGGTGTTTGAATGATAAGACAGTTATTGAACTTGGTTATCACAAAATATTGTGATTTGTCACAGATCAATTACTTGCCAAAGCCAAAGGCTTTGGCATTCAGCTTCAGAAAATAATTGACGTGCTCGCCACTTACAAATCACGATATTTTGCTCAACCTCGTCCAATAATTATTAAATATTACACCCCTAATGGCTCGTCCCTCAGCATAAGCAGCACTATAGCATTTCCTTACTATAAACGATAAGTCATAGAGTATAACAGTAAATGTTTAGTTTTAGCTTTATATCTTACAAGTCAGTATCAACATTAAACAGAAGACGAAAAATTTATCTGCATTTTATTCTCTTCCGTCCCTTTTAAAATAAGTAATGCACATGCGTACATGAATGTTAAGAAAGCAACAAATGGTTACAAAGACCAGTTATCTGAATCTCCGAGCACAAGAGCGCATTATCCGAATGTCAAAATGCCCTATATGAAGAACGAAAGTATCCCACGAAAAGATTACCAGTCTGAAAGTTTAGAATGTCCTTAGAATAGTATTAACTTTCTGTGGTAGAATACAAATCAAGACAAACTCACCTTCTTACTCGCTCCACCCAGGGAAACATTTCTTCTACTTTTAAACTGTCCATCAAACGAAAACATCGCTATCCAAAAACGAGAACAGAGATCGATCGAATACAATTTTTAGGCTAGAAAACCCAACTTTTCTACAGCTTGGATAAGAAAATGTTGTCATAACTTCGCAACCTCGCAATCATCCTGACACTGCAATTAAGAAAAATGTGTCACCAGGCCTTCTCAGCCATTCAACATGGCGGAAAGGTTGAGCTTGCAGCTTGCATTCGCGTTAATCGCGCTGATTGCTGCTATATTCTACAGCGGCAAAGCGCAGTTTGTTTTAAACAAGATTAATCAGATTATCCATGGGAAAAGAGGTTGCTCTCCGATCGTCAGTATTGGACAAGTCACGCTTCATTACTTTGGATTTCGAGGAAGGGCTGAGGGGATTCGACTTATGCTTGAAGACTTCGAGATTCCTTACGCGGAAACAAACTATTCTGCCAACGATTGGCCTCGAATAAAAGAGAAAGGAATAGAAACGGGAATGTTTACTTTTGGCCAAGGTATGCAAGGAAGGCAATCCAAAATTCGATTATAAACAGGCTAAAAACATCGTACACTAGTACTTACATGTAATATGCGAAGCAAATTTTCAAAGCGTATTTTTTCTTTTGTTTTCTTACAAAATTTCCATTCAAGTCTTCAAGTTTTCAGTTTAAATCATTCGTTTTTTCAAATATATATTTTTTTTATTTAGTTATTTTTTTATGTCTTGACGTTCATCTTTTTCTCGAGTTCTAATGCAGTATTTTCGAAATTGATTTGCAAATCGATGGTTTGTAGTGAGCTCAAAGAAAGCCTCAATACAAGCCAATCATTCAGTGCCATGACATTAAACAGATGGATTTAACTCATCAAATATTAATACTGGTTAATATGTTTGTACAGGGAAACCAAGCACAACTTTTTTTCTTTTTTTTTTTAAATGAGAGTTGCCATGAGAAATTATTAAAGATGAATACTTAATGTATTCATTAATTTTTAAATGAGTCTTTTAAAAGTATCCTAATCTTATGCTAAGGATGAGTCTTAGGTAGACAAAGGGGAGCTAAGTGTCTCGAGCTAAATTAGATGAAAGAGTGGCGTAATGACCAGTTACTAAAAATATATTTATTATGCCTTATCCCTTTACTCCTGACCCGGCATTGTCCATCATGTTCTAACCACAGTGAAGATTACATCAAACATAGACTAATTTAGTTAGACTGACTTCACTCTGCCAGTGCAAAGATTTAAGTGATGACCATAATTTAGTCATTATGTAACCTTTCCTACTTGCATCTCTGAAATTAATGATAAAGATAAAAATTTATAATAATAAAAATAAAAGCAAAAAAGATTTTTTCTAAATATCAGCTTTTTTGTGTGTCATTATTATTATTCCTGTCGTTTTAATGACTGGAATAAAGGTTGAAATTCATCACTATGATTCACCTGTGTCATATTTTTGTATTTTATTTACTACTTACAGTTGTGTTTATTAATTATTATCATGATTTTTGTTTTTCAGTTCCAGCCATTACAACTTCTACTGGATTACAGCTTGTTCAAAGCAAAGGTTTCTTAATCAAATTCATAATAATCATTCATTAAACTTTTTAATGATGTCTACAGATCAGTGCAGATCCAGACCTTCAAATAAGGGAAGGAGGGGTTGGGAGGGGGGGGGAGGGGTGGGTCATCCAGACCCTGAGATAAGAGGGGGGCCTGGTCTCCAAAAAAACGTTTTGTGGCCCTTCAGGCCTCAGTTTGGAATAAAAATCAGTAGGGGGGGGGACCTCCTGGGCCCCTCCCCTGGATTCGCCGCTGCAGATGGTCTATCCCACGGATGTACGTGACATTATTTTGCCATATAATTTACAGTGTTTGACACTAAGGCTAGTCCACTAGCCTGGGGCTAGTGAAACTTTAGGCTGGGCTAGTAAAAGTATGCTTCTACTAGCCCCTAGACCAGTTGAATAGTTTAGTCAGGGCTTCTGATGTTTCGTGTTTCATCTGGTGATTTTCAGAAACAAAAATTGGCTGTTTCGGGAAAAAGTTTGATATTTCTTCTCAAAAAGTCAAAAATCATTTTTTTTAAGGAGAAATTAATTTTCGAAGGATTTTCAGGGGCATGCAAAAAAATAAGCCCAGTTCACGTTTTTCATCCGAAACAATCAGTTAAAAACAAAACAAATCATTAAACATTAATTTCCTTTTTAACAGGGATATTTTCTTATTGAATTATTAATGAGTTTGAGAATATAATTTACAGTGTTTGACATCTAAAACCTCCTGGTAGTTTTGTCCACTAGCCAAGCTGGGGTGAATAAAAACCGTAAAAGATAAGCTTTATGTTTTGGCTTGTATTTGGAAATATGCTTTGGCTTCTTTATTTAGCCCCTAGACCAGTTTAATAGTTTAGTTGACAAAATTGCTTTTCTATAACTCAATAATGCTTTATCTATTCAGTAGTTTGTTATAAGTATTTAATGTAAACAAAGGGCTTGCTATCTATATCATAGCCAGCTGAGCTGGAGTTGTAGCCTCTCCCTTGAAATCATTTTTTGACTCGTCCCAATTCTCTGGTAGTATTAACGTCCAAGATGGTGGGATAGCATTATTCCCCCCCAAAAAAATCATTGATGGTGCTGCAAAATATGCCTGCTTTGAAGGCTATCCATATCGTGGAAGTATTGTACAACTGACTCGCAAAAAGGGAGCCATGTAGGAAGTGGAATAGAGAAGACTGGTTCCTAACCCCCTGATATTTTTTTCCGGGCTTTGTTTTGGACCAGCGGCTTGCCTTCATGGGCTAGTCATGTATTTCACTTAGTAGCCCATTGCCTAGTTTCCAAAAAAGTCAGTGCATGCCGAGGACTGTTTTGTGGCCATTATTTTTTCACAGTGCAAAATGTCATGTCTCTCATAGTGGAAAACTGGTTAGGTCCAGTTTGAGGAAAAAGCAAAGGATGGAATCTTGCATATTTGGACATAATCTATTTTCTTGCAAATGTGTATAACCAAAGAGAAAAAAGAAAATATTACTGACTAAAGAACAACAGAATGTCTTCAAGAACCCAATAAAAAATCTTAAACACTACCAAATTTGTTTCTTTCTTTGTTTTGTTTTCTTCTGTCTTTTATTTCGTTTTGTTTCCTTTTCCTTTTTGTTTTTGTTTTGTAAATTTGTTTTGAGTTGTTTGTTTTTGTTTCTTCAGTCATAATGCATCATATTGGTCGGTCTGTGGGACTAGACTGCGACTGTTCAGATATTCATACCTGTGAAATGCTGGTTTTTGGTGCAGGTAAAACAACGTAGTTTAAAAATGGTCATTATGCTTTAAGGCAAATTAGAGAGAACATACATGTACAGTGTATTAAAATAATATCACCTTTACGTGTACAATATCATTGTTCTTGTCTCAAGAAAGTGCAACAGAATAGGTTTCCCCTAAACTCAACCTGCAAACTTCTGAGTGCAAAGTCATATTTAATAATTTGAAACAGTGAAAAACTTAAGGAAAAGAGAAACTTTCAGAGAGTCCAGCATCAGAAATACAAAACACATATATTTGTAGAATAAAGTTATGTGCTTCATCAAACTTAACAGTCATGAATGTTCATTTGAAAAAAAAAAGAAAAACAAATACCTCTGATCCTTTGTTGTGGGGATCTTGTTTGTCTTGTTCTTCCTCCCAAGCTGAAGTTATGGTGTGCATTATTTATTTTATTATTTATTTACTTTTTTTCACAGAGGACTTAAGAGGAAAGCTTGGCCCAGTTCTTTACAGTACAAACTTCTCTGTAAAGAAGAGAGATGAGCACCTTCAGTCTACAGTCTTCACCTGGCTGTCATACTTTGAGAAGCTTGCTCCTGTTAATTCTACCGATGAGGGCATTGACGGCTTGTACTTCGCAAGTGAACGGCTTACCTGGGTTGACTATGTTCTATTTGATCTGTTAGACACCTATGTTGAATTCGGAAAATTAGCCTTTGATGGCCAAGTAGAAGTGATAGATGTATTGGCTAATTTCCCAAGGCTTAAAGCGTTTTATGAGAATTTTGCAAGCCGGCCAAGGATTGCTAAGTACTTAAGAGCAGAAAGAAGAGTTCCGTTTAGACTGTAAGATCAGAAGAGTGGTTTATCCGTTGAGAAGTGATCTCCTTCACTTTTGTCCTTGCCTCAGTTATTCAAAGGGTAGATAAAGCTACCCACTGCATGGATAAATCTGTATCCAATGGGTAATGCAATACTTGTCCGCTGGATAGTGATTTATCCGGTGGATAACGCTATCCAGCATTTGAAGAACTCACTGGGGCCAGGTTCCCCCTGTAAATTCATCAAGTGTAAATAGTTTTAGCATGATTTAATTTACAAACCACAACTACGATAAGATGGTGTCATTCTTCCCTGTTAGGGATTTTAAGATCCAAGGACGCGATGGCAGCGAAAACGTCGTTTAAAAAGTGATTTAATATTTTGCATTCTTTTAGTCTTGGTGACGATAATTCCTACCTGCTTACTTTGTCAAACGTAAGCGAACCCTCCTGAAGTTAAGAAAGAGAAATAAAATTTTGTCGTCGCTTGTTTACGTCTTCCATAAAAGTTGAAATTAGGCAGTTTCACATCGTAGTCGTACGAAAATGGCAAAGGAATGTACAAAAAAAAGTGTGCTACACGTGCAAAGCTGTTGTTTTGCCTACTAAACCTATTGTTCTTGTTTGTTTGTTTGTTTGCTTGTTTGTTTGTTTGTTTTTTGACATTCTTGTTGCCCTTGCGTCGTCGGATCTTCAAGTCCTTATCTATCTGAGACGCGACGGGGAGAGGGATGCATCTTTTTTCTACTTACTCGTCTTCCAACTTTTCTGCATGCTTCCCTAAGGCAAAAAAAGAACGCCTGACCGCAGGTTTATCAAACAGGTGACATGTCTTCATTCCATGTCTAGACTCTGGGAAGTACAGTGGGTTTGGACAAAAGATGTCAAAGGAACGGTTATGTTTGAAGAAAATTTAAAAACTTATTTAATGGACCTGAGAAGCAGTCTCAATAGACTCAAAGAGTCAGGATAAGATTAAAAATATATATCACTATCATAAAAAAAAAATTAAATCTGAGTACATTTTTGAGGATGTAACCATAGCAACTTTTTCGCAATCATAAATAATTTATTACCCACGTTCACTACTGAGAGATCACCATTCACTGTCTTAAAAATTTTTAAAGTCTAGTCATTGTCACTAGCTAAAGGACATCTATCTTTTTAGGCTTTTTAAAGATTACATTTTGCATTAGTGTGAAGCGATAGAAAATAAATCACCCTTTCACAGTACACTGTACACAGTAGTCATTACATTTCAATGCTTAGTGTTATAAATGCCATCATTCTTAAAACAACTAGAGCAATTTTCGTATGACCTTGAAAAATGGTTTCGGTAAGTGTTCTTCATTTGTTTTATCAGCCAGTGGATGAAAAGATCAAAACATGGCCTCTTCGTTTTCCCGTCAAAAAAACCCCCTAATATGGAGAAGGTCTTGTTCGATTGGCCAATCGTGTTGCGGTAAAAAAAAAACCCTAACAGTGTATGGGGAAGGGCGTTTATTTTTTCTGCCTTTAGGATGGACGTTTATTCGAGGTGTGCGCTAATTCGAGGTTGGGCGCTTATTCGAATAAATACGGTATTAGTGGAGACCTTTAGATGTTACTGAAGACGACGGCGACGATTACAATACTAAGAAGTCTATTCATTTTGGCCAACCGTCGTCATTCTACTAGCGAGTTTTAGCGAGAATGTTCGTACCCCATCTTCAATAAAAATAACCGTTCTAACTGTTCTGGCAAAAAAAGCAATGAAGCTTTCCGGAGTTTATTTTTGAAGATATGACCAAAAATTTTAAGTTAAATCTCGTCTTCATAGTCGTTTATGGTCATTTGCCCCCGAGGAAAGGGGGTTATAAGCCTTTTAAACCCTACCCAATAGTCTATTCTGTGGGCCATATTATAGACCCCATCTTATGAACTTTCGCAACAAATTTGTCTGTTTAATTTGCCTTATAAGCCTTTTAACAACAACAGGGCATCCTAAAATGAACTAACAAATTTGTTAAACTTAATTAATATGGTGTAAATCTTTTTTATTTTTAAATCGCTACATACCTGAATTTTCTTACCCCCAAATCCCGAAAATGTGCAACCCATTCCAGTAACTTTTATTAAAATGCAATCCCATAATAGTCAATCCAGTCGTGAAAATGTGACTCCGTTCAGTGGCACATACCCATTAGACTACACAAATGTCCATTTCTCTCGACCAGATTCCAGTGGACAAACCCTGGAGTCCGACGGAGTCTAGGTCGAAAAATGAAACCGGAAGTACAGTAGAGTCCACTCGAGTTACCGGAAGTTTAGTCATAAGATGAAACCGGAAGTGTAAACAATACTTTGAGGAGGGTTGGAAAGTCGTCCGATGGAGTCCATCGGATCCATTGGAAACACATCGATTCCGATGGAATCTCAGGACATGAGTCAAAGCAAGCACACTGCACGTGTAACATAACTCGTTCTTTAAGCCCTAAGTCGAGACTGGCAAGCCTAACATGCAACAGAACTCGTCAGTTTAAACCATGAGTCGAAAAAAGCACGGTACACATGTAACATAAGTCGTTCTTAAAGCGATGAGTGAAAACAAGCACGCTGCACAAAAAACATAACTCGTTCTTAAAGCAATGAGCCGAAACGAGAGAAACGAGCACGCTACGCGAATGGCATAACTCGTTCTAAAAGCCACTAGTCGAAACAAGCACGGTACACACGTAGCATAACTCGTTCTTTCCTTCGAATAAGCAAACTTTTCCGCGCTTAGCTTTGGCCACCTTTTTCAGCGAGAATTGGAATCACACACAGAAAAAAGGAAAACCATTTCCTTTTAATGTAATTAGTTTTGAGTAGATATTTAGAAACAAAAGGCGGAAAAGCGGTGCTTTGAACTTTTAATAAGGCAAGTCAACCTAAGTGGTGGAATTACATTTTGAAAATAATTAACATGAATTGACAAAAGCTTATCACCGTAACATACTTGCTAAAAAGTTACCAATGAATTGATCTCTAATGGGAAAAATTGCTGACTGATTTGAGAAACATTATCTGAAGTGGATAAAGAAAAGCATTTGTCAGTGTAAAGCTACTATTTGGTCTTAAGTACAAATTTGTCTAATGAGAAAAATTATCAAGCATGAATTGAAAATTAAGATAGGAATTATGTCTTATCATAGCCTGATCAGTTATCGTCATGATGTCAAACGTTTAAGTTTAAACTTGTCCAGCAACGAAGTGTTGGTGACATTGGCGGGTGAAAAACAGACCGCACTCTTGAACCAAACCAAACATCTTGCTAGCTTGTCTAGAAGTCACAGACCTCATTGGTGGTTTAATGTCGCAACCAGCCTTCACCGTCGCCACGACACATAAGCTCTTTAAATAAACCAATTTCTTTCATTTTTCACCTCTCTTCAAAACGGCCAACGCGTGTCATGTTCGTTTGTTCAGCGCACCACCTAATATTGATGACTTAGGAGAGACTACCGTCTACCTTCTTCGAATTCAAGCGATCAAATTCACCGCGCTTGCACAACCCTTACATTGTCACAAATAACACATTAAGGTGGCAGTGATTGAATTTTGGATCGGTTCTCCATCATCTAAACGTGTAATTCCAACCGATTCAATCATGAAACGCCTTATAGCAAGTTTTTTTAATATCCTGTGTTCATTTTCAACTTCACTTTCAGTTACGTGATGCGACAGCATCAAAATATGATCAAAGCCGGACATCTTCCGCAAGAAGAAAAGTGAGATTTAAACGTAGTTTAAGTTCCCATTTTGTTTTACAATTATTTATTTCTGGACTTTGATTATTGGCCGCTTATAGTAGGAAGCCGCTTAATGGAGGCTGAACTTTACTTTTTACCGCTAGTGTAAGAAAATATACCAAAGAGCTTTCTCTGCGCTAGGAAACCTTTTCTTCTTCTCTTTTTCTATGGCATCATTTTCTTTGATCTAACAACCACTTTTACGAGCTACCTTGTTACTATCAAATCTATTTCTTAAATGTAATTTGATTTATTTGCCACAGCTGCCTGTTATTAATAATTATTACTATTATCAGGTGATTATCTATCGCTTCTTATTTAAAGATGTTAGTGAGATTTTCACTTTTTTTTCCATTCCTTGTAAATTTACGTACATGTTTTCGCCAGTTATTTACATGTTGCAAAGACCAACTGGAACGCCTTTACCTACTTAACTTTGGTCACTGCGCACATTTTGCCGCATTTGATATTGTAATATATTGTAAATCTTCATCTGCTAATGGTGCAAACAATAAAAAAAATAGTTTTAAGTACATATTCAGATGCTAAAGAAAGAGCGGTGCTTTGAGCTAAGCCAATAAGTTGACTCAGGTTTGGAGGCCCAAGTGACGGAAGAACAGTTAGAGAATACTTAGAGCGAAAAATTGACGATAAGTTAGCAAGTAACACTCTAGTGTGAAAGTAATTAATGACTTTCTCTCCTGGAAAATCATAATTTGCTTAATGGGCTACAATTATCTGAAGTGGGTGAAGAAATGTGTTTGTTTAAAACTACTAATTGACCGTCGGTAAAAACTTGCCTAATGGAGCAATTAATCGTCCTTTATGGATAACAATTAAGGTAGGAATATACATAAGCCATAACTGAAAATATAACACCCCTAGTCCTCATGGCCAACGTTTCAAGTTCAAATTTGACCAACAAGTTTTCAAACACTATTGTGGACCAAGAGTTATCTTCCCTAGCTAAGGCTAGTTATATCATTAGCATCATCTTCAACAGCATCGCTTGTCCTTTCACGGTTCTGCTTAACGTGTTAGTGATTTTGGCGGTGAAAAGCAGACCACGCCTTCAGAGTAAACCCAATATCTTGTTGGCTTGTTTAGCAGTCACAGACGCCATGAATAGTCTTGTAGCACAGCCGGCCTTCATATCGGCAACGACACTGAAGCTCTTCCACATCACTAGCTACAGCCGCGAGGTTTCAGTCCGTTACCAGAACATCTCCTCGCGCGTCCTGTACGTTTGTTCCGCGCTGCACCTGATGTTGGTGACCGGGGAGAGACTTGTAGCGATCAAATTTACAATGCGATACCCGTATGTTGTCACAAACAGAAACATCAAGGTGGCGGTGATCGCATTTTGGATCGTTTGTCTTTGCTCTGAACAAGCAGCACTTATTACGGACCAAACAATATTTACAAACGCTTTTACAGGTCTTGTTTTAACTTCATGTGTTCTTTTCATTTTGGTTTCTTACGTGATTTTGTATAGAGAAACGCGACGGCATGAAAATAAGATCAAAGCCGGACAGCTACCGCAAGAAGAAAAAGAGAGATTTCTCAGAGACAGAAAAGCGCTCAAGACAACTGTGTATGTAGTAGGAGCTGTTCTGTTATGTCTGACCCCCGCCGCTGCATGGCTATTAGTAAGTAGTTTTTTGAGAGTTTTAGCGGAAGAACTTTGGGCGCAAATGACTCACGATCAGTTGCGTAAAACAATTGGGCCGACGGTTCGCACGTTTGTTTACTTAAACTCGCTTATTAATCCTCTGATTTACTGCTGGCGACAAAAAGAAATTAGAAAGTATGTATTCAATAAATTCTGTAAAAGCCAAGATGTGCATCCGGTTAACTAAATGCAAAGGAAATAAAAACAAAATGCACTGAAACCATCATAAAAACTGGTTTTTAGACTTTTAAATCTTTTCAACATTTAGGGCGCGTTCGATTGACCATGTTCTGGTACAGAACCACATACTCGCTCCAACGTGATGTGCTTGAGGTTTTCCGCCTTGAGTTCAAAGTCGGGATCTGAATCGCAAGTGCTACCGCTACTTTGTTTTACGTTTTTTCTACTAAAAATGTTTCATTTCTACACACCTTTCTGGCTTTAACAGTAAACAACAGGAAAACGGAGCAATCCAAACGGATATGGCATTGAACATAAACGCAGACTGAAAAACGTGCCGACAATTCCCTGTTTATCAGAACTAATACTAATGAAGGTAATGCTTTAGGGAGGGGATTGAACTTGGGGTCCTCCGGATTACAACTCCAGCGCTATAACCAGTCGTTCACGCTGCCTTCGTATGAGGAGTAGGTGGGCAGTTTCCCAGAAGCCTAAATTGATCAAACCTTTGTTAGGCTGGCATTATAATGATCTCTGTTTGTTGTTCTTTATCTCATGAGGATCTGCCATGCATGCATGTCATGTGGTACGAAACGCAGAGCTTGCAGGGCATCATCGGAAAGATACCAAAAGAGAAAACAAATCATTTCCATTGGGCCAGTTAGTGCGGCAATCTTGTTTCCACAGCCTTCATTACCCTTTTCCAGCTAGCGGAGCGGAAAAGGCTCTCAGCCTGTGGGAACGAGATTGATGTAGGGGAAAAGAAGGACACTTGGGATCGAAACGAAGCTGTTAGCGGGTAATGAAGCGGTTGCGAGCACGGTTAGTTTTTGGGTTTTTGGTGCTGATGATGAGGCAAGGACGACCATCAACAATTCATAGTTCGACTGAAAGTGATCGTCTCGGCTGCGAATTGCAAGTCATGCAAGTAATTCTTTTTCGAAGTCTTGTAAAACGATCTTCTGGACGCCACAGTTTTGTTCAGTTTCAATATAACCGAGAAAGTTTTCAAGTGTGAACACTTCAAAACTCAGCCGTGCTGATTAACCTAAAAAATTAGAACTTTGAGAATTTTCCGACTTACATCTTATTGATCTCGCTGATTAAGAGACTGCAGTGAGTATTTAATGTTTTCGTCCAGGATGCACCACTACACTTATGTGTAGCTTAAAACTTGAGGCCTCAGTATCTTAGTGGACATACTTTGACCTGGATGAAAGCTTGTATAACACTAGGCTATTCGCGCAAAAGCACGTATGTTTAATAGCAGTTCCAACAGGTTGTCGGGGGATCAGACCAGAAAGAATATATCCACATTTATTAACTGTTTTCTGCTCCTGATCCCCCTTCGCGCCTGTCGGGAGCTCCTCGCTGACCTCGCGCTTCCCTTGCTCGCCTGGAAAACGCGAAAACATGACGCCTGTTTTGCAGGCTATTTCTTTCCTACTTTCAATGTATTGTTCTCTCTGCCACGATTTTCTATCAACTATCCGCGTAGTGCGTTTGCTTTGATCCTGCTTTATATTACACCTTGAAATGTTTGTTTAACAAGAAAAGTACTCTGCTCATTATGTCATGCTTAGATATCTTTATTTTCTTAATAATGTCTGCACAAGTAAATAAAATAAAATATCAATGGAATAACGAGCCTGATTGTATGTCATCTTAAACGATATCAACTATTTGTTGTCATGGGAACAGTGTAACATTTCATCCGCGTGGACCTCATTCACCTTTAGCGGCTTGGAAGCATCTTTTGATGCGAACGAAGCAGCATAATTTACCAGCACATGATGGACTGTGCTTTCTGCACAGATAAAGAAGAGCCACACAGCCTTTCTGCAAGTTGAGAAAGTGAAGAAATACAGGTTTATAAGAAATAATAATTTATGTCCAGGCGCGGGATCCACACCGTTTTTACGGAAATAGGTTGGATTTTTCGTAAGAGGTTTATTTCAATAATAATAAAAAATTATCAATGTTGAAACCTGGAAAATGGCTTAGACAAATGCTTCATTCGAGGAATGAATTAGGACTTTAGGGAGGTAAAATACAAAAATATTTCTCGGGGGATTATGCCACCGGCGCCCCTTAGAAGCTTGCGCCTTCGGCACAGCGCTCAGCATTTTTATCCTGGCCTAGATCCGCGCCTGATTAGTCTAGTTTTTGAATGATTGTAATTCTAGCTAGGGCCACAATTTTGTTAGCTCTTTTTAACCAATATAAAGTGTAATACCCTCTCTAAAAAAAGACGTTACGTAGGAGTGTTTGCTCAATATGTTTTCTTTTCTTTTGTTTCCCTTTTTTTTTGAAAATATAGGAAGAAAAGTTGAAATTCACTGGCATTTCCTGCCTGCTTAAAGTAAGCTTAAGGGCATTCCAACGAAGTAATGTAAAAGGAGGTGTTTTTTTCTCGATAATGTTTGGTCTACGAACTAGAGAAGATAAAGAATCATGCACTCTTGGTTTATTATGGCTACTTTGGAGATATTCTTGGGCCGAAAAAAAAAAGGGGTTCACGGAAGAGATGCATTCGGCAGTAACGTTTTCAAAAATCAAGCTGGATATATAACATAATTATATATTAGCATGAAGTAGTAATAATAAAGATAACAATAATTACAACAACAACAACTACTACTACTACTACCACTACTACTACTACTACTAATAATAATAATAAATAGTAGCAAAATACATTGCATGATAATTGGAATAACAGCCGCATTATGGGAACGCGCATTTTTGTTCAGTTTATATATCATACCTGAAGTGGATTAAGTGTTGGAAGAGGTTTGGGGTGTCTTTTGATAACGCATTTGAAGAATTTATCGATACAGGCCAATTTTTTGCAAGCGTTGTTTCCAGCCAAGTGCCAACATAGCTTTCCTCGGAAAATGCAAGGTCTCTGTAGTAATAGAGTTAACCAACATGTTAGTTAGTGCAAAAAACATTATACAGTTCAGTGGCGGATTCAGACCTCCTGATAACGGGGGCGGGGAGGCGGTCTCCAAAAAAAAAAAAAAAAATGTTCGGCCCTCACCTAAGTTTGGTCTAAAAATAAGGGAGGAGGACCCGGGCCCCCCAGACCCCGCCCCTGGATCCGCCACTGCAGTTGAACCCCTCACGCCGGGTTACCCTTGGGGTACCGATAAATGGCCGCTGAACAGAGGTTCCTCAAGTATTTTAAGGCCTGGGATTAAGGGGTTTTCCTGTTAAAAAAGAATGATTGATTATAACTTCGGCATAGATGATGTCGCTGAATCAAAATTTGGCACACATAAACAGCTCATCGTCCTTAACAGTTTAGAGTATAAATGTTGTGTTAGTAAGTCACTTGATATGTCACGTGACCATTTTGTTAAAAATTGTAAATTATTGATCAATTGGTGGCCGGTTTAAGCAAAAAAATCGAGCAATAACATTTTTCTAATTCATATTGAATATTTTTAACACTTCACGTTTGGAATGACAGTCCATTGCAATTCGAAAAAAAATTATGATGTAAAACATCATTTTAAATGCCCAGATTTAACCTTGAATTATTTAAGCCTTTAATTGTAAACTTTGCGTAGCTTCATTCCAAACGTAGAAAGTTAGGTATGTTGAAGATCCCCTTTCAGAAATGCCAAATTTGTTTATCAAAACTAAGTAAATTCGCCACCAATTCGCCAAATTCCTTCATTTTCAATTTTTGGTTACGTGAAATGTCACGTGACCATAATGAAACGTTAAGGCACAAGAAAACGTCAAGATTTACTTTCGGGGAAAAATTCATTTTGTTCTGTCTCCTAGCGATAGATATTGCCAACCACTCATATGCTCAGAACACCCCTTTGTTACAGGCCTTAAACCCCTTGAGTCGTCATAAATCAGGAGAAATCAGCAGAAACGTCACTTTATTTTGAAACAAAAGTGCGACGAAAACGGCTCACCCCCATCCCCCCCCCCCCCGAGATTGCTGGATATTTTGTCCGCGCTCTACTGACTGAGCGACCCCACCCCCACCCCTGAGATTATTGGATCTAAATGCGCTCTACTGAGTGAGTCCCCCCCCCGTTCTTAGAAAAAGAAAAGGTTAAAAAATGGTTGTACGTACAATCCAAACCGGTAGTCTTTTTTTCTTGTAGTCATCGTCGTCCTGGGTGACCGGCAAAGTGTCCTCAGGGAGTCCGTTGTCTCGCAGGACCTGTGCCATTTTTTCATCGTGACGCTCATCCAAAAACTGAAACACAGCTTCGTGAAAAGCCTCTTCATCAACGGCATAAGCCACGCAGGCAGTCAACAGGAGAACAGCTATGAACGTCTTCATTGTGTCTTCAAGATCAGTGGAACCAACGACACTGTTCTTTCAGGGGAATAAGAGCCCCTTATGTAGCTACACTGACATGGTTGATGTCACTTTGCGGTTGCGCAGTCTCAACTACTATGATTAATTAGGGTTACAATAAAAATGTTTGAACAAGTGAGTTTTGTGCTCAAACCAGCTTTGTTTGACTATCATTGGGTTAAACTAACATTAGAACTGTTATCAAGCTAAGCAAAAGGAAATGGCACGAAAGACTAAGAGAAAAGAATAATAATTGCCCAAAATTCTCCAGTTGTTCATTAATTATTACCCCCCCTCCCCCACCACTTTTTAGACAATTGCGTATAATTGGTAAGTAGGTAACTTCCTAGCAATTATTGTACTTATTTTTGCATAGTCCAGAGGGGCTCCTCTTAGTAATTTTCAATTCTAAATGCGTCGCCCCCTTGCTTAACTAACATTGCCTGACTGTCAATAAAATGTCGTGATAAATGTTTACTAAACCTGAGAGCGCTTAATGATATTTGCACAGAATGGATGGTCGTGCCATAACAGAAAGCACATCACTTTTTTGTTTAGCCAGCTTTGTATAGTTATCCTAAGCTTAAAGAAACATTTCACTAAATGTTGCAGAAAGGTGGGATAATTATATTTCCCTAGAAGATCAATAAGTGTCCGTTACCGTGTCATAGTAGAACATTAACAGAGCAATTATTAAGCAAATTTTAACGAAATTTGCACAGGAGGAAGATAACATTTGTTGACATGTCAACTACATTGCAGCTATATACTAACTAACGTTAACTCAAAGTCGTTTATTCGCCACCTAATCCTTGTTCTCTTGATATTCTTCTTGTCTTAAGAGAGCCATACTCACTTTTGGTAGCTGAAAGTAGTAAAAATTAGGCCCTTAACTAAGGACGAAAGGAAGAAGGACGAAAAAAAGAATAAGCTATAAAAAATAAGACAGTTCCCCTAACGCAGTTGCAAGGACGAAAGACCTGAAGAAACTGGACTGCAAAAAAAATATGTGGTTTAAAAAAGTAGAGCAAGAGACACTTCCCCTCTGCAAAAAATCCTGGATCCGCCCCTGAGTTGGTACTTTTCTTAGTTGACTTGTTGACAAACAATTCAAATAATCAAGATCACGGGAAGGTAATGAGGAGCAGCAGGGCTAATAAATACAACACTTTGTATGTTTAGTTTCGTTAAGACTGGCCTTTATCAATATGCAACATCTTTCTTAAGTTTTCCTGCTTTTATTCTAAGACAGAACCTAACTGGCTTTTTTCTTAACATTGTAGTAGTGAATCTTATCAGTAACGACCTCTCTGTTGTCGAGTCAGACATCTTCTGATAAGTATGGGTAGATCCTTGTCGGCATACGCTGTCCTGCCGCCGAATCTGTTCCCTTGAATTTTTTTTCCCTGCACCATTTTTGAGCTTGAACTGAATAAAAATTTTTTACGGGTAATTATACGATGGCTGCACGCGTACGTTAAATGAGCAGGAAAAAAAATTCCTGTATATTTCCTGTATAATTTTTTTTCTGTATAGCACTATCGCTGAAAATTCTTCTTTATTTGCTAACAACAGTTGAAACTCGACTTAGATCACCTAATTTTCAGCTGGGTAGAGATAAAAATAACTTTAACTGAAGCCAGGAAATAAAGATAGTGACTGCAAATGTTGGGCTGGTGGGTGATTTAAAAAGCTTAGTTAAGAGTTTGTTTAATCGGCCCAATTCGAAATGATTTTGCTACAAATTAACACTTAACATTAGGTAAATAAGAAATACACAAAAGATGAAGAAGAAATCTTCTGTCAATATCTCAGTTTATAATTGTACGTCCAAATTCCTTTAACTTGCTGTGCTTATATTTCAACAACGGCACACAAAAACTAGAAAATTAGTTTTTTCTCGTTTCAAAGCTGTTCAAATAAACCTTTAAGTGGCTTGCACACGCGAACTTGGATGTAACACGAGCACAAAAACTAATTAATAAGCATGCGCAATGAGAGAGACCTTTAGATTCTCTAAAGACGAGGACGACCACGACCACGAGATTTGTGCTTACGCGTGACCCATCGTCATTTTGTCGGGAAAACTTGATAGTCGTCGTCATTCATTCTACTACGCGTTTTTGCAAGAAAGTCGTGGTGGCGGAAACAAGTTATCAAATTTTAGAGGTTTTGTCATTTTGAGACCGGGAGAGAGCATAACCTCCTTCAATAAAGATAACACTCAGTGCTAGCTTTTCTGGTGAAAAGAGGACAATAAAGTTTTCCCGGGTAGTCTATTTTTTGAGAATGCGTGAGAAACCTTAAAGACAAATCTCGTACTCGTAGTCGTTCTCGTCCTCGAATCTTAAGGTCTTTAAGTGTCACGTGGTCTAAACTATTAGCACAGAAGCTTACTTGCACATCGCTAATTGACTAAGATTTTCATTCATTAAAAAGGAGGTTGTAAAAGCGAAATGCGTGTAAGTTTACATGATTAAAGGTTAATAAGTAAGTGGTCATGTTGCTCCTCCCCTTCCCCACACCCCCTAGTTTGTCTCTTCTAACTCCTCGAGACGTAATTATTTAGAATTCGACATGTTGGTTACGAGAGCAGAATCATTCCAGCATTTGCAAAGCAGGATAAAAATCTTGGACAGCAAATCAAATTGGTTCTTAAGTAGTGACAGAAGGAAAACAGAAGGGTAACAGAGTATTGAAACATGATCCTACCATAAGAAAACGATTGTTTTTTCGTTTTAAGTGTATTTATCTTGACTCTGGTTTAATTTTTTGACAAATTGTCTTTTTGTGGGGTCGGCCAAAATGAAATGTTCCTGCATCGTGAAAAAATAAGTCTGTCTTTTTCTGGTTTGTATAGAAATCCGTATAGATGGTCATTCTGCATACAGATTATTAAAAATACGCAGGTTTATAAGTTTTAGATGAGAACAAAAGAAGCATTTTTCGGAGAGAGGGGGCCGGGGAAGCCAGCTGAGGGTTCTATTCTCAGAAGAGAATGGACTAGACGCCAAATAAGCGCTAAATGCTTCCTAGCTCAGGCAGCACCTTTCTTACTCAAAGAAACTGGGCTTTAACTCATTCATTTATTAAGTTAATCTCAAGGCTACGCACTTACGCTCTAAGGGGTCTAGGCTACAATCGTCAGGGGACAAAAACGCCTGGCTAGAAGTTGAACTCGTCTTCTTCTGTACACAAATAGCGAATCTTCTCCGTTCTATACAATCCTTTATATTCCAAGGTTGACTATCACCTATCTTTTGTGCTTCCTTGGTTTATTTGATCGTTTTATTCACCTTTTAAACTCCTTTACAATACTCAAACATTTAAATGAAATTTTCAGGAAAAAACCTTGAAATTTGTCGTCTTTAATTTGTCAACAAACTACAAAAAGACAAAAATATATTAGACCAAATGGACACATTGCCATCCTTTTTATAGATATTTTATTCCCTTTAATTTAAAAATGTCTGCACAAGTTAATAAAAGAGTATATCAACTGAAAAACGAGCCTGATTGCACATTATTTTGAACGATATCAACTATTCGTTGCCAATGTGACAGTGTAACATTTCTCTGCGGGTTCTTAGTGTCCAGACGCTTTAAAGCATCTTTTGATGCGAACGAAGCAGCACAATTCACCAGCACAAGATGGACTGTGCTTTCTGCACAGATACAGAAGAGCCAAACAAGCTTTCTGCAAAGGAAAAACGAAAACAGAGGACAGTTACACATATACAAAACTTTAAATAAGCGGCCCAGTTTTGTTAACAACCCCATGTATTTTGGTAGTTGAATTTGTGATATTTACCATGCGGCACCCCTGACCTTTCAAATTATGACTGTGGCAATACTTCAAAAGAACCTAAAGTGCCCCAAGACCCGTCTCAAGAAAAATGAACTCTAAACTCGGGTTTGTCTTTTCTTTCTTTCAAATGCTTTTAGTTGATGTTAGATAACTTTGTACTGCACATCTACGCCTACCTAGATCCCGACTTTCGCAAAAATTTACTTTATCTGTTAAAACACCAGATATTAGCTTTCTAGCCTTAAGAAATTTCAAATTGTTGAAAATGCTTAGTAAAAGCATTTAAGTATTCAAATGTTTAATCTTGAATCATTTTAAAAGTGATGCAGTTTTCAAATGCTCCTCAAGAAGAAAAGCATCACTTGCATTAAACACAAATTTGAGTTCCAGAATTTTTCTCATTAGATAATTCCAAACGGAGTGCCCTAAACGTTTTCAGGGATACGGGATTTGTGATTCGGCCCGATTTGAAAGCAAAATGGGGAGCAATGAAGACGAGATTTGTGACTTAAAGTGGGCTCGGGAAGCGGGTCGCCAATGATAACAAACTGGGTAACAGGATTGAGCGAAAATTTGCCGGTGTCTGGATGACGGGCTCGAAAAATCTCATTAGGGACCCTATCCAAGATCTTCACAGTACAACAGGAATTGGGCTTCTGGCTCTGTGTCCATGTCACTGACACAAACACTGCTTTCTTTTTTGTTTTGTTTAGCTATGTTCTGTTTTAGTTCATTTACCTGGCGTATTGTTAGTTTTGGAAGAGGGGTAGGATGGTTAGCAACAGCACAACGGAGGAAGCAATCGATGCACTCCAATTTTTTACACGGATCACGTCCGGCCAATTTCCAACATAGCTTTCCTGTCGTGATACAAGGTGCCTGCAATTAAACAAATGACTACCATGAAACATGATGGATACAAGTCTTAATGATTTCCTGCCTACCAGACGGACCACTTACTGAGAACACGAGTCTTTGGGTCTCCGCATGTGAACAATGACTAGGAGCTTTCAACAAGAAGTTGGTCAAGGAATCGAAGGAATCCTGTTACATTGTATTACAAATGCTATTACAAATCCCATTCTTAATTTCAAGTAGAATTGACTATTCTTGCCCTATTGAATGCCCTGTTTCACGGGCTCGACTGGTTGAGTACCCAAATGTGAAGCAATTAAGGGCACGAGGGATTCCCCAAGACTTTCACAGAATTAAACGCCTGATAAAAATCGGTCTATTCGTGTATCTTAAGCCTAACCGAAAAACTTCCCCATTTCGGGCGGACCCTCCAGTATAAAACAATACTGAAAGTCCCACCATTCAAAATTAAAGCAGTAAATTAACCCTAAATTAGAAAATTTTCCTCACTCACCTCCAAGCCTTTGAATTTAAGTTACAACTCTCACTTATAACTCTTTGAACCTAATCTCACATCGGCCTTACTTATGCCTTCATTTCTAAGCAATACTACTCCCGCTGTTTTTGGGAGGACTGATTAGTCTCCCCATTAAGAAAAATGATAGCAAGCCTGCAGCCTGCATGTTCTGTTTTCTGTGTTTCTTAGCATATCCATTTTTGATCAAATATACTCGCTCTACGCATGCTTACCAAAAAGGCCGGTGGATCGGCCCGCTCGTCGGCTGCTGGTAAAGTATCCTCTGGGAGTCCGTTGTCTCTCAAGACCTGTGCCATTTTCTCATCGTGACGCTCGTCCAGGAACTGAAATACGGCTTTGTTGAAAGGCATCTGGAGCTCTTCAGCGAAGGCATAAGTCGCGCAGGCGCTCAGGAGGAGAACAGCTATGAACGTCTTCATTGTGTCTTCAAGATGTGTGCAATGAACACTGTACGTTGCAGGCAATTACAGTTCCTTATGTAGCTACGGCTAAATTGGCATGGCTTATTTTTGGCGACGCAATCGCGGCATCCTTTAATTTACACAAAAACAAAGGTTCGTATTTGTATTCAAACAGCTTTGTTTGACTATCATAAAATTCGGCAAATTTAAATATCACCTAAAGGTGGGGAGATAGCAGGTAATATTAAAAATTATAACCATTATAATAACTTGCCACAACTTTCGCCGAGTCAGCTTCATTACTCATGCAAGGCGCCGTTTAATGAAAGGTAGTCAATTTCAAACGGTGAGAACTGGCCACTAACTTGGTCGAAAAATAAAAATAACCACTTTGAACCTTTTTAACTAGGCTCAAATAACACAGATAAATAATAACAAATAAAGAAGGTACGGATATACAGCACTGGAAGAGATCAGTTAAAGCATAAAAGGGGTTGTTCACCTTGTTTTTTTTTTCTTTCAAGAAAAATTGTTAGCCTAACAGTTTTTTTCTGTAATTTCATTTTCATTTGTTCACAAAACTTTAAACAGAGTACTTGGAATGCACTAAAGTCTATTAAGAATCTGTGGTTAACCCTTGGTATGTGGTTTTCTTCCTTACTATCAACTTAGATATACTTAACTTTATCGCGAGGGGCTCATTTTGCAGATGGCCCTTCCTAACTGGGCCTTAATGGATTAGCGTGATAATTGTTTACCACTTGTTTAATGATACTTACGCAGGTGGATGGGTAGCAGTGAATGTCTCCCACCTAAAACAAATATAATGATAAAGGGAAGAGCGATGCCTTCTTAGTGTTTAGCCAGCTTTTCTTAGTTGTCCTTAGCTTAATTAAACATTTTAAGTGTCATAGACTGACGAGTTATCGGTCCATAAGAGGCTCCATAAGTGACCGGGTGGACACATCTTAATGATATTTGCTCAGAAAGACAACACTGTGCAAGCATTTGCCTTTGTGGACATGTCAGCCAACGTTGCCAATCTAGCTCAACCTCAAAAAGCAAACACAACGTTAAGAAAGTACCATAAACTGCCTTTGTGTTATACCAGCTAGCTTTGTGTATCGGTCCTTGACTTAAGAAAAACATTAGAAGTGTTAGGTAAAGACTGGGTAATTATATTTGCCCAGATCAGGTCAATAAGTGACCGTCAGTCAAGAGAAAAAGTTTTCCATAGTTTGATATTGTTTGCGGCCTTTGGAGACATTTTCTCTCGAGCTCAATAAGACACTATGTAAACTAACTTAAACTTTCCAATTTTAATTAAGGTTAGGTTGCTTATTTACTGTCTACCCTAGGTCACTTAATGCTTTCTTGCCAAGAAAAGCATTAACTTTATTAGTTAAAGTAGCCTCATAACTAGAGAACTCGATCTCCACCAAGATAGCATGTGCTTATGCACACTTAACCCTTTAATCTCATAAATCAAAAAAAAAAAGAAACAAAAAAAGAAAGAACAGGGAAAAGATGAACGCGCAAAATACTCCTCCGTTGTTCGCCTTCGCTTCCTTTACTACGTTCCCTCCAATTAGGAAGAGGCAAACTTGAAACTCCCCCCTACCCTTAAGTCTTTTCTAAAGGTTCGTCCTTTAGAGAGGCTGCAAACAGTCTTAAAGAGTAGGTTGACGTAGGTCGACACAAGTGAAATCAGGTTTAAACAGATAGTAAGCCTGTGCTATTACACTCTTAAATCTTTGAACATTTAATCACGAAGACCATCCATTCAGGTTATGTAGGGTAATGGATCAGAAGCCCAAAATGTGCCCTGAAAATCTTTGCAAAAGATCCTTGAATTCTTCAGTCTTAAATTAATAAATTAGGCCTGAAGAAATTTTTGATAAAGTCAAAGTAGACAAGTTAGTAACACCTAGCTTATAATGTTTGAGGAAGACTGAAGAGTTTTGATAACATATTTACGTTGTTTTTGAAAATAGCACCAGACGGAGGGTTTTCATGTCGTGACCGTTATTGATTTTCAATGCAAATATTATAAACGGGCTCTTTGTGGAAATTAAGGGATGGTAATTTATCAGCAGGAGATATCCAAAGCTGGCATTTTTCTACCATGTTCGAAGTAATAATCTTAGCATGCTAATTTGTATTAAGTAATTAAGTAAGCATGTAACTTAGTGTACGTTATAACAGGACTACCTTTAGTTAGTTAATACTAGTCTCCTCTCAGAAGCGAAGCCCATATAAAAAAGGCGGACTGAAAAAAGAGGCGGAAATAAGAGATGAGATTATTTTTTGTTCCAGTTTCTTTTCTTTTCTTTTCTTTTTTTTTTTTTTTTTGGTTGGGGAGGGGGGGGGGAGTAAAGTGATCAGCAGTTGCTAAAATAGGCACATTTTTCAGGTTTCCTTTTATTTGAAGCTTATGAAGTCATAATCTGCATTAAGGATTCATACAACGTCGCATAATAGTTTAATTAATGGATTTCTAAGAAGCAGCTTGCAGGACGAACTGGAAGACGGGGTAGTTGAGACCGATATTAAACAAAATGTAACAATTTCAAATTAGTTATAGACGGAGAGATCTGTTGTTTCAAATGACTTTTTCCCATGCCGAAGTGAATACTTATCCCAGTATACTTACGAGGCTTGCGTGGCTTGTTATTTTTCTTTTCTGCTTTGTCTGTTTTGAAATTAACAGAGCCCAAAGACAGTGGAATAAAAAATAGTTATAAAGATAAGAAAACTACGGCTAATAAACAGAAAAAAAGGTGCTCCTAAAACTACGGTTGCCATCGGGAGGCTAAGCAGTGCTGCTTAACGCTTAGGCGCGTAAAATCCGCTCACTTTTGCGATAGGTAAACTAGTTAAATATAACCAACAGCTAATTTCCAACTGGGTACTAAAAAACACATTTTAATTTTCAAAACCTGAGGAGATAAAGGAATTGTTTAATTGGTCCGGCTCAAGATAATTTTCACCACAAAAGAAAAGTTTATGATGTGTAAATAAAAGTATAAAAGGTGATGGTGGAATCTACCGGTTATATCATGTTGTGATCTAAGTGTAAGATTCTCAACTTTCAAAAACCTTCAACCTACAGTGCTAATATATTCAAACAAGGTGGCACAAAAGCTGGAAAATTAGTTTATCCTAGTTTCAAAGCTGTCTAAACAAATTTTAAGTGGTGTACACACGCGAACTTAATACAAAAATCAATTGAGCGTGTCATGCGCGATAGGGTCTCAAGGTGATCTATATAATCATGTACACAAGCCCAGTTGCACATCAGTGTCTTCAAGATCACCAGAGAGTATCCAGCACTATGAACGTCAAGATATCTTTGCTGTTCTTCGTCGCGGTGGCTGTATATGCCAAGGCCGAGTTAGAGCAACAGTACCACCCACAAGCCGTGCTACACTATCTCGAGATGGAAGATAAGAAAATGGCAGAGAAGGTTCGAAGCATCGTAAAGCTACCAGAGGAAGACTTTGCTAGGCCATCATTTAGGCCCAGCGGTTTCCCAACTGGAATACCACCAAAAGTCGTAAGTAGCACCTTTACTTGCACGATGAAAAGTAGCAAAGCTCGAGCAAACAATTGTTCTTACCTATGCCTCGGCAAATTAGAGAGAGATTAGATCGAGGTTTGGTCATTTTACTGCAAACGACAAACTGCGGTTTGCGGTTAACGGTTTCACGTTACCCCGTCTGCCCATGTTTGGAACTTAAGATTCACAGATGGTAGCTCGCAGTTTCCATGTTTGTTTTCATTCATCCACCTACTTCTACTTTAACTGAGAAATTGTCTTCAAAATTATGTTTTTTTGAAATAGCATTCGATAATCAATAAGCAAAAGGGTTCTAAAAAGTTGAATTTCTTCTCAAACCGTGGGAATGTGATGTTTTAGGAGGGTGCAAAAAACCTTGTGGTGAATCACTTACCCCTAGACCCTTTTATAGCCGTACAAACGTAAACCTCGAACCGCAAACGTGACTGCAAGGCCCTGATCACGTGACTTCTCGACGTTCCCAGTTGCGGAAAATGCCGAAAAACCTTAATCTTAAGGTCTCTATTAAAAGTCACTTTAACACCAATCGCAAAAGGTGAAAAAAGGTAGTTTGAAGCCAGTTTCATCCATAAAAACTGTTCTGTACAGGTGTTATTTGTTTATTCTCTATTCTGAGAAATACTATACTTGAATCTGACGTTTGCGTTTGTCGTTAACTCTTAATTTAGCCATGGACTAGACGGGGGGAAATCTTTGTACCGTGGTAATATGATATCATTGCCGTTTGCCGTTAACCTGATTCTTTCCGCCTCTATTTCCTCTTTTGCTGCTACTAACACACATTTAACAGGCGAAACAACAACACAGCGACAAAAAACAATTTTAATTTTTAGAGTGAAAATCCCTTAGAATTCAGAACACCGTGTTTGAAAATTTTCTTTCAGAAAGTTTGCATCATTGCGGCTGTGATATGCCACAAAAGAGCTGGCGATAACGCCTGTGCCCATCTGAAGTGCATAAAGAGGACTGGCTTGTGTCTGAAAGCAGCGGGCGTTGGAATAAAAGACTTGCCTGCAAATGTGGTAAGGTGGTTAGCCTGCGTAATTGCAATCGGTATTACTGACAGCGGCTCTCTTTATCTTTCCAAAGAGAAGCTTCAATATAAAATGACATTCAGGTGTGTGTTTATATAACAAAAACCAAGAAACTTTCAAAGACAATTTGTCTTTGCTCGCTTTATAAATGGTCCATGCTCACTTGCTTGACACTTTGACTGTTAAATGTTCTAATATTACCCGCAAAACGGAAAAGCTTCCACCCAAAGTAGACCCAATTGGACAGGGCGTTTATGATATCCATATCAGAGTGTTAAAAGCTTGTGCAAAGTCGTTCAGGTACGCAGAACACTGCAAGTTGAACATAACTTGTTTTCAGGTTCATCCCACGTAACATAAAGCTTTTTATTGTTGTTTGATTATTAAGATAATTAATATTTTCATTTCCATTCCCTCCCATTCAAGAGAAAATGTCTGCCGATAATCCCGTGTTGCCTGCTGGGTAGCAAGAGCTGTGAAGAGAAGCTGTGCTGTTTTGTGAGATTTGGAGAGTGCGCGAAAAAGCTTGGCGACCAGAAGGGCTAAAGCAGATTAACAATTGGCCCGACTTCGACAGAAAATATTTCAATATCGGCCCATGGAAACGGAAAATAAAGGGAAAATATGTCTGCACAAAATGTAGTTTTATATCGATATCAGTTGTCATAAGTGAACATGTGTAACAATAAAAGAGCCTGGTTGTGATAAAAAAATGTGGTTTAGTTTTTCGCTGTTGTTGTTTTTAGCCGCCGCCAGGTCAGCTCAGTTGGGAGAGCGCCAGTCTGCTGAGCGGGAGGTCGGAAGTTTAAACCCCTGCCGGACCAACACTCAGGGTCTTAAAATGAGAAGAAAGTGCTGCGAACGTACGCACGTAAATTTTACGCGCATAAATATATATGGATTTGCGGCCACGTTGAACCTGGCTGAACTTTTGCCTTATAAGCAGCAAAATACACCGTAACACTAAAATTTATTAAATTGCAAAAGCTTTTACGGATCTTTTACAGGTTATCATTGTCAGTAAAACATTTTTTTTTCTGTTTTGAAATTATTGCATTAAAGCAATAAAGCAAAAAAAGGTTCACCCATGTCGACTTGCAGCAAGAAAGGATATCCTTTTTAGCTTGCAGCCAGAAACATACTACAAACCTCATTACCCCCTAAAGTGTTTTCTCTTTCCTAACATTTTTCGTTTCAATGTTTAGAGGTGAGTTTGCTGTTGTTGTCGTTGTGGATTTTTCTTTTTTTTTTTTGACATTTATAGCAGGAATTGGTGATCACATGGTCTGTTTTTTGACCCAATCACTACAACATTTTTTTTTTGCCTTAAGCTTTTTAAATACTTGACGATGACAAACGCGCATTAAATAATCTACCTAGATATCTTACCCTTTTTTTTGGAGAAAAAAATTGTCAATTGCTTATGAAAAATAAAAGGACAAAATGAAGTTGCTCTTATTGTTTCACACCAATAATAATGAAAACAAGCACACGGAATAAAAACAGAGGCAAAAACCTTCGCAAGGTAAAAAGATGACGAACCAGGCCCAATCCACAGGAATCCGATTGTTGTTGTTGTTGTTTTTTTAACCATTTTTTTTAAACACGAATCAGCCTTCCGTTCACACGAAACTAGTGAATCCGCTCACCGAAACGGCATCTTTGTTGAAACCGCTCTCCAGAGTGATTTAAGGCTAGCCTGAATTTCATACGATTGATTCGAGTCGTTTTCTCCTCTCAGTTACTGAGGGAGTAAAAATGACTCGAAGTAATCGTCTGAAACTCAGGCTAATTTAAGGTCCCATCCTTACAAATCTGCGTAAAACATATGCGGTCTCAATAATGACCGGATCGTGTTGAAAGGGCCTTAATATTCGTTTGCATGCAATAGATGTCTTTAGACTCTTAAGACGAGGACGAATGCGAGCATGAGAATTCCTCAATGCTAAGTACAGTGAGTGCATGTGAACCAGCGTCATTTTGGCGGGAAACTGACGCGATAGCCCTAAGCCTTCGTCATTCTATCTACTACGAGCGTTGGCGAGAATGTCGTAGCGGCGGAAACAAGTTATCAAATGGTAGAAGTTTTATCATTTTGCCATTGAACGAGGGCTTAACCTCCCTCAATAAAGATAACAGTGCTAACTTTTCCAGTTAATCAAAAGAACAATGGCGCTTTCCGGGGTGTCTATTTTTGTTTTTTGAAAATATGTATTAAAACGTTCTATGAAATTTCGTACTCGCAGTTGTTCTCGTCCTCGAATCTAAAGGCCTCTAATAATACCAGCAACCCACCAATTGAAAATGAAATTCAATTCAATTTAACAATGAACTTTTAAGGTTCCCCTTTCACAAAAAGCTATAAATAGTTGTCTCATAACTTTTTTTCAAGGTAGTACGATAGCTAAAATAGTGATATGGATTCATAAGCTTCATTCTTCATCCCATTAAGAAAAACCACTAACTATTGAAAGACTGCTTGATCGGTAGCCATTAAATGTATCGTCTGAGACCACGAATTTTCTCAATAAATCCTAGGAACTTGGACTCAATAACAGTGCTGAAAACATAATGAAAATAGAAATGAAGTATTACAGTGCAGACACTCAAACCCGGACACTTGCAAAAAGATTGTCCAATCACAACATTTTCTGCAAATGAATCGATAACATTTATAACTTTGAGGACTGTTTCCTGAGAGGCTAGGTAATATAAGTTCAAACGGGTTTAAAGTTTTTAATGGTTGCATAGATGAATACTTGGATTTTAACGCTCCGTTTGCAAAAACTTACGAATCTTTTGTTTTCAGAAAACGTTGTGTGATTGAACAAATAATTCATCCAAATGTCCCGGTTTGTGTGTCCGCACTGTAATGGGCTCAATACACCCCTTCACGGCTATGAGGGCATGCTGGGTAATCAGGACGAGATGGCGGGGAAGTCAAACGTCTGTATGGGAATTCAAAGTCAACTAATTCTTCCTACCGGAATTGAAAATCTCGTAACTTGCTCGTTGCAAACTTTAACTAATGAACTTAAAGAATCTATGCACTAAATGTGGAGGGCACAGCAGTCCTTTGTCGCTTTTTAGAAAATTTGACTTTATCCATACATTATTGTAATTTTTGTGTTGTCGGATTACAGAAAATGTATGGAAGAACTCAGGTTTTCTAAAAAGCAACAAAGGACTGCTATGCACTCCAGATTTAGTGTATAGATTCTTTAATTCATTAGTTACATTTTTCAAAGGGAAAGTTACAAATTTATTCAATTAGCAAGAATTAGTTCACTTTGTGTTCCCATACAAACTTTTGATTTTCCCACCATCTTGTCCTGATTACCCATCTGCCGTTACAACCGGGAAGAGGTCTATTATTAGATCTTTTCTCAATGATCATAGAGCTTCCTCTCCATCTCCTCCATCATCCCACCCCATCCCATCTTTTACTAGCACATGCAGTCTGAAGCAAAGGCTTAAACGGTTATAAGGAGATACAAAAGCTACAATATTATAATTTGTCCACAAATGGAGGACGAAACAGCCAAGGACGAAAACGAAAATCGATACCTAAAAAAGCAACGTGATCTTGTATTTTTTTTCTCAAAAATCTGGAGCACCTTCTTCAACTGTCCAAGACATTGTCCGGCCATTCAACCGTTCCTGAAGTTAAAAGAGAGATATATATTTAATATGACACTCTGCACAGTTTTGACTTGTTGCTAACGTTAAAGAAAAATAAAACAGTATTTTGATGGTGGGTAAAACTACGGTCATAAGCATATTTCGGTCGCGTTAATATTTGAATAAACGGTTTGAGGCGTGAGGAAATGTTTGAATAGTCTCTGCTGGGTGGGCCATTTGACGCTCTTTGAAGCGCTAGCCATTGGGGCAATTGACCATCTAAGGGTCTGTTTACAGGGTGGTGGGGGAACCCAGGTAGGTAAAGTAACCCTCTTAGGTGAGGTAACCCGCCTGTCCATATAATCTCTTGTACGGTCACCCCACAAATCATGTAAACCTGATCAAATTAAAACAAGAGAATTTATAATTAGGCGTTGTACTCCACCTAAGCGGGTTACCTCACCTACCTGAGGCCCCCCACTTCCATGTAAACAGGCCCTAAACTGACAACATACTGGGGAATTTGCCCGGGGAGGCATGGGCAGTTTTGGAATTGAATTGGTACATCATCCACCGTTTCAACATCTGGGGCCAAAAGATCTTGAACTTTGAAACCATTTTGACCCTTTGTTGATCTAAAAGCTAGCCTAGTGAAACAAAACGGATTGTGCAGTCCACGTAACATAAATGAAATTCTCGAGTAAAACCAGTTCATCTTCGAAAAATTTTAAAAGACGTTTTCATCAAAACACTCACCTGTTGCTTATAGTTTGAAGGTGGACCATACTTGTATCGTCTGTTACCCCATCGCCTGCAAAAACAAAAAAAAAGTAATCAACATGAACACGATGATCATCGTGCCACATCAAAGGGGGCTCTCGCATTCAGGATGAGATTAATATATAAAAAGATTACTTACTTTGTCGATGTACGGACTTTGATTTCTTTGGCGGACTATTCGAATTTTGCGGTTAGCTGGAGCGAAGCCTGGAGCCGAGAAATATTTGGGGTCTTGCAACCAGTTTGGGACAGTCGGAAAACTCTCGGACAATGCGATCGCTTGCCGAGCAGTATAAAGTCATGCGAGCGGCTCCGAAGATTTCTCTATTCCAGACCTCGCTCCAGCTGACAGCAAAATTCATACTGGCCGCCCAAATTCCACTTATGGATATATGTTCGAAGTAATCTTTATCCAGTATAATCTAACCGAATGCGTGAGCCGCCTGGGCAACTGCAACCATGAACTTTTAAATCGTGCTTTTTACATACGTGTAAATCGTCAACAGAGAGCTTAAGCAACAACGAAGACGACGGCGACGAAAACGTTACCTTTGAAAAATGAATTCGCGCTTATTCTATCTCGTTAAATTTATTAAATGCATTTATTTTTTCTGGAGTTGAATTCGAAAGGACTGTATGGAGGTTGAGAAAAAGAAAAAGAAACTTGTTGTCTTGTGTTCACGCGCGTCCTCCACAAAAAGTGAAATTAGGCACTTGACGTCGTAGTTGTGCAGTGACGGGAAAGAAATGTACCAAAACCAAAATGCGTGAAGTCTCTGTTTTGCTTTTTCAAACCCATTGCTTCTCCGTTCTCGTTGCCGTCACCGTCGTATTGCTATCAGAAATAACATAGACTTCAGACCTACTAACATTTCGCAACTGACCTGTCATTTATGATATTGCTTCCTCTGCGTGCCCCATTAACGTATTGTACTCTGGTAACGTTCCCATAATCCTTTAGATTAAACCTCTCGCCATAAGCCGTGCGGGCATTTAACCGTCCATCTGAAACAGATTTCCTGGAGCTACGTTCAGGGATAAAACTTGACGGATCGGCTACAATGTCGATGCGCCTCCCTGTACTGCTACTTGGTTGAACATCACCTTCATAAGGAACAATTATAGGAGTGCTGGACAATTTAGTGGTCGCGTGAAAGCGACTGGTGTCAGTTGGCCCAGAGGACCTGCGTCGGTATGAATTGGAGGGATCAGTGACGATATATGAAGTGCCCTCTCCACCTGAGATAGTGTGCACAGTGTACCCATCGGGATTGGTTGTTCCTCTAGAAAGTGTACTTACGCCAAAATTCGGTGTCATAGCTAGGGCACCCTGTGGAGCTCTGGCAATGCCGTGATCGGAATTTGATGTAAGCATTCCAGAAGACTGGAACAAGGCCTTTCCAGGTTTTTGCAAGCTTAGCCTTGGTGGTCGAGCGGGCACGGCGTTTACTGTTATGACTATGTTACCTCCTTCGTCCTGATAAGAAGAAGCCTGCCTGGTAGTTCTGTACCCTTCGTGCATTCTCTGGATTGTGTGCATTGGGACAGTGTAGGGCTGATTGCGTCTAACAACAATTTCATTTCCAGCAACCTTAAAAATGTAAATAAAACAAGAAGAAAATAGGTCCAGTCTTACCTAAAAGTTTGAAGTTGTTATGTTTTTAATGTGGCGAAAATCGGTTGGGTAGTCGCTTAGGAGTGGTTAGGTCTACCTCAATTTTTTTAACGACTCAAGCACGACCATACATTTTGGGAACGACTTGGCATTTTACTGTAATGTGAATACAGCTCATAGATAACTGCAAACTAACCTTTGAGCTGCCTTGTAGCGCTCTCAAAACTGTGCGCTGTTGTTGTCCACGTGACCCATACCCAAGGACAGTGGACATCAGCTTGTTACCATGGTAATACCGTGCGCCCACAATGTAAGCTCTACTCCCCGCAGCCCTTCTTCCCCGCTTCATACTGCCATGCCTTTTTATCTCTTTGGTGACGTGAAGCGCCTTAGTGTTGTACCTGTTGTCTTCTTGGATCTTGAATCTGATGGGTACTCGCACAACGCCATCTTGGTCCTGTTCTTCGTAATAGTTTGTGTAGTAGACGCCGTCTTCGTATTCATCGCGGTTGATTGGAATAGTTACCGTACCATCCGACTAAAAAATAAGAAATATTTATTGGATAGCCAACGCTTGGTTCGTTCATAAGTAGGAGGAACAAATGACCGTCTATGTGAATGTACTCCTGAATAGGACTGTTGTTGACAGTTACTGACATATCGACAACCCGTGCGGTAGTTATCTCTGTAGATCACGCCAGCGAATTTAGTCGCGATGTTATTGGTCATCGGTCACTCCAGCCGTGATGTTAAGCTATGAAAACGCTAAACATGATTGGTGCGTTTTGATCCGTCTTTCGTCACTTTTTCATAATTATAACGGTCTTTCAATCATTCTATCGTTATTAGTCCTGCTTGAGTTCGTCAATAAGTCGTTTGTAAGGTGCCGGTAATTATTGACTACGACTCAATGGCGTTTGTTCTATGTTAGATTCTTTGCTCAAATTAAACCAACAAGAAGATCAGTCACCTTTCTATGACTTTCTTTTAGGAAAAGGTACGCTGAGAGATCATGACCGGATTTACCCACGCTGTGCGACGAGACGCCAGAGTAAAGGTACTTCGTTTATTGCTACTGAGTAATAATGAGCTAGAGTGTTTGTTATATCAGATAAATGAATTGACAGTATAGTTAACAAGAATTTTGAAAATTTAGGCCAATACTGAGCACACTTACCTCCACTATTCGATCTTTCTTTTGCAGAATCCTTGCCCAAGCTTTCCTGCAAAAAAGGAAAATACAATATTACAGTTTCGACAAAACAGTGCAAAGTTGAATATAAGTCGAATGGCTCTGATGTCTTTAAATTTCAAACCGTTTTATATTAAAACACACCATGTTCACTTTATGAAACCTTTGCGACGGAAAGATTTATCCTCACCTTCCACGAGTAGTTAAATCCCCAACTTTGATTTTCACCACGCCATTTTCGACCCTGACAGCATCAGCACCATAAACGTCGTCGACCTTTATCTTCCTTATATGTGGATCAGCATTCTCCTTTGTGTCTCGTAGCACTATGGCCTTTTCTTCTGGAGCAGCTTGTGCAATGATGTACCGGGGACGTCTTCGTTTTTCTTGCTTTGCGCGAACTCTCACATGGACGTCCACGATATCATCTTTAGATCGACGAGAGTGTCGTCTGAGCGAACTGTGATATAACAAAAAAAAGAAAAGAAAAGAACAACGTAATAAGATTTCTGGATTGCCCGCTAACGCCTATAACATACTTTCAAGGGTAAATATTTATTAACCACTGCAACATACCCTGGAATCTTCTTTGGAAGTCAAACACAGAAACAACAACACAAACAACGACAGCAAACAGCAAACTTTGTACGGAGAGCGACGTGTGAAGGTAAATATTGGATTACAATCCACTATTAAAAGTTAAGTACAAGTTACAATGGTACAGCTGCAAGGGATTTCAATCAAGTTGTCTATTCAAAAATTCGCTACTTCTGTGCGATGATTTTTTTCTCTTCCTCCGTGGACAAAATAACATGCATCTAAAACCCCAAACCCAAAAGGATTGAAAATCTTGAATCTAAGAAATTGTGAACGCGACAGCGCGACTGCGCGAAGCTTTCAAAAAGTATCAACCAACTATTACAACCTTCTGTCATAAGATCCTCGACGGAAGCTCCGCCTTCTCACTGGTCCTAAATGTAGCAATTTATCCATATCCTCCGCAGTATAAGCGCTAGTGTAACCGTTGAAATTGTTTCGGCTCTCAATCTGAAGTAACCGATCGACGTCCTCGGCTGTGAAAGCATCCCACCACGTCTGTTTATCCACCTCGGGTGATAAGGGCTGCTGCTGTGAATCTATGTGGATTATAGCTGTGCCAATGTTCGTCGTATCGCTTCCATCCTCAACCTGTACAAGTTAGTAGTTTTATTATATGAAGAAAACAGTGGCTGTAATAACGAGGTGACCGTGTTACCGAGGTGACCGTAAGGTGGGGTTCCTCTGTATGTATCACTCGAATTACTAGAAGCTATAAGAATTTATATTTATAGCCTGAGAAAACAGCCAAAATTTCGCAACCTCCCCCCACCCCCTCTTGTTTCCCCGCGAAGTGACGTCTGAGGAAAACCAACAGAAATTCTATACTGATGACGTGTCACTAACCAGATCTGGGTAGTGCTTCTGATCAGTTGAAGCAAATATACCTCGCGGTATGATCAATCAGAAGCACTACCCAAGTCAAGTCAAGTCAAGTCAATCTTTATTTAAACACGGTAAAATCCATCAGGAATTTAAAAAATTAAAAATAACCTAACTATCCTAAACAAAATTCAAAACCTGACTACAACTAATCTAACTAAAACCTGTTTTTCATGAATGCCGTGTATAACATTAAAAATGAACATTAACTAATCTTTTAAATTGACTAAGAGATTCGGCTTCTCTCATATGACAGGGTAGGCTGTTCCAGAGAACTGCTCCGCTATAAGTAAAGCTGTTTTTCATGAAATTAGTTCGTGGAAATGGGACAAATAGTTTGTTAACAGAGTCCCTCAGGGAGTAACGCGTTTCATTTCGTTTAACAAACTTAGATGATAAATATTCAGGAACAAGGCCATTTAAAGACTTGTATACCATTATGGATTTCTGTATTTGAAATTGAGTGCTCAAGTCTTTCCAATCGAGTTGTCTAATCAAACGGTTAGCATCAGCATCATAGCTAGAGAAGGTTAAAACGCGAGCGGCACGGTTCTGAAGCTTCTGTAGCCTGTCAAATAATGTTTTACCACAATTACCCCAGACAAGATTGCAATAATCGAAATGAGATTGAATTAGTGAGTTGTATATATAGTGAAGGGTAGGTGGAGGGACAAAAAGGTCTAATTCTTTTTATTGCTCCAATTCCGGAAGCGACCTTTTTAGATAATTTATCAATGTGTGTTTGCCACCGTAGATTTTCATCAATAAATATTCCAAGCGATTTGACAGAGGAAACGTGTTCTATCGGAACATTATTAATCGAGAGCTCAAGTGGGTTCGACAAAGTACTCAATTTTTGTCTGGAGCCAATTAGCATGAATTCAGTTTTAGAAGTGTTCAAAGTAAGTTTATTGGAAATAAGCCATTTGTTTAGGTTATCTAAATCGTGACTCAGAGTTAACTGTATTGAATTCACATCAACGCCAGCATAAGTAATGTGGGTGTCATCGGCATACATTCTAGGCTGGCACGAAGTAAGGCAGTTTGGCAAGTCATTAATATAAATAAGAAATAAAAGGGGCCAAAGATTGTTCCTTGCGGTACCCCACATTTAAGAGAGCAGATTCTAGAAAGAGAACCGTTAACAAGACATCGTTGTGTACGATTAGTTAAATACGACCTAAACCAATCAAGAGCTGTACCTTGTATTCCGTAAAGGTTCATTTTAGCTAGAAGGATATCGTGGTCAACGGTGTCGAAAGCCTTTTTAAATCGAGGAAAACCACAGCATTAACATTGCCACGATCAATATTAAAGGCCCAATTATCCGTAGCTTCCAGAAGGGCAGTTGCAGTTGAGTGTAACGAGCGAAAACCCGATTGATGATTAGAAATGATATCTTCATTGGTCAAAAAGTTATACAACTGATCATAAACAATCCTTTCAAACACTTTAGCTATAACGGAAATGACTGAAATAGGTCGATAATTATTCAGATCAGATGGCTCACCTTCCTTGAACAACGGAGTAACTCTAGCACATTTCCAATCATCAGGAAATATACCAGAGACTAAAGATTTATTAAAGAGATCACATAGTGAAACTGAAATAAGATCAGCACATTCACGTACAATTTTAGCAGAAATATTATCAAGACCAGTTGCTTTAGATCTACATAATTTGTTTAGATGTGAGAAAACAATGCTGCAGTTAGTCGAGGAGAAGCTGAAATTGTTGTTATTTACCTTTATATTATTGATATAACTTGAATTATTTTCAGCAGTTAGAGGTATTTCATTAGCAAGTCTGGGCCCAATTGTTGGGTAGCGACACGTCATCAGTATGGAATTTCTACAGGCGTTCGAATCTCTACAGACCAATTGGCATTCTACAACTTACAACAATAACGAATCTGCAGACGATTTTTTTTATTTCCTGGGACACCTAATGCACAATAAGGGAACGCAAAATGCGGCCTTTATTTACTTAATTATTATTTCTTTATTTTTATTTATTTATCTTTTGAACAAAATGGTTTGGTACCTGTGGAATATCAGGTAATGACGCACTGTGATCAAAAGGAACGCCTCTTAATTCGTCAATCTGGTCGGGCTCCTCAGCAATATCTGTAGTAGAGGAACCCAGTCGTCGGATTTTGTCCAGCCCAACTTGCTCTTGAATGTCTGGAGCAGTCATTGTCTCTGCGTCACGCAATGCAGGCTTTTCCTCCGTTTGACCATCATCTTCTCTGCTAGCTACATCTGGGATACTCATGGTTGTTAAATCCTCCTCATGTATGCTAGTCATTCGTTGCATGGTACTTGCCACGCTTGTTTGCCTACTGATTTGGCGACTGATTGTTTCCGACGTATCGTCGATGCTCTGTAGAAAAACAATTTATTAATAACATTACAAAAGTCACTTACGGCTGTATATTCTAGGATAAGGGTACAGAGAGGATGACCTCTAATGTCAGTATATCACTACCTTTCACAGTTTGCTGTTATAAAGGGACTCACTCTTGATAAAAAAAATGGCTTCTTTTGGATAAAAATGGCTTCTGTAGATTATCCTATGTTTCATTGAATGGCATTCAGTGAGAGGATCACGATCAGAGTTTGTTAAAACAGTTGTCACAAAGCATTTTTTACCGGACACATTTCTTTATCAAAGACTATGTTCGTATAGAAGCCGTTAGGGCAATGAGAATTCTACGTAGATATTTTGAGGTAGGAAAGTCTTCTTTTAGTATCTCGCCTCTAGAGACTGTTATCATTCATACTTACAGCACCGGTGGAATATGCTTCTGTAGGATCAGGTTTATAATCTCTCTCTGGTAAGCGTGCAGATCGAGGCTGATATCTAGGAATATGGACTGGGTCCTTGACTTCAACACCCGGCTTCTTTTCGGAGTGTTGATGAACATACTTTTCCAGCTTGCTTCGAGATTTTGAGTCATCCAGTTTATCAACCTTCTTTTTGAGTTCCTCAATTTTCTTCCTAAGTGCGACCATGGCTGACGGTTTGCTTTCCTTGTACACTTCTATTATTTCGACGACCTCCTCTCGAGAAGGAATCTTGCGGTCCTCGTGGGTTAAAATTTCTTTCCTTATGCTTGTGCGTCTAGGCGAGACATTTTTGCCAGTCAATCGTCTTAGGGTTTCCAACCTAGAAATGGCTGGGTCGCTGTCAACTGCACCACCTTCGGGAGAAATTATGGAATCTTTATTCAATATTTTTCTCGTCACAAATTCGCGACTTGTCTGACGGTGATCAGAGAGTACATCTACCTCTTCGTTCTCTACCTCTTTCCGGGTACTAAAATCACTACACTTCGTTAAAGGTAAATTGAAATCTTCTCGTTTTCTAGAAACAGAATCGTGATCTGGAGGAGGCAAAGGTATGGCTTCTCCTGGTCGCACTGTTCTTTTTGGTGGACTGTCAAGTCTGATGGATTCAGTTTTTCTGGTACCTTCTGGCTGTTCTGCTAGGGGAAGATACAGTGCAGAGGGCTTATATTCCCTAGTTGGCTCTGGCGGTATCGAAGAACCTGACGCTCGAGGCTCTGTTGTTCCAAAAACTTCTGTTGGTCTGAAAGTTTCACGTCGCTTAAATGGCTCTCTGAAGTCACCAACATCTTCATCTCCTATCCCCTTAGAGTAAAAAGCAGATTGATCTTCTTCGGCAACACTACCATGGAAAAATCCTGTGACAGAGCTCGGACCATCACCATTCTTTGTGGACTTCATGGATACAGTTGAATCAGCCTTAAAAACACGCTTTGTTGCAAATCCTTGAGTGGTTCCAGATCTTGTTTCCTTGTCACCTTGCGTCGCTTCACCCCACGAGTTTCTAGGGGAGATCCAAGACACTCCTCTCTGGTTAAGACTTCTCTCTTCTCTTGGTGGCCAGTCATAATCCGCTGCTCTTGGAAAATACCCTGTTGGACTCTTTTCACTAAAACTCCGCAAGGAAGAGACATTGTCATCGTTGGTTGCTCCGTAGTGCTTATCTAAAGAATTGGGAGAAGAACCATCTTTAGGGTTTCTCTCAGCTTCGGTGCGCCCATCGGGTCTATATGACCCGTCGGTAGTACTTAAGTCACTATCTACGTGAGTACTGTAACCGTATTTACGGTCCATGGGATCGTTGTATCGCTGCGTTTCGTTACGTTCCGACTCGTCCTTAAACATTTTCCCATCTTTTTTCGACAACTGAAAATGTCTTAGTTCACTGCGATGAACGTTTCTCTCCTCATCATTCTTATGCCAACGATGTGCCAAAGTATCTGAAGCTCTTCTGGAGGAAGACGGGAAATCTCTTGTTTTAGCTCTTAGCTTGGCGATGTCATCCTTTAACTTGTCTTGGATTGAAGGCTCACGACTTTTCCACCTTGATGAAACATCCTTGGACTCTACTCTTGAGGAGGGTGGTGGAATGTAAGGCTTGATATGCTCTCGTGTCAGAGTTTCTGTTTTGAGTTTTGCGATGTCTTCTTTAAGTTTTTCCTTAACTGAGGGCTCCCTACTATGCGATTTTGGTGTAAATGTGCCATCCTTCTTCATAGGACGAGACTCTGTTTCTGCTTTTAGCCTTGCGATATCCTGTTTCAGCTTCTCATGGGTTGCTGACTCTTTCCTTGGCATATATGCCCGCGCATTTGATGAACTAAAACCAATTGCGCTTTCTACGTCACCTGTACGAAATCGATCACGTTCAGTGCTTCTACGGCGATGAAGAGAATGAGATCGTGATCGATTGTGGTTTTTGGCACCATCAACTTCATTATCGAAAGAGCTCAGATGGCCCGAGGACTTGCTTCGTACCCTGAAAAGCAAATCACGTTTTTCAGCTTCCCTTCCGTCCATATAATCTTGCATCCTGCGCTCATCTCTATCTGAAGATCTACTGCCCCTTCTTTTTTGCAGCACTTCGTCGTCTTCGTGGAATCTTTTCCTTGCAGTGTAAGAAAGAAACTCCTTTCGTCCTGGCAATTCTCGGTAGATTCCCAGTCGGCCCCTTGCCTTGTTGTCAAGGGCTTCTGATGATAAAGAACGTCTTGCTGGTTTCCTTGATAATTGTACAGCATCATCATTGTATCTGGTGTTGGAACTATCCTCAGTTAGAGCTGATGACGCTGAGTCTTTGTCTTTCCATTTGTTGGATAGAAGTAAATATGCACTTGAGGTATATTTTGAGGGATCACTGCGCTCATCTTCGGAGATTCTTTTTGACAGTTTTTCCCTTTCAAAGGAGTTAGAAGCTTGCTTTCTTTCTAGAGCCCTTCTCAAAATATTTACATCCTCCAGACCGATCGTTTGGAAATCTTCATAGTCACTGTCACAAGGTTCATCGCCTTTACTGCGGTGCCTCTCCAAAGAACGTCTACGGCTGAGAGGACCAGACCAATCTTCCTTACCAGAAACCGAACTGTCTTCTCTCTCTTTCAGTTCCAGTTCAGATGTCCATTCTGTGTATTTAGAGGCACCTGCCGAAACTCTGTCTTTTTCCCCTGATCGTTTTTGGTGGTCAGGTGATTGTTTGCCACCATCGGATCGATAGAAAGAAGATATAACGTTTTCGCCATCCACGGCTGGTGTATTGGCAGCTGCAGCTTTGCTGAGGTCTTCATCCCTTGAGTAAGAAGAGTAAAACGAGCTGATAGGACTGTCCTTTGAATTTTCATGAGCATCACGAGCTCCTGTTGAATCAACCTTTGAGGAACCTTTGAATGTATTTCTGATACCTTTCAAACCTCGTGTCTTAATTGCTTTGATGTCTTCTCGTGTTGTATAGGACGAACTTGACCTCCTGTCGATGACATTTCTAGTGACAACCGACTTTGTAACATTCTCCGATATACTCCTTGTATCTTCCTTCATAATGTGGTTCTCTCTATCAATTTTACCTTCAACAGGTTCGTACGGGCTTTTTGTGAATGTAGCTTGGCTTGAGCCACGGGTGGAGTGAGGATTACCATGTTGTTCAGTTCTCGAGTTTCGAGGATCGAAGGAATAAAACTTCTTTGAATACATCCTTCACTTTAAAACGCCCAACAGTGGTTTCTAAGTCGAAAGCCAGCAGTCAAATATGATATCCGGGGATTCTCGTAAAGAGAGAAGGCACTAGAAAAAGTCTCTTAGTGAAAAAAAAAAGTGAAAAAAAAGGGTTTTGTTAATAATAATAACAGAAAAAAACAAAATATATAGGTATGTAAGTTATATAGTTATATAAATATATAGGTATGTAAGTTATATAGTTATATATATATATAGGTATGTAAGTTATTCATGAGAAATATATAGTCCCTTAAAAGCATAAAACTTTTATTTCTTTTTCATTATGCCGTCGATTTTGCAGTAGTTACCAACGAGAAGCCTCGCGGATTTATGATTTCTCGAGGATTCTAAGTTCGCTTAGGGACGGACAATTAGAAAACTTATGGGGGGCGGGCGAAGTACAAAAAAAATGTTTGCGGAAGGGAAAATTAAATGAAAAAAATTCATGCATGCCAATTAACTCCCAAAAATATTCATGGTACGGCCTAAAAAAAATTCATACAAGGAATTTGATAACGAAAAAACTTCCTGCGGCTCGAAAATTTCCCACCCCCCTAGCCCCCAATACCTTTTTTGATGGTCCGTCCCTTATAACACGACCTAATTTTACGCAAAATGACCTGTGCGCAACTTCGGACAAAAACACGAACTTATATATGTACAAAAAACAGGCTATGTAAAGTAGGGATTTCAAGTTCTTTATGCAGAAGAACAGGTTAGTTCACTACTTTCAAGGTTGTTTTCGCTTATGCAATGGAATTGAGGTCAAACTATTTTTCGTGAATTATGTCAAGTCGGGATTTTAAGTTCTTTATGCAGTAGAACAGTTTAGTTCACTACTTTTAAGGTAATTTTCGCTTATGCAATGGAATTGAGGTCAAACTGTTTTTCGTGAATTACCGTAATTCATGACATTTCTAAACAAATTGAACAGCGCGCGTAGTAGCTAAAATAAAAATCTTTGCTCTTTGGCACCTAACGATAACTATAATGATGATCAAATTCAATTCAGTGAGTTACAGCATAGGTAAACGTGGGAAAATAATGTTTGGTGGCTTCCATTTTCTCATAATCCACGTGAACAGGGACCATTGCAATACAGATAGTAACCAAATCATTTCTAGCTCATGATAAACTTAACTAGGCCCGTTAAGTTGACGTTTCTCTCAATTAAAATCAAAAGTTTAAGCCGTTCTTTAGTACAGTGAAACCTCGATATAATTGCGCCTTTTTCCGAATTTTTGATATCAAACCTTTCTATTTCTTTCTTCCTTTTTTTATAACCTTTAAATCTCAGCAAAAAACTGTTCATAACTTCTCGTTTGAACGTGTCCTGACCAGTTCACAATTTCTTTCATAATCAGTAATGAATTTTCTGAAAGTACTTATCGTACAGGCAAATTAGAATATTCAAATATGTAAGTTTTAATAAGAATAATTTGTTATAACGGTGTTTAAGGTAATTTTGAAGTAGTTTAATCAGTGAGGGCGGTACCAACTTTAAAAAATCTTTTATTTGTAACTGAGTGGAATTTTGTGATTTGAAATAAAGAATCGTGAAGGGAAACCTTGTCTTGTAAGACTAAGTCAACAATGAGATATCACGGTGTCTAGGGAAGCGAAGAAATAATAATCATAAAAACAAAACATCAATGACTGGAGATTAAAAAAAGCACACCTGTCTTACGTCACTCGCTCATAGCAAGGTTTATGGTTTTTCAAAGTCTAGTAAGTGAGTCTTTGTTCCTTATTTAAGTCCAATATCGCTTCTTTAATTAACTAAAACAAGCGATGGCAACCGATTTGGATTTGCTATTTATAAGTCTATATTGGATGAATGTGAAAGTTATGGTTCGTCACGACGTAACGTCAAGGGAAGCTTTTGGTATTTTTTCGGAGGCCGTCTGAGCAAACTATTGAGACTTCAGATCCCTGTTTTGAGTGATTTAAATTTTTCACGCAGTTCGTAGGTACATTTTCGATACATCTCTTGTAATATTACAAGATTACCATTGTTTGAAACCTCTTAAAAAGGGAGTAATAATATTGGCATCATCCACTAATGGATTGCTAATTAATTAACAACCTACTTTTTAAATGGACAAAAATGAAAAACATCATCTTTACATCACGATGTGCAAACTGGTCTAAAATTACGTTAAAATTAACGCGAACGAAATTTTAAAGGTAGTAAGATTCTAATGATAATAAGACAGATTTGTATGACACTAGTTAAAAGTTAAGTAAAAGCACTGGGCACGGGGACTATGCTCGGATTAACACTTACTAATGACGTTACTCTTCGAACAAAAATTGGTTGTCAGCGATCATGCAACTTATTTAACCCTTTTCTACTGATGGTCGTCCAAATAAAGATATAAGTGCAAGTTAAATTTCTGGTTTTGTGATTTACACAGTCACGCAGAGTTAATTATCCGATCTCTGTAATCACACTTAGGAGTTTTAGCAAGAGCTAAACGTTTCATTCGTTTCGTTTAATCTGGAAAACCCGCGATTAATTTTGATAGAACCTAATTGCTCTTTTCAAGTGGTTACAAATTGTTATTACGGACGATTTAACCGGCACCATTTTTTATCCCACCTTAAATTTAATGTTCTTTTTAACCAAAATTATTTCGTTCGTTGCCCGTTACAAAGTCAAACAATTTACTACTCCTCGCTGAGACGTAAAGAGACAGAAATCTTGTTATTCTGCTAAGATGCTTACTCTTTGATTTTTAATTTTAATTAAGAGAAATGTTAGCTTATTTTTAGTCCTTTCTTTTTCTTTTTTCTATTTTTTTGAGAGGTATGTTTTTTCTAATTCTCAGATAAATAATTTAACAAAAGGACTATTCGCAAGAAATTGAGGAAACACAGTCAAAATTCCAAGAAGCAATTAGCCTGAAGTTTCACATTAAAAAAAGGCAAACACAGATACGCTTGTTTAAGCAAGAGAATTTCGTTATTTAAAAAAAAGAAGACTTATTACCTTAACGTGCGGTCAATCAGCGTTTGAATCCATAACAGCTTCAAGCGGTGACCCTGTGAAATTAACACAGTGTGATGGAAATGTAGCGTGCTAAATGAAATAAGCTTAATTCAATATAGCAATACAGAGAAGGGTACTGGCTTTCTGGATCACTGAGTTTTGAAATTTTTGGTATGTGAAAGTAATATGTCAAAGCAAAACGCAATATATCTTAAATCACATACACCTATTTGCAAAAATGTTGTAAAAGGAAAATGAAAAAAAAAAAAAAAAAAAAAAAAATTGAAAAACGCTAAAATAGGAATAAATTAGCCACGCCCACAACTCGTCTGACGAAACAATGGAGTGTTACTAAAAGGGAGAGCGGAGAACGGGAAAATGAAAATTGGGAAAAAAAACCTATAAGTAACTTCACTTGCCACTCTCTGTTTTGTTCCTATTTTTTCATAGTTTTCCGGCTCCTCGTCCTCCTTTCCCGTTCCTAGTTTTCGTAACATCCTCAGCTGACAAACCCCGAGTGGTCAAGAGGCAAACGCGTTGGAAACAATAAAACGACGAATATAGATTTGGTTAAACTCTGGCTTCACTAAAATATTCCTTATAAGGAAACATTTTTAGCTGGACGCAGGGGAGTGAATTACGTTTCACTATGATTCGCAGCGCAAACAAAAATTAGCTTGATCAAACACTAAAGCGTCGTGCGTCAAGTGAAGTTTTATTTTATATCATTTTACTGTACTTTACTTTTCATTCATCTCCTTTAATTCTAAGTGCTTTACGTTAGTCTTAATCACTTTAATTATTAATTACTTAGCTTTTCCTTTACTCTCTTTTGCTTCGTTTTGCCTACTTTTTTGTTATGGTATACCGTAAATCCTGTATTAAGCCCCCCTCCCGGGGGGCTTCATGTATTTCAAGTACGCTTAAGGGGGAGGGGGGGGGGCTTATTTAATTTTGCGACGATAATGGTATCAATTTTACATAAAAATTAGAAGTTAAAGTAGAAAAGCTCAGCCGGCATCAAGTTGGAGGTCATGCAGCCGAAGATCAAAAACAACTTCGAACTTCCAGTACGTGAAAAAATCATATGTGATCGCGGATCAGTCCACATGAGGTTTTAAAGTCTGTCATTTAAGAATAAAGGAGAAGGGTGGGGGGAGGGTTGGTTAAATAGCTTTCTTCCACTGAAAAAAAGGGGGGACTTAATAGTGGATTTACGGTAAGTCATTTACCTCCGACAGATATACGTGCCTCAATAGTCAAATTAGGGAGTTTAAGCAGCGACGTTTTTGAACGACGAACGTCAACCGGAAGTGAGCGTTTTTCTCTTTTAGTATGCATTGACGCCACCAAATTTCTGTTGCTAAGTGTCTTTACTCTTATAGAGTCGATTTGCCCAAACATTTGTTCAAAATCACGGCTCAAGGGTACAAAAAAACAACTTCCGGTTGACTTCCGTCCCTCCAAAACGCTGTTGCCTAAGCTCCCTAATAATCTTTAACCTTTTTGGGCTCATTTTCCAGCTGCTTCAAGCGAGCATCCGCCACAAGGAAAGCGGGGGCCTAAAATGACTGGAAATTGAGCCTAGGACCCACTCCACAATAATGCGTTGCTGTTCTTGTCTTGCTTCCAAACTGAAACGAGGAAAACCTTTTTGCTTTCGGAATTAAAAAGCCTTCGAGAGAAAAGCCTTTCAAAAACAGAAGTCGATCTATTGCTTCAGTGTGGACGGGGCCAAAAAGGGGGAGGTTTTCGTAAATAGTAACGTGATCGCTACTCATAATGCAATTATCCAAGTTTTAAAAATGGCGAACATAGACTAGGAGTTAACACATACCACAGGATTTCCAAATTTACGAACTGTAGTAGTCTAGTAGCGCCCAATCATCTAATTTAGACAACCGCTTATAGTTTAGGGTCTTAAGTTTGATTGCTCCTTGTTTCTAGTGAAAGACGATTTTATCATCAAGGCTTTAACGTTTAAAAAATGGTAAAATTCAAACTAAACAAGTGTGATTGATATAATAGCCTCACTTCGAACGAATAAGAAGTCTCTAAGCTAATCTCCTCCAACTTCTCAATCGTGCGATATACCACTATTACCACACTACAATCAACCAAATTTAGCTTCCTGAGTGTCGCACAGAGAACGAATTCCAAACATTCAAACATTGTTAATGAAGTTTAAGTTAAGTTAAATTTTTGAACTTTATCGCTGTGGTTAGAAGTTTATTGTTTCAAGTAAAATGTAAGATTTAAACGGGAGTGCCGCTTTTAGGCTTGACTAAGTCAAAATTCTATTTACAGTAAAAAGCGTCATAAACGAGCTCGTTTTTTCGATTTTTCAGGCTGAAACATTTGTCAGTTACATAGAGGAGATGCGTTTCTTATATGTATTAAGAGAAAAATCAGCCTATGAAGGCTTTAAAATTGTTCTGTGACTGCTGAAACTTTGCTTGTGACTGGTAAATGATTGATTCTAGTAGGTCTCCTTATCACATACACTATAGTTTAAACTATAATTATGTATTCAGAAAACTTGGCATTAGCCAAATTCAACCCCCCACCCAAGCTCAATGTTGGGCAAATACACTGCGAAAAAATCCAATCTCTTCTTGAGGGACGTAGCTGTTCGTTGTTTTGTTGTTGTTGTTGTTGTTTTATGTTGTTTTTTTCCCCCGACGGTTTGCATGCTAATCAGTGAATGAAACAAAGTGTGAAAAAATGAAGGAAATCGTTCCCCAGCTCGGGATCGCAGACCTTATATATTTTCGAGGCGGATAAAACAAGAGCCGAAAAAGGCCGTCTGATCTAGCTCGCGGCCTTGCCAGGAGAAGGACCCTAATACATTTTGGGCATTTTGAGGTTACGCGTGGGTTTGGGTCAGCCTTGTGTCGAACTGCACCTTGAGAGTAAAAGTTTATCCAAATCTAAGGCCCGGTTCAGACGCCGTACTTTTCTTGAGCCGAACCTAATACATTGAATTAAGTACACGAAAAGTTCGGCGTCTGAATCAATTAGGAACGCCTGTTTCAATTTGGAACGGCTCACCCGTTCTTTACGCCTAGACCTGCCGGGAATTTCGCCTTTGGATCGACTTTGGAACGCCTTTGATTCAGACGCCGTACTTTTCATGTACCGAACCTAATGCATAAATTCTTATAACATATTTTATAAGCAGTTTGACCAAAATGCGCATTTTTCGCCTTCTGAATTTAGTTCGGCTGGAATTAAGATCGGCGTCTGAATCAATTTAGCCGGTCTAAATAATCTGGGTCGGCCTTAATTCGAATTAGGTTCGGCTCATGAAAAGTTCGGCGTCTGAACCGGGCCTAAGACGTCGCTTCAATATTTACTCAATTCTGTACCTACATTAGACAGCCTTAAAAGTTTCCTATGGACACGCAATTCGGGAATTTTATAGCACACTAATCGATTGCAGCACTGAAAAATAGAAAAGAAAATCTATGCACGAATTTTGGTTTAATGGATTTTTTCATGAAAGAAGCCTTAGAAATTACAAAAAGAGCTTAGCACTGCGTTTTACCTAATTCACATGTTGACATGTTTCTAGAAATCGCGCAAGTCTACTTAATTTTAATCGTTTGTAGGGTGTATAAAGGCCATTTGTAAAACGAATGAGTGATAAAAACTTTTCGGGAACATACAAAAGCAGCAAATTTGTCTTCATTAATTTCAGTCTTCAGTTCATGCATAATTTATACCCTTTTTTGTAGAAATACCAAGATATCTCGAAATTCCTCTGATAGATTTTTGTGAATCTTCGCACAGCAGAAAACAAGCACCCAAAGTATACGTAGCGTAAACCATTTCCAAAGAAAAGGCCGATTAGGGCTTAAATTCGATTTAGAACTAAAACTACTGTGACGTCACTGTAAGGTGATATTTATTTCGATTGCCTCAAAAGTAAAATTATATTATAGCCTGAGAAGCAGGCGCTTGGAAGTAGTGGGCGAAAGAGAGAGCCGGCGCGAGCGAGGGAGACACGCGAGGACCTCTCCTCTCGCGTGTCTCCTTCTCGCGCGCCCGTTTTTTCTTGTGCCCACCACTTCCAAGCGCCTGCTACGCAGGCTAATTATATCAAAGTTTAATCTATGTGACTTGAAGTACATGTGTTGTAATGGTTTTACAATAAAGATTAATTTGTTTCAGTATAAGAGATTCAAAGATTGAAGGTGTACCGACAAAACTACTGGGTCGAGCCACTTTAAGTGGACAATATCTTACTATGCCCGTATACTTTGGTGTCCAGTATCGCTGAGTCGATGAAATGTGCTATATTTAAAAGCCCGTGGGGCGTGCCAAAATGAAAACGAGTCTACACTAATCCAGATAAATTTCAAAACGAAGAAATTTTGAAAATATAAACAACAACAACAACAACAACAACAACACACAGAATGTTTTCCGCCCGCGCGAAGCGGATAAATTTGAAAACGCAACACTGCCAGAGACACCAAATGATCATCGAAACGTCAGCGCTTTCGAAAAGTTTCGTTTTCAAAATGCATGTTTTTCATCCCCTCTAATTGCCATCGGCGTTCTCAAATTTATCCAAATTGATAAGCGATCCGGTTAACCTTACTGGATCGCAGGATCTCCCAAGAATAAGGCAGTAAAGATTCCCTCAATCACTGAGAGAGACCAAAGATTTCCATATCAGTTGTTAAAAATTCGCTTCCCCCGACAAGTAGATTTTCATTGCCAAGTGAGGCTCCGAAGCCAAATCCCAAAGACGTGCTGCCAAATCTAGGATTTCTTTCTGACCGCAGTGTTGTAATGTCGGTTCTTTGTCGAGATCCAAACATTGGTCCAGTGAAAGAGCAACACCTTATTCCCCCGAGAACGAAATCTTCGTGATTACAAGCATTTGGATATATCTTCTTTGGAGCAAACCCATTTGGATTGTGTAAACTGAACAGAAAAGACGACGGACATGAAATCCAAACACTGCCCTTGGAAGCTGAAATTTAAGGAACGAATGAAAAGGGCACACACGCTCAAGATCAATTATTTCAGAATATATAGTTTAAGGTGTTTCGATGCAATTTTTAAGAGGCCATACCGATATTTTTCAATCGCCTTAAAAGTGGCTTAAATTTTTAATAGCCGTGGTAGATTATTTAATAAAAACGTTATGAATGACTCAAATTATTCTTAAGTAGCGTCAGAATGCTGCTTAATATCACATTTTTGATGCTAGGAAATTTTGGTGTATTTTCGTTCTTGCGAACTTGAAAACCAACCCGTTTTCTCGCCACCTGTCTAAGTGCAACTTCATTCAAAGTTTTTGACCAGAAAGATATCTCTATGAAATATATACCAAAATAGCGTTTCGGTTGATCGCTGATCAAAATTTAACTCACATTTCTCTTGAGTAACCTCTAAAAATATGCCGGCTAGGGGAGTTTCGGCTTAATCTAGATACTTCGCGATATGTTTGACGAATAAAAAAGATATGTTCTTTTTTTCTTTTTTGCATGTGAAGTCAGCAGTGGTGCTCTGACAGATCATAGGCGATATTAGAACACAGACTCCGTAGCATTGGTTACAATGTATAGGCCCTTTGCAGCCAGTCATTAAAGGGGTGCAAAACCGCCATGCTGGAGCAAGGGACGTAGAGAAACAAAGAGTTCACATTATTCAAAATTTAGAAGGGTGCTATAAGTGCTAAATCGGAGAATAGTAGAATGGGAGTTGTGATCCATTATTCAGTTCAGCGCAATAACACGCAACAACAGCCAACAACAAGCAACAGGGTGTGCAAACGGACGCAAGGCATGTAACATCCAACAATGTTGAGAGTTGTTGGCCAATAATTTTGCATCCGTTTGCAGGTAGCTTTACAGTCGTAGAATAGTAGAATCGGAACAATCGTACAATCGGTCAGATTTGTTTTCATCATAAGGAATTTTTGTTAGAATCGTAAAATAGCACACTCTCAGTCGTAGAATCGTAGAATCGGAAAAATCAGAACAATCGTACAATCAAGACGTCTCTTGCTCTTCAGTATGGCGGTTTTGTATCTCGTGAATGACCAGTGGCAAATGGCCTAAATAAGCAGCTTAATTATATGTTGTTCTGGTTGTTACTGATTTACGTCGTTTACAACTTACGTGAGAACCATGGTTTCTCTGTGTAACCTCCAAAGACATTGTCGTCACTCTTGATGACAACAAGAGTTGGACACTTTCCATCGCACTTCTCATGAAAATTCTCTGGGTTCCATCCATCCCTGGTTGCTTTGTACAAAAGACGCCATTGGGTATCGCCAGGAAAATCTGTAATCCAGGATAGCAGGATATTCTCTTCGTCACGCCTTGTTATTATTGAGGATTCTGTGAATATTTTTGGCACAGGGGACAGTTTGTCAATCAGTCCCTTCAAATTATAGAACTGTGCCTCGGCAAAAAGTTGGCGTTTTATCCTATTCAAAGTCTCTTCACAGCAGAAAAGTTCCCCATTGCGGAGGTAGTTGAGTATGTACCTGTTGCCAGACATAAAGAGATCAATACGTCAAAACTAAGGCGCCGACAGAGAAATTAATCATTTTACGATTGTAACTTAAGAGGTCGAAAGAGAACAAATCTAAATCAGTTTTGGCCTGCGGCCTCATGACCTAATACGGAGGATGAGTGTTGGATCATTTTCCCAAACAGCAGCAGACTCTCGACCGACTCTAGGCGATGCCGATTATCCACTGATACCTTACCGATACTCGACCGACGATTCCCCGATACATTGCCGACACACTAACGATGATATCAAGACCGACTGTCGTTCGATCTGTCGACCGATCTCGACCGACAGGCAAACACCACTCGGCTGTTATATCGACCGACTCTCGACCGACATAGCGACCGATATGTCGATCGACAGTTAACCGAGATATCGGCCGATACAGTGATCGACAGCCCCCGTAAGATACATGATCCGATAAATCTGCTGTGAGAGAGTCTTTTGAGCAGACTAGAATGTCTAGCCATTTGCAGGGATAAAATGTATGCAGCATTCATGATTACAATTGAGAGGACCCTGGGTGTTGGTCTGGACGGTAAATGAACTTGGGACTGCCACTCCAACGTCTTCTTATTCTGAAAAACGGCCACTAGGGGTATTTATCAAATGTGGTAGTACCTTTTCCTCCCTAACCAAATTGTATTGTAAACTCTGAGAGCGCCATGAAATATTTAAGGGAGTTCAAAGGTAAGCACGCACCACCATGCGAAGTAGTTTACTCTTAACCAGGAACACGAATGGTGCTGCATCTTTAGGATGTCGCAGTAAACTGGCTAAGCAACTTACATGTACTCAAAAGCAAAAAAGGGAAGGTGCAACCTCTGACAAATAGGTATTTCATATTCATTAGACTGAGGACAAACTGAAAAATCAATTTGGTTACTTTTAGAAAAAGTGACAACTAGACAAAAAGTAACAAAACAATAGGATCCGCATCAAAATGTCAGACTAATTAAGGCAATAGGAAAGACTCAGGATCATCGTATATGTATGAGATTTAAGGAGTTTGACTGTTATACCAGTAGTTGAGAACACTAGCTAGGGGAGTTGCGTTTATTTTGATTAATTAATAACTGATTGATTGATTGATCGATTGATTATTTTTTAATCGGGCCAAAACGTCACTAAGAAAAATTGGCAAACAGATTTGTAATAGCCCTAGAGCAAGACTATTCATAGCTACTGATTAAATTTCTGAGAACATACAAATACATCTGCATGTTATTTGTGCATTCCCCAAGATTAACTAAAATTTCAATCAAGTCTAATTGTTTGCTTAGTTTTTTCTATCCCTACACCTCCAAGTCAGGAATCGAGTTTTGATTGATTGATTGATTGATTGAATAAACTATATTGGTTTAAGCTGAGCAGCTGGACATCATCAACTCAAAACTAGATTACAATCTCTCACATCTTCGAAAAGCACACAAATTAATCCTCTAAGCTGACAGATGGGTATTAGAGTTAGGGTGTCTTCTGTATTTCTTTTTTATTTGTATATCGTTCAAATTATCCCAAATTTTCCAACCACAATCCGTAGGACGTCTTACTTCAAGCTTAATTTCGAACTTTGTTTATAGTTTTAGCCCGGGCCTTCCACTCCATTGGCTTCCATGTTGTTTTTCAATTTTTGACATTACATTTAGATCGGTAAGTAAAAACTACATTAACAGTGCTAGAAAGATTGCAGCAAATAAGTCAACTTGTGAAGTTTGAGAGTTATAATTTGAAAACTAAATACTGGCTACACAAGTGCATTGTGGGGATGGGGGTGGGGGAGGGGGGGGAGTTTGTGCCACATCATTTCAAATTGAAATGTTTATGTGTCTCTAAAACTGATTATATTATAACTTTGCTAAGCTACAACTTCACTCTTTTCTAACAAATCACTCTGAAATTGGCAATTATAAATTAATTTCGATGGAATTTTGTAAAGATTGTTTCGTGTCAAAGTTGAAAAAGAAGGGCAGGAGCTGGGGTTCGAGTACACAGACACTCAATATTGCAATCAAATTATTCAACTCAAAGCAACCATGCAGTTTACCTGAAGAGGTCTCCGTCCCGGTCAATGAAGTACGAGCCATCTTCATCTAGATCCTCTTCAAACTGACCAGAAAACATGGCTGACAACATCGAATTTGGGTCCTTTGTCAGGGTTAAGAGAGAAGTCTTGAAATGGACACCTCCAACATTCAGCTTCACAGTTGTTTTGGTGCTTTCCTCAAAAGATGTCATTTTCTGTTGCATAATTAATAATACGATAATTGTTAACTTTAATTTTAGTAGTATTGGCTGTCTTCACACTAGAGACGGATTATCCCTCTTTGGGTGCATTTGATTTCAAAAGCGTATTCAAGAAAAAATATATGCAAAAGCTCTGTTGCAAGTTTCCTGTAGTGTGATTTCTTGGGCCCCTTAAAAGTTACATGTATATACATCACGATACTTCATTTCATAAAGGGGTTTAGTAGCAATAGTGATTTTTAGAGTTCATTCCCTTTATTCTTATTCTGGAATATGGTCAATCAAACACACTCTTAGACAGATAATCCGTCTTGATGGGAAAACAGGACTATGTTCAATTTGGGCGGATAATTCATCTGATATTATCCATCTGTTTATCTGTCTTTTTGGATTTTGAAGACAAACTATACGTTTCATATGTATAATCCATCTAAGGGTGTGTCTTAAAGCAGCACACTACTTGATTCATAACCCCTCAGGTAGTAAATTAGACCTTTCAAGTTTCCTTTTTCTTGACATCAAATAAGAGATGGCTGCCTTTTTAATGGATTGGTAACTAGTAAGTCAAATAAGTCAAGTCAAGTTAATTTTTATTCAAACTCACACAGAATATTAATACAATTCAGTGCCAGAGCTTTAAAGGCTATGGTTCATCCTTCTAATGTGAATCCATGACACTGTAAATTTATTTTAAAATGGGTATGTCTATAATTCCCACTAAGACAGAAAAAATATGGTTACCGGATGGATTATCTGTCGCTAGTGTGAAAATGGCCATAAGCCAAGGTGAGTTGTATAAGTGACACTATTATTCATTCAAAATAATTTGCCCATTTCTGATTAGCTAAAATGCCATGCATAATTCATTATAACCAGCTATTGTCAACCAAATTAGGGAGAATTTTGCAATATGTGAAAAATTACATCAAAAGTGCAGCAAAATTGCCAGATTACTGAACCGTTAAGCGAGAATACCTGGGGACAAGGTTGAGTTGTTTTGGTAGTGACTACCAAATGGCAGAACATTTCACTTGTTTCACAAGGAAGAAATAGGCGAACTATTAGTTTAAATCATGACAAGAACAGCAAGAAGAAAACTCGACAGATGACATCTGCTATTTGGAGAATATTTGAAGACCTGAACAACCCTTTATCCCCTAAACTTGCCGATAAAAAAAACATGCACTATCGAAGACAAACTTAACATCGATAGAGGTAAGCATGTTTTAGCTTGTTTTTGTACTAGGAATTAAGCCTATTTTGAATTGAATGAATAACAAAACAATTAGTGAATTCAGCTTTCACATCATCTGAACATCGAAATATAGAGATCCCCAGGGGGTGTTATCTGCCGAGGTCATAACTCTTCAAATGATACGAAAGCCAAATTCAATAATTGTCTTAAAATCCTACATTCAAAACCCCGTTAAAACGAACACTAAGCTAAGGGGGCCATAGCAATAGCGCTGTGCACAGTTACTATTTATAGACCAGAAACTCAGACACACAAACTGAGATTAACATTTAGCAAGTTCCTCACTTTTGTCTGGATTTTGTCATTAAAATGAGAAAAATGGCAAAACTCAGACAAAAATTGCAAATTAGTCACGCTGAAGTCATTCACGCACTATGCTATTGTCCATATTCATGGCGTGTTCATACTAAGCAGGTTTTATTAAAAAAAAAAAAGAAGAGAGAGAGAGGGAGAAAGCAAACTGTCCGTAATAATGAGGTGTCCATATTTATAATAGAGGCAGGTGTCCGTAAAAGCGGGGTTTGACAGAGCTGCATATTTCATTTCATTTTCATTTTTATCATTTTGCCATTTTACATACTTATTACAGAATAATACAGGACAATATTATACTTGGGCAAGAGCTCTCAGCAAACCCTTTTGGGCTTTACAAGGAGATCAGCCCCGAACAAGTTTACTACTGTGATTTAATTTTAACCTTCGGACGTACATGCAAATTCATACCCCCACCGTGGTACAAGGGTACAAGGGTACAACGGGGGATTTAACCTTTTGACGTAGATGCAAATTGATATTGGGGGAGGGAGTGGAAGGACCCCCCTAGAGTTTTTGATATGTTACAGTACTTATAAACGATTCTGCCTTCAGTGGAAAGTCTTTGATCTTCTCTACAAGATGAGGTATATTTTATGGGTGGTGGCGCTGCTGGGGGCCTGTGATGTCACCAACAATGGTCGCCATCTTGGATTTTACCAAGAATTAGAAATCAGGTTAAAACTTATAAAAATGGTGATTTTTAGGGCTTAAGATGAAAAATAAGACATAAATAAGCACTTTACATAATTTTAGCCACAAGATTTACGTTTATTGTTGAAAAAATGCCCTGGCCACCTCCTACTTATGACATCATATCTCGTAACCATAGAATCTGACCATCACTGAACTTGACTCAAAATGCACACGACGGATGAATAAACAGCTACTGAAAACATCAGGTGCTGATGTTTTATCCCCTAGGAGAAAACTCAGAAAAACCTTAGGGGATGCCACCCCCCAGCCCCCTTGTACATCCGAGGGTTAAGATTATAAAAAGGATATAGCTGTGTTTTAAGACTAAGATTAATCATTCATGTAAATAAGTTTGCATAGTGAAATTCTAATTTTCTTGCTTGAGGAGAAAATGACTTTAATTTTGTTTTTCCTGAAGAAATTGAATGTCTTAATTGATTTCTTTTACAGATTTTGTCAAGTTATTCCATATTGAAACTCCTTTGTATTTCACTGAGTGTTTTTGGTAGTTAGTTCATGCTTGGATTTTGTGAACGTTATAGGATGCATGATCTTGTGTTGTATTGATGAATGTCTTTGTTCAGACAAAAGAAATCATTGAAAGATGATGGTAGATTGTTATTGTAGTATCGAAACATAAACAAAGCAATATGGCATCATTGTTTATATCGTGTAAAGGTAAAATCGATAGTTGTTTGAAGAGAGGACCAGTATGTCCTTTAAATTTTGAAAAAGTAATGATCCTTATAATTTTCTTTTGTAGCCTTCTTAATGGTGCTATAGTCTTGTTGTGTACTTACTTCCCCATACAATGTTACCATAACTTAGGTATGGATAGATAAATGCGTAATATAGACCCCGCATTATATGACAAATATCAAATATTAAACAAGTGAAGCCTTTTACGAATTACCAAAACAGGACTGGGTTATTTTTATAAAACTAATCTTACCAATGAAGTGCATAAAACTGCAGTTAAAGCGTGGTAAGACAAACGTCCAAAAGGATATCAGCAAGAGCGGTGGAAGAACAGACTTCTCTGCATAGGCGTACGGGCCGGAGGGGCGAGGGGGGCTGCAGCCCCCCCAAATTTTGGGCGACCCAGATTTTTTGGGCAGCAAGAGAAAATTTGGGCAAAGCCAGTTTTTAAAGACGTTTCCATGTTTTTTTTATTAATCTAAAGAGACAAATATTTTCTATTTTAATCTGAAAAAATCCTGAAGTCAGCGTAATAATCCAGTTACATTCTCTCGAGACACTCACAGTCGTTGCCTAGCGCGTGATGAGTTTCTGGTTATAGGGAAGGGTATCACTTGTTGATTTACATTTTTATAGTTTTTTATTGGTGAGCACTGTACTGCACTGCACTGACTGGAATGGGCTCTTTCCAGTTGTGAATTGATTAGAATAAATTTCCGCATATCTTTCTAGAATCATCTCAGCAACAGTGGGTCTGAAAATTAAGAAGTGGCTGACTAGTAATCCGCTCGAATTACGAGAAGAATATTAATTTTTTAAAAAAATCTATCAAGCAGTAATTTATTAAAGTAGACCGAAATGTTTACAAAACCGCTAACAAGAGCCCCTCGATACATACTAATGAAATCCTTCTCTCTAGCAATCGGCCGGAGCCATATCCATGATCATATCTTTTACACACGTTTTTAAAACGATTGAAGCTACTATGAGGTGAAATTGCATGTCAAAAGAGCTTCGTTTTCTACAAATAACAGCCAAACATCAAGATTTTTTTCCCCATATTTATAATGATAAAACCTTCATCCCAAAATATCCCAATAACGCTCCTATAATGATGATTCCGTTTTAACTTCACGAACATCGAGGCGACTATTGGAGAAAAAAGTTCCCCGTGAATAATTTTGTAAGAATAGTTCCCAGTGCCGAGAAATATTGCTGCAAGTAAAATAGACAATGGCGTCATTTCGTTGCTATGACAATTCCGATGTCATTAAAACCCTGCTCATGATAAATTTTCATCTTTATCTAATAAAACTATGGTAGCAGTTTTTCCAAATGTTTGTCTATGGCGACGTAGTTATTCTCAAAATTGGGAGGTATTGACCTTTATATGCCAGTACGGCCTACGTTATTGCATCGTATCGCCCTCGTTTCTTTTCTACTGTTTCGTAAAAATTTGGGCAACTTGGGAGAATTTTTTGGGCAAATAGCTTAACGCCCCCCCTGGCAAAAAATTGCCCGTACGCGCAGCGGGAAAGAGAGGATGAACTTGTGTTGTATTGATGAATGTCTTTGTTCAGACAGAACAAATCATTGAAAGATGATGGTAGATTGTTATTGTAGTATCGAAACATAAACAAAGCAATATGGCATCATTGTTTATATCATGTAAAGGTAAAATCGATAGTTGTTTGAAGAGAGGACCAGTATGTTCTTTAAATTTTGAAAAAGTCATGATCCTGATAATATTCTTTTCTAGCCTTCTTATTGGTGCTAGCCTGTTGTGTACTTCCTTCCCCATACAATGTTAACATAACTTAGGTATGGATAGATAAATGCGTAATATAGACCCCGCATTATATGACAAATATCAAATATTAAACAAGTGAAGCCTTTTACGAATTACCAAAAACAGGACTGTGTTATTTTTATAAAACTAATCTTACCAATGAAGTACATAAAACTGCAGTTAAAGCGTGGTAAGACAAACGTCCAAAAGGATATCAGCAAGAGCGGTGGAAGAACAGACTTCTCTGGCAGCGGGAAAGAGAGGATGAACTTGTGTTGTATTGATGAATGTCTTTGTTCAGAGAGAACAAATCATTGAAAGATGATGGTAGATTGTTATTGTAGTATCGAAACATAAACAAAGCAATATGGCATCATTGTTTATATCATGTAAAGGTAAAATCGATAGTTCTTTGAAGAGAGGACCAGTATGTTCTTTAAATTTTGAAAAAGTAATGATCCTTATAATTTTCTTTTGTAGCCTTCTTATTGGTGCTAGTCTTGTTGTGTACTTACTTCCCCATACAATGTTAACATAACTTAGGTATGGATAGATAAATGCGTAATATAGACCCCGCATTATATGACAAATATCAAATATTAAACGGGTGAAGCCTTTTACGAATTGCCAAAAACAGGACTGTGTTATTTTTATAAAACTAATCTTACCAATGAAGTGCATAAAACTGCAGTTAAAGCGTGGTAAGACAAACGTCCAAAAGGATATCAACAAGAGCGGTGGAAGAACAGACTTCTCTGTCAGCGGGAAATTGCGTTCTTTCCAAACAGCTTCATGCAAGACAGTCTTAGATTCTGGATTCCAGGTACTAGAATCCGGTTTCCTTGTCAGTGGAATTTGGATTCCGGATTCCAATCGTAAGCTGTATTTTGGATTCCTTGAGCTGAATAACGAATTCCAAAGCAAAGAATTCCAGATTCCAAAAGCAGAAATTTCCTGGATTCGGAATGGATTCCACAAGCAGAAATTACCCGGATTCCGCAATCCAGAATAGGGACCTTACGATCCGACAACGGCGACGCCAGTGAAAACGTCGGTGAAAAATAGACTTTGCGTCCTTTAAAAACTTTTTCGCCCTTTTACCAAGTCACCCAGTTACTTGAAAGGAGGGAAGTTAAGTTGGCACTGAACAGAGGGGACCGCGTCCGGGCAGAAAGAGATAGTAAAAGTTATCGCCTTGCCGTTTCCGTTCTCAACTCAACTCAAAATTTGGTCATTTCACGTTGCAGTTTTGCAGGGACTGCAAAGAAATATACAAAAAAGCGTGATGCACGTGCAGAGTTGTTGTTTTGGTCATTAAACGTATTGCGTTTTGACGTTGCCGTTGCCGTCGCCTTCTTAGTTTCGTAAGGTCTCTATTACCTTTCAGCGAGCGACGTGAGTTTGGGTCAGTCTGGTGGCAAAATGCACCATGAGACTGTTCTGGTGACTGTTCTACAGTCAAACCTCCATTAAGTGGCCACCCTCTCTTAAGCGGCCGGTAAACAAAGTCCCGAAATAATTGCAGGAAATAATCAACAATAATTATTATTATATAAACACCAATGAAATACCAGGTGAGCTTTCGCGCGAAAACTTGATATCTTCACATGTGAAAATAACATGTTATCTTCACATGTGAAAATATCACCTTTTGCAATGGCTACATAATAAATCGCGCCTTTCACACCAAAAAACTATTAAAGTGAAATGGTTTGGTATTTCATTGGTGTTTATATAATAATAGAACATTACATGGCCGCTTGGAGATACGAAATTTCTCTTCTCGTGTTGAAAAACTATTTTTCAACACTCGAAGAGAATCAAAATAAAAACTACCAGTCCACACTAATCCGGATATATTTGAACAGGAAGAAATAAAACAAAATAAAATAAAACGCACACAGAATGTCTTCCGTCCGCGCTGAAGAGGATAAATTTGGAAACGCGACATTGCCAAAGAAACCACATGACCAACGAGACCGTCAGCGTTTTCGAAAAGTTTTGTTTTCAAAATGCATGTTTTTTAACCACAATAAAATGCCACCAGCGTTCTCAAATTTATCCACATTGATGACCGATCCGGCTAAGTGTGGACGGAACCTTACTTGATCGCGGGATCTTCCAAAAATCAGACAGTTAAGATTCCCTCAATCACTGGGGAGACCAAAGACTTCCAAATCGGTCGTTAAAAATTCGTTTCTACCGACAAATAGATATTCATTCTTGAGTGAGGCTCCGAAGCCAGATCCAAAAGCCGTCCAGCCAAATCTACGATTTTTTTCTGACCCCAGTGTTGAAATGCCGCTTCCTCCTTTAGTTCCGAAAGCTGGTCCAATAGAAGAGCCACACCTTATTCCACCAACTACTAAATATTCGTCTCTAGAAGGATCTGGATATATCTTCTTTGGAGCAAACCCCTTTGGATTGTGTAAACTGAACAGAAAAGACGACGGACACGGAATCCAAGTACTGCGCTCAGAAGCTGAAATTTTAAGGAACGAAAATAAAAATAAAATTCAAACTAAGGTTACAAAAAATGGTACTTGACCCTGTATATTCAGGAGGGGGATCAAGAAGGGGGTGGGAGGGGTGAGAATGCCCTTTGGCCGTAGCGCAGTTGTTATCTTGTGAATCCCAATCAGGAAGAATTTTGCTGCATTCTCATAACATTCTCATAACTAGAACTGCGTTTTAAAACAAATCGTTTTTGAATTGCCTTCCTCCTTCCCCCATCAACACGTATCGTAAATCTTTTCCTTACCCTTTCCTATTCCGCGTTTGATGACAAAGGCACCCCAATCACATCCCTAGAGAAGCGTTTTGGTTGATAAACTAAGCAACTTTAATTCTCCCGGCATTTCCACATGAATAACTTCTAAAAAATACTTCAGTTGATTAAGATCACTTGCAGGCTAGTGGTGTCGCTTCAAGACCGTTAAAAATGGTGTAAAATACCAGATAAATGACGGGTTTCCGTACAACATGTATTTCTATACCCCAACCCCAAGATAAATCCTAAGTCTTTCTATGCACCTCTATATACAAGTTCCTTTGTTTATTGGGAGACCAGTACGGTCCTTAAAAAAAACTTCTCTGGGAGGAGGGGGGGGGGGCATCCTACCAGTTGTTAGTCTTACAGAGTGCAAAGCATTTATCCTGAATTTACATGCAGGAACAAAATTAATCACCGTTACATTTGACCATTTCCCTGTTTAAATGTTCTCTTGAAAATTTCGTTTTCGGGGGGGTTATACTACCTTAAATAACGTTCTGGAGAAAAAAGGTAGAACTCTTTGACTTTGCATCTTCTCTCATTATCATCCGGGTTAAACCCTGGAGCTTACAATGCAAGAAGGTGGCTAAGGGTGCATAGTTTTACTAGTTAATGATGTGAGCTCTATGGTTGTCTTTACACTAGGCCATTAAGGAAGCCTTAAGAGCTGTCAAGTTTCACTTCACCAAAAATACGTGTGTGAAGGTCTGAATAAAATATCAAGTTATTTTACTTTGCATCAAATTAAAGTCGGAAAATTAAAACGATTAATTCGAGAAAAGTTTTAAGTGACTTGAAAACCATCCTTAAAACCGACTTTGCGAACTTGCGGTTTCTTGAGCTTTGAGAAAGGCAAAGCATGTCAGCCTAAGCTAACCTGAAGTAAAAAAGATAGGTTGTGTGTGAAGCTTCCTTTTACTTAAAGAATTTACAATTTACTTGTCTTGAAATATTTCTTAGCTTATTTAGGCTCTAATGTAAAGACTAACAAAATTGTGTCATTCTTCCCAGTGTGTCTGTTGCTCTCCAGCATGACGCACGATTTTGTACCACCTGAATGACTAGCAGCCGGACTATACAAGGGCACCCAACGACTGTTTGTATAAAATATCTGCTGGAAGAAACAAATATTGCTTAGAATTCTCTGTAGCTTGAGGGAAGCTAAAAATTTCTATATGACCGTCACATTCATTTATGGTTTTCGAAGCTTATCTTACAAATTCCAAGTTATGCTATATTTCATAGAAAAAAGGAGACACGTTTTGGATTCAAAGATGTGATAGAGAGAGGAATTAGTAAAATCCTCACCTATGTTAAGTTTTAAATAGCATCTTAAAGTGGCTGGACTAGATTTTTTTAAGGGGAAAGTTTGAGTATTTACCATGTCAGCATGAACAAGGATATCGGAAAAAAAGATACCACAGCTCGCTGTGCTATATGAAGATGAACATTTGTTATGATATATGTTTTTTTTACATGGCAGTTGCGATGGCAACGTTATGACGCCATTACGTTTTTTACTCTCATAAAATTTGTTTAAACTTTGCTATAATCGAGGCAACTAAGGAAGGAATAAGCTTTTTTAAGCGATTTCTGAGAGGAAAAATACTCCTGCTACCGAGAAAAACAAAAACAGGTAAAAACGTAATGACAGCACCGAAGTCAATAAAACATCGATCATAACAAATTTTCATCTTTATGATTATAGTACAGCTGTGATAATCTTTTCCTAATGTCTTTGTTATTTGAATGCCGCCGTAGTAAACGCTCAAAATCAAAATCTAGTTGGTCCACCTTAAAATTTCAGGAAAACAATATTGAAACCCTTGTAATTTGAAAAAGACTCAGGTTGCTCTAGGATGACCAAACACATACAAATATTATAGCGCCCCTTAGAATTCGTTTCTAGAGATCTTAAAGTACTCTGGGTAGCCCGAAAACTGTGTTCAATGCATTTAAGAGGAAAACGTCGCTAAGTGCCCCTGACAATACAGAGTACGTTGTTATTAAGTAATGATCCAGGTAAAAAGCGAAGCAATTTGTTTTGTTGTGGCGCAATACGCTTTCCTCACATAGAAATGTTTTCATTTTTACGCAGAGAATACATAAATCTACAAAAAGGCAGTTTACGAAAAAAAATGCATTTGAAGTCCACTTTTAAAGGGTGTATTTTTGTGTTAAAACATTTCGACCAATCACAAGAGTTGCAAACAATGGCCAAGAAATGTTCACAATTTTACACGATCCGCACATACGATTTCTATGTTACTTAGACTCAGACGAGGTTTTGCTATAAGGAAGTTGGATAGAAAAAAGGGATTAATATACATGCTGCTTTGCAAAGATTTCGTAAAATTTGATGTTTAAACCAATCAGAACCATGGTAGAGACAATAGTAAAGTTAGCACCTTTTAGCATACCGACTTGTTCACTGTGTTTTGGTCCTTTCCTTCTTATCGGGACAATTACTTAATTTTACTTCGTTTATAAAACTTACGTGTGAACCATGGTTTCTCTGCGTAACCTCCGAAGACATTGTCGTCACTCTTGATGAAAACGAGAGTTGGACACTTTCCATCGCACTTCTCATGAAAATTCTGTGGGTTCCATCCATCCCTGGTTGCTTTGTACAAAAGATGCCATCGGGTATCGCCCGGAAAATCTGTAATCCAGGATAACAGGGTATTCTCTTCGTCACGGTCGGTTATTATTGAGGATTCTGTGAATATTTTTGGCACAGGGGACAGTTTGTCAATCAGTCCCTCCAAATTAAAGAACAATGCCTCGGCAAAAAGTTGGCGTTTTATCCTATTCAAAGTCGCTTCACAGCACAACAGCTCCCCATTGCGGAGGTAGTTGGGTATGTACCTGTTACCAGACATAAAGAGAATAATAGAGAGTTTTAGATCCGAGTTTACCGCGAACCTCTAACCGCGGTTTGCGGCTACCCGTTTGCGGTTCGACGTTCAAACATAATTCGATTTAGATTGGCGGTGGATTAAAGAAGTGGATTCTGAATTTATTTTTCCATTTAGAAATGGAAGAAATATCAATCAGTGAAAATAAAAGAAATTTACGGTAACACTGGGTTATCTAGCAGTAAAGAGCTGTAAATTCTTACATTAGTTCTTCTTATAAATTTTCGGCCGCCATTTTGAATCAGCAGCCATGAATGGCACTTGTTTTCAAGATCCAATAGGATTTATCAAATTTAGCATTTCGCCCGAATTTGTGCCTCTGTTAATGGATAAAGACTTGCTGCACAAGATTTTTGTATCATTACGTGGGATAAAACAAGAATTATACGCTAAAAGCTTTCAGGTAAATGGCATACGTGAAAACCTGCCTCCCCACGTTGAAAACGCACGTCGTAAACCTCAAACGTGAAGCGAAAGACTTGTCACGTGACTCCCAGCGGTTAGAGGTTCGCGGTAAACTCGGATCTAAAACTCTCTAATATGTCAAAACTAAGGCGCGGACAGAGATATTAATCATTTCACGGTTGTAACTCCAGAGGTCAAAAGAGAATAAATCTAAATCAGTTTTGGCCCGCGGCCTCATACCTTAATAGGAAGGATGAGTGTTGGCTCATTTTCTCAATACCGATACACCACCGATACCTTACCAATACTCGATCGACAATTCCCCGATACATTGCCGACACACTACCGATGCTATCACGACCAACTGTCGGTCGATCTGTCGACCGACAGGAAACAACAGTCGGCCGATATATCGACCGACTTACGATCGACACTCGGACGATACTCGACCGAATGTCGACAGACACAGCGGCCTATACGTCCATCAACAGTCGACCGAGATATCGGCCGATACATCAATCGACATCCCCCGTAAAACCCATGATCCGATAAATCTGCTATGAGACAGTCTTTTCAGCAAACTACAATGTCTAGCCATTTGCAGGGGTGAAATGTATGCAGCATTATTACACTTAGGAAGACCCCGGGTGTTGGTGTGGATGGTAATTGAACTGGGGCCTGTCACTCCAAAGTCTTAACTCAACCAAATATTAGGATAACAAGTCCAAGGTTTAAGGTCACTGTTTGAGAAATATATACTTTTAAAGACTTCTGAAAACTAAGACTCCTAAATTTACCGTTAAATTTGACCTAAAACTCGGTGGAAAGGATCGAACATGATATAATTTGACAGATCAGACCTATTTCGGTTACAATTTGACTTTGTATTTCGACGGATTCGATTTTAGGGGGTCTTAGTTTTCGTAATCTCGAAAACTAAGACGGGTCTTAGGTCTTAGGTCTTAGTTTTCGAGGGTCTTAGTTTTCGTAACACCCCTACTAGGGGTATTCATGTTGTTACCTTTTCCCCCCTTTAAACTCTGAGAGCCATAAAATATTTAATAGAGTTCAAAAGTAAGCGCGCACCACGTGCACCGTGCGAATTAGTTTGCTCTTAACCAGGAACAAGAGTGGTGCTACACTTTTAGGATGGCACAGTAAACTGGTAAAGCAATATACATGTACCCAAGAGCAAAAAAGACAAGTTACAGCCTCTGAAAAATAGGTATTTCCTATTCATTAAACTGAGGACAAGCTGAAAATCAATTTGGTTACGTTTAATGCCTTGTCATAAAAAGTAACAACTTGACAAAACAAAGCAATAGGATCGGAATGAAAATGTTAGATTAAGCACTAGGAAAGACTGGGTCATCTTAAATGCAAGAGATTTAAGGAGTTTCACTGTTATAGGTCCAGTAGTTGAGGACTCAAGGAGTTGCATTGTTGATTGATTGATTGATTGATTGATTGACTGATTATTTTTTTTAATGGGGCAAAAAATGACAAACAGATTTGTATCACCCTAAAGCAATACTTTATGTTGTTTGTGCATTCCCAAAAATTTCAATCAAATCTAATCTAAATTTAAATCTTCAATCCCTTCACCTCCAAGTCAGGAATCGAATTTTGACTGATTGATCGATTGAATAAACTCTTTATTCATCTACTATTGAATAAGGTCTAATGATTTAGGCTGAGCAGGACATCATCAACTCAAATATGGGTTACAATCTCTCACATCTGAGGTTCAAGTACACACATCCCCCGGGAGGGGGGGGAGGGGGTGGGGAGGGACTCCCCTATATAAGCCATATAGGTACGTGCCACCCCAAAGGGTGGGGTCTTTTAAGCATTTCGGTCTTAACGGGTTTACACTTTGCCTATTTTGGCCTGGAATCGGGTATGGTTTTTGAGGGAACCATGGGATGTGAATATATTTACTACTGCAGTTCCAAATGACTAATATACAAATTCGAAATGGATTTTAAGAATCTTTTTTTTGTGTGCTGTTCTACATGTAATCTAAGTAATGATGACAGTGTTTATGACACTTTTTGGTCTGAAATAAAGTCAGAATTCGGAGAAACGGGCGGCACACACCCACCAAGAATTCCCAGGAGAAAAAAACCCCTGCCCCTTGGACACACACACTCAATATTGGAATCAAATTATTCAAATTAAAACCGTACCATTCAGCTTACCTGAAGAGATGTCCATCCCGGTCAATGAAGAATGAGCCATTTTCATCTAGATCCTCTTCAAATCGACCAGAAAACATGGCTGCCAACATCGAATCTGAGTCCTTTGTCAGGGTTAAGAGGCAGTGTCCCTAAAAGCGGTCCACTCGATTTCGTGACAAAAAATACTTTTCCTTTATTTTTTGTCAGTGAAGAGGCTTTAGTAGGTATATACTAAAATCGCTATTTTTGTTTTCAAATTCTTATTCTTAGTTTGTTCAATTCAGTTTTTTTAGTTAACCTTCGATAGTTCACAGGCTAAATAAAAATATCTTTGATCAAAACGTGTTCAAGTTACAGTGGCTCAAAGAATACCTAATTTGCACGCTTAATCCAAACCCTGAAAGTAAGGAAGATTTGAGGTAAAATATCCCAAAAGTTGCGGCCTAAATCTGGTTTAATAATCATATCAAAGTAAAGTTTTAAGCTTATTTTTCTGGTATATGGGCTCAGACTTGTGAGTATCTTCTGGGATTGCAACCAACAGTAGATTATAATCTGCCTTTTTGCGTGTTTGCATAATTACTGGCCGTGTCAGATGTCATGATTGTACAGATTAAAAGTTCCATGAAATTGCCTCTTTTGACACTTGAATTCGTCTCCGGCCTCTAAAAGAAAGTAGTTAAGCTTCTTTAAGTACTTTTGAATCGAAAGAGATGTAGTAACAGGGATTATAATGCATGTTACTGATTACCACAATCAACTGGCGGGCGCCGTCGTCTTGTAACTACCTGCACTGAACAGTAAACAATGTTGTTAATAAAATTCTCTAGATCAGAAGTTGATCCAAGCTCTCTTAGTAATGAAAATAAATATCACTACCCAGGGATACAAAACGTGTACAAGAAAGGCAACGTAGAATTTTAAGTTCTTTCCGCAATTTCAGAGTGAATTTCACCGCGGTGCATAAATTATTGTAATAATCAGGCTGTTTAAGGTGGCTCCGTAATTAATACAATAGCATTTTGCTGTGACAAATTTTCCGTCATAACTTTTTCGATTTTAACGCGATGGCTGCGAAACTTTGCAAAAAACAACAGATATCATTCGGCAATAATACGAAATATTCCGATTTCATTGATGGTAAATACTTCTTGAGAAATTAGCGCTTAAAAGGACCCTACTGTTCAAAGAAAATCGCGTCTAGTAAAAAATTTTGCTAATATTTTTTACTGAAATTTCTGGTATCGGCTTTAATTGATATAATAAATATGCCAGAGGAATTTCAGAAAAATCGTTGGAACAGAAGTCCGTAACTAAAAGTTGCTCAAAATTCAGCTGTGAAATTGTTTTGGAATTTCAAAAATAAATTACTATCAGGAAGAAGGAGACACTAGTTTCAATTTTCGGGACAAGTAAATTCAAAGTTTGCTAATTCTGAAAACAGAAGACGATTGCCTATCGTGCTATTCTTTAAAAGGTACTTTTCAGTTTTAGAAGCACTATAAATTGCTCCAAAATTTGCTCTGACGTCGAATGACTTGTTCCTCGACATTTTTAAAAAATCCCTTGGCAGTTTTGGCTCAAACTCCTGCTACATACATTTTGATGTATTGCAATGCATCCTCAACGGCTTTTCCTGCCTTACGTTGTTTCCAATTCAGGAAAAAGGTATTGGGATTGTAAGCTACCTTGTATTGAAGCTCAGATAGAACTGTCCAGCACCTTTGTTTATGACCAGAAAATGAGCACGAGCGGCAGCTCTGCGAGGAATTCGCACCTCAGCCAGGGGGGACGAATGACAATGATGCCCATGTCTGTGAACCGATCTGTATAAACATGTTTTGCAGAGCAAGACATAATAATCAAGAAAAAAATACCCATTCATTGAAGGAAGGAGTGACAAAAATTTCAGAGTTGTAAATTTATTCACGGGCAGTATTTTTGCGATAATTTTATTTTGCACTGTGATGTTATTCGGTTCACAGGCATGGTCATCATTGTCGTTCGTCCCCCCTGGGTGAGGTGCGAATTCCTCGCAGAACTGCCGCTCGTGCTCATTTTGTAGTCATAAACAAAGGTGCTGGACAGTTCTGTCTGAGCTCTGATACGAAGTAGCGTCCAATCTCAATACTTTTTTCCTGAGTTGGAAGCAACGAA